GCTTGTTCCATTTTCAATTTCCCATAGACTCTGCTTGTTTCTATTCTTCCCATTTCTTTTCCGCGTGTCTTCTGATTTCAAATGTTTTTCATAATTTTACAATTTTAAATATGCGTATTCTAATTTCGTAAAAAATTCTATAAGTCTTTTATTTTTTAGAAAAGCCAATCGGCGAAGTTTTTTATCTGGATCAGTTGTTGTCAAAGGAATGAATGCATTAAATACAAAAAGGGATTTTGTATTGACCAGGTTTTCTTTTTTCAAAAATTTTTTAATTAATTTATTTATTTTTTAAAGTTCACTTTTAACCCAAAATAATCTACCTCCAATTGCTGTACTTTCGAGACGTAAAAAGCCTTATGTGCCGCCCAAAAATCGTCGAATTGATGATTCTTATACTTCAGAAAATTTTACTCAAGGCTTACAAGAACTTAGTCCTTCTTTGATGATTTCTATAAAGAAATTTTGTTTAAATTTACTTCTTGAAGGGAAATATAATCGTTTAATTAGAGCAAACAGAGATTTGGTATTATTTTTAATTTTATAAAATTATAGGCATTTTTGAGGTTTTTAGGATGGTTTTTTTCAACATCCATAGTGTTGAATTTATTTATTTTTTGAACCGAGTGTAAATATTTTATTTTTTCTGGGTAACCTCAGCCCTCTTGTTGCTCTAATGGAATATTTTCTCCCTTCACTCTTAACTTTTAGGATGATTTTTAACAAAATTATGGAGTCATTATAAAATTTAACCGTCCAACCCGCATCAGAAATAATCTAAAAATGGGGAAATTATTTTTTAAATCTTTCCATCTAATCAATTTTATTTTTCTTTAGGCATTTTCTCGCCGTAAAACTTCACTTAAAGCAACAGATTTTCATTATTTTACTTTTGCAACTTTTATGCTTGCCTTTTCTAGATTTTCTCGAATTTCTTGCCAACTTTTTAATTCAACTTTTTCAATTGAATTTTTCCATCAAATAACTTCTTTTTTGACAGAAAGTTTTGAAATAATGAAAACAGACAGAGACAATATACGGAAATATGCACTTTCTTCTCAATATGCAGTCAGTGTTTATAGGGAAATTGTGGCAATGTAAAGTTTTATGAAAAGTTCATTTAGGGGATCACTTAAGCCACCAGGGGTGTGCCATTTCGCCTTCCGCTTTTTAAGATCTGTTTCGGCACATCCCTGATGTCCACTTGGCAATTTTATGGAATCGAGTATAAGCACCATTATCATCAATTTTTAAATCAAAAAAGATTTAATTTCCAGGTTAAGTTCCTACAACCCAATTTTGCCAGAAGAAAAAGAATCATGTAGCAATTTTTGTCAACAACTCTTCCAAATTGAAGAATATCGAGAATTAGCTGCTGGAATTCTTGGACATCTTTCCCCTGGTGGGGCAACAAGAAAAATGCTTGAAGATTTAATTATTGCTAATCATTACTTTCTTCATTTATTGGAAAAGAATATAAAGGAAGGAACACTTATTCGAATACAAAAAAGGAAACGGCAACGGAAACAAAGAAAAGAGCTTAAGAAGAAGGATAAGGATGAAAGTTTGTTTTTAGTTTTTTTGTGTGGGAGGGGGGGGGGGTGTTCTAGTTCGATTAAAAATATCCACGTAGTGCCTGGTACTGTCTACGTGCTTGTCAACTAGGATTGAGGTTTTCGAGTCGGGCCGACGTTCGAGTCATTTTTTGGGCCTCATTTTTATCGGGCCGGCCCTACCGTGTCTTTTTCGGGCCAAAATTCAATGCGCGATTCGATCTTTCGGACCGGGCCAGATCGAGCCTCTATCCCTATTGTCAAGTACTGAAAAATTATCGAAATGTCTGTGCTTTGGAAATTTTAAAATGCCCAGTAGTGGGGGAAATTAAAATTCCGAAATTGTTGAATTTATTTGGACAATTTTTTTTCGTTTTAATCATTTTTTCTTTTTCAAGAAAAATCGATCGAGAAAGCTGTCAAAATGAAAGGAATTGCAAATATGTGGATGGAAATAGCTGAAGAACTATCTGATACTCTTATAGGGGAAATTAGTCCAAATTTAGATGTTAGCCCAATTAATATGTTGCTTAAAGTGGATGATGAACAATTCAAGTAATTGGTCGAATTTTTTTGACAATTTGTTTCTTTTTAGAGAGTTTGCACTTTTACAAATTCAAGTTGCTTTACGTACTGGGCGTATTCAGGATGCTGTTGGAATGTTTAGAAATTCGAGAATTTTGTGGCCGGAAACGGGAACTTTTGGGAATGATTTTGATTCGATTGAAGAAGAAATGTTATTATTACATTTAATATTCCATGAAGATATGCAGGGAAAAGCAGAAATATATGAAGAAGAAATTAGAAAGGCTTATGGAAGGGAAGATGAAGAAGAAAATTTGTTGGAGGAGGAAAAGGGAATAAATGAATTTGATATGAGTTTGAGTGATGAAGAAAGTGAAGAAGCAAGAAAAGTTTTGGAAGAGACTGAATTGGATTTTCCTCAATTTGTTTTGTCAATGGCTAAACCAACGGTGATAAATTGGTAGGTAAGAGAATGTTTTTTAGGAATAAATTTGGACTTATTTTGGAGGAGTTTGGAGAGGTTTAAAGTAGAGACAAGACTGGGAGTCTCGTACGAGAATCGAGATCTCGAAAAATTCTAGATCTCGATAACCGATATTTTCTATCAAGTTCTCGTCTCGGTCCTGTCTCTGGTCTAAAGAGTATTAATGCAAAGTTTATATACTAGAGAGTTGTAAAATTAGGTAGATACACAAAACAAAAGTCTACTCAACAAAATTTTAGTCAACCCTCTTACTTAAATATCCCAAAAACTGGATATTCCTCGATTTAAAATATGTCTTTTTAATTTTATTGTCCGAGGGTTTGTATATCCATTTTTAATTTAAAATGTCTTTCTCAGTTCCAAAGGGGTATCTAAAAATAAAATTCAACTTCATTTTATTTTTTCAGGTACATTTTTTGTTTGAAAAAATTTGGTACAAATCCAAAAGAAGTCAACATGGCAATTCTTAAATTTTTCCACAGAATTGCTTTCGATTTAAAATCCCCAGCATATTTATATTCTGTAAGGGAGGGATTTCATTTTAAAATCTCATTTTTCTTTTAATTTTTAAAGGCAACATTATTCAATATCCTAAAAGAAATTGATATAAATGTCAAAAATTCAACAGAAAAAGAAAATAGAAGTCAACACCCACATTTTAAAGTATGGGAATTTGGTTATTATTTACTTAAAAATTTCTTTGCTCAATCTGAAAAAATTGAAGGAGGTATTGGAATTTTAGCTTGTGAATTACTTTTTCCAAAAAATGCAAAAGAGGCATATGAAATTGAATGTGGATATAAAGAAAATTTGTGAAATATTTGAATTTTAAATGATTTTTTTGAAATGGTAATTAAAATTGGACCGCAATTTCTCTGGATCTTAGAGGGTTAACGAACTGGTCATCCCTTTTTCCAACACAAAACCAAATATTTTTTGTTCTAAAATTCAGAAATAATTTATGAAACTTGGGGGTAGAGATCTGCTTGTATCGTATCGGGCTAAAACGCGGAACGGATACAACACTGAACGACAAAACTCGGGCTTACCAAAACACGGAACGGCCCTCACCCGCCTGTATTACCATTTCTTTTATTTGAATGTTCTCAATTTTTTTCATACTTATTGTTAGCTCTATTCATTTGTAATTTTATTTAAATTAAACTTTTAAATATATCCTATCAAAGTTTTACTATAATAAAATACATATTTATCTGCTTAATATTTAGTATATATTTTATTCAATTTTGGAGGTTTTTTGATAATTTATTTTTAAGTATAATCTTTTTAAAAATGCTTCATTTAATTTTTCCAACTTTATTCACTTATTTTGTAATGGGGCTTTCATCTTTTGTTGTTTTTTCATCTGTTGCTCTTTTTGTTTATTATGGAATTTACAGGTACTTTAAAACTAGAGAAGAGTATTTTTTGAAAACAAATAATTTTTTAGACCAGCAAAATTATTATTTCGACTTGTTTTTTTACTCGGTTATTACGGGATTATATTGGCAGGACTTTACTTTATAGCCTCTTCTCTTTATTTTAATTCACAATCTACAGAAAAGTATTCGTGTTCAGAAAAATTGACAATTAAAAATGAAATTAATGGAAAATGTTTAGAGGGAGAGGAGGAAGAAAATAATGTTAACAATTTAAATATTTATTTTAATGTGTTTATTCAATTAACTAAAGTTGTGGTGAAATCTGTGGCAAAAGTTGTTGTTAGTGTTTTTGAATGAGAATATTTATTTATTGGGAGAAAGATTTTTTCATACATAAATTGTTTTTACTTTTAAATTTTATAATTTTACATTTTGTGCATATACATAAAGGTTATGAATTATTTTTTTAAAGAGAATTTAATTTAAAAATGATTAAATAAATGGCTAGAGATAGTTGAATAATACCAAAATCAGCCCAAAATTTGACTTGCTGACAAAGTTTGCCCTCACATTAGGCCTCCGCGGGAAAAAGTTTTTTGCCGCTGCGGAGGAAGCCGGACATGTCGAGCGGAACGACCGCCGCTGAGAGTTTTAATTCGTCTCAAAGTTTTCGAGATGACTAAGGACCGATTTAACATTAAGTATTAAGAGAAAATATTGTTAAAAGATAAGTGCCGTATCTCGGCCCGACAAATTTTGAATATGCGTCCTCCCATTAATTATTTACTGATTGTGAAAAAAAAAACAACTGACCTTCGAATTTTATCAGTCTTTTAGTGATTTCTGACCGCGTCAGTCATTTAACCCTTTTTGCCCTAGTTGGTCTTTTAAATAATCGGTCTTTTGTTCAGATAGTAGAATGAAAATAGCATCTTTGCAGAGAAAAAAATTAAATTAACATTATGCCAAAAAATTTTTTAATTTGAATTTTCTTTTGACTATAAAAAGACTTTCTCTCACAATTAATTTCAGTAATTTCAGTTTCAGTTAATTTTTAAAATTTTTAGTGATAAAAGGATGGAGCCGGTCAATAATATTATTTCTATTTCCAAGGCTATTTTGACTTTATTAGAAGAGAAACGGCGTATTGACGGTGAACTTGCAAAACACGAAGTACTTTTAATGGCTAATCTTAAATTGATTACAATGGAACCTCCAAAGACTATTGACGAACAAAATTCGCCAGAATCACCAATTTCTGGCAAATCTGATGGCTTAAACAATTATGAGACTCCATTACAAATTCCGTTGGAACGCGAGGATGTTAAGAACAACAGCGAGGATAATATCAATCAGGAGGTTAATTTAAATCTTATTTTCCGACTTGTTTTGGGGCTTTCTATTGTTTATGACGTGGGTTGTCTGACCGGTCCGAAAGATTGAGTCAGGTATCGAATTTTGGCCCGAAAAAGACTCGGTCGGACCGGCCCAAAAATGAGGCCCTAAAAAATAACATGAACGTCGGCCCGACTTTAAAACCGCAACCCTAGTTATGACTTTCAAATTGTGCCTTTGCGGTGCTCCTCCTTGCAGCTATCCCCCCTTTTTTAAACATTAATTAGTTTTTTGTGCTAGACATAAAGACATAGTTTTGCTAGACATAGTTCCTTTTGCATACCATAACTTTCAGACACCGGAAGAACAAAAGCCACCTTCTCCAGAGCAATTGCCTCTTCCGCAGCCCAACTCAATTTTTGATGTAGAAGTTTCTCCTTTGTCTGTCAGCCACAGCAACAATAACGTCAACAGTGCTGTTGAGGCTCCTCTTTCTGATGATGAAACTTTGGAAGTTACTGATGAAGTTGAACGTGAAATTGGTTTAATTATTTCTTAAATTTGATTAGATATTGTTTTTTTAAATTTTAGATCAAGTTGGCAATGGAGAACGTAATTTGGCTGATGCTGGACTTGGTGGTCGGAACAACAATAATTTTATAGGTTTCATATTAATTCTAGTCGGAGGGAGGGGAAGATGTAAAAATTCAATCAGTCCTTGTTAAAGTAGAGGTCAGGATATGACCCCGGGACGCCGTTGTTTTGGGATTTTTCAAAATTTACATTGACACAGAATCATAAAGCATTAGGTTGCTAAACGAGGAGATAATTAGGAATATAGTAGCTTTTTAGCTCACAGTAAGTGGGACCTTTTGGGGTTACATCAATTGCCCCTTGAAATGAGGAGAAGAAAACACCAAGAAAACGCTAAATATATTCTAGCCTCCCCTAAAATTGACCCATTGACTAGCCTATATCTTAAAAGATCAAATTGAAATTTTACTTTAACTGCTATTATTTTCTTTCTAGTTCTACTTCAAGAGCCTCCAACAAATTTTACTATGAAACTCGACTTCAGCCTCAATGATCTTTTTGCTACTGCCCAAGACAATTTTCATTCAACAGAACAAATAATTAACAACTTTAAATGGATTTTGAAAATTAATTATAGAAAACAACAAGAGTTTAAAGGGAAAACAATTCCTCTTTCTTTGGGTATTTTTGTTCAATGCAAAGGGCCTTTAAATGAGAATAATCGAGGAAGTTGTATTGTGAATGAACTCAATTTCAAAATTCATAATTGGAATCAGGGCGTTCCCGGGTTGATGAAGACAAGAGGTTGCTCAACTCCGTTTGAGCCGCCATTTACTTCAACTACCGGTGTTTGGTTTAATTTGGATAAAAAGAAGGTTATTTTTTTGTTTTTTTTATTTTGATTATGGGGAGTGGTTTTAGAATCACCGTCTATTCTATTTTTAAAAGTGGATTCAGGAAAAGTTTGGGGAGGAAAACTTGTAAAATTAAGGAGTAGGTTCACAATCATAGGAAAACTGCAATTTCCCGAGACCCAAAAATTGTGGCAAAATTCGGGTATGATTGATGACTTTATGATTATCCTGACCGTTTAGGGAGAGCATGTTGGAAAATGTAGCCTTTTTAACGTGAAGAGGGTGTAACGTCAGATCTGTTGATTTTCGTTCCTTCTTTCTGTTTACATTTCTTTTTCCTTTTTAAGGATTAAATTTTTAAGAAAAATTTTAAATTTAAAAATTACAGAAAATGATCGAAGAAGGACTTGTTACCAGAGAAGATCTGAGAATTCGTGTTTCGGTTGTGCTTATATTCCGCCATCCACACAATTCTAACTCGGCTCAAAGTATTCCAGATGACTAAGGACCGATTTAAATATTGAGAGGAAATATTGTTATGAAGATAAGTTAAATTGTTGGAAATTTTTATTGGATTTTTAAAAATGTTGAGGGGAATTTTATTGTTAAAAATATTTAATTTTGGTTGTTTTTGGCTATTTTTAATAAATTCTTTTTTAGTAAATAAATTTTTTTACCGAATTCTCGAAGGGTTTTTTGTAAAATTTTGGGAAAAACTATCTAAGCGACGGGGTCCTTGAAAAATTGCCGTATCTCGGCCCGTTAAAGTTTGGTTATCCTTTCTTCCATTAATTTTTAGTGAAAATATTTTTGAAATTAAGATAGATGTAGTCAATTAATTTACTGAGATAATGTAAAAGTTTAAGAATATTCTAATTTATCTCGACCATTTTAAATGTCGACATTAAGTTGATTGTTCTTCCAATATTTTCTAAATTAATACAGTGGCATCGACGCTTTCTCTTTTCCCTTTTTAAATCGTTTAACCCCCGCCTAAGCGTTTTAAATGTTGCTAGGTTGTTAGTCTGAGACTTTTTTACTTAAATTATTTCACCATTTTATTCTGTTGAAAAATATAATTTAAGAAAAGATTCACAAAGTGTTGTCAGATATAGGTACTTATTTTTTAAAATTTATTTATTAAAATGATAAAATAAGCAACAGAACGGGGTGAGCATTGTACCATTGTTGCACTTATAAATAGTTAAGATATAGCTTAAATTTGTTTAAATATCTAGCTCGCGGTCAACAGTACATACGCAAAAGGTATTCTGCAAAGACGTCCATCCTCCTTCCGTGACGGTGAACTACATAAAAATTTTTAAATTGAATTTTCTATGTAGGTGTTTAAGAAGCTTAAAAACACTAATAAATGAAATAAATTTGGAAAAATTTCGGAATACTAAACAGAACGTAAATACATCTAGTATGTAATCTGTGGACAAAAAATGGAAGAATTACCCCTTGAACAAACAATTGACTAGTCAAAATTAAAATATCCAAAACACAACTTTGTATCAGAATTCGACCGTGTGTTTTCATTTCTTTTGGTGTTTTAAAAATAATTAAAATAATCAGAAGAATATTTAAAGGAAAACCAATTAATAAACAAACAAAATAATCTAATTTAAATAAAATATCAAGTATATCCAAGGACATTTTTTTTAATTTTTTAATTTTAAAAGTTGTATAATAAAAGTAATTATTAAATATTTTCTTTAATTATAAAATACGAAAAGTTGTTTATCAATTAAAAAAATTTTTATTTATCATGTCTTTAAAAGTACAAAAAATATTTGTGGGAAAATTTTGTTTATTTAAAATTAACAAATAAATTCTTAGAAAATATTTTTTAATTTAATATGTATGTATATATAGTAGAGTTAAAACCCGGACCGGATCTCAACCGGATTTTCGGGATCCGTTGGTTTTGATCAGGGTATTTTGAGCCAGATCCGGGTATCATCTGCAATTTTTAATGTCAAAAAATACAAATAGAAATATTTTACAATAATTACAGCCATTTATATGAACTCGAAACAACTCCAAAATCCCGTACCTCGACACACCCGTCCCCGAATAAACATATGTAATCTTAAAATCTGGATCCAACTTAATTTATCATTTATTTTAACATTGTATGTTCTATTTGTAAAAAAGCTTTAATTAAAGGCAAACATATTGCCAGCAAGATATACTTAATATCTATTTTATGAAGCTCAGACTGTGACGTTGGTTTTTTTTATTTTTCAATCTTTCTATTTTTTAGACTCTCTAAATTTGTTACGATCGTTTGTTTTAGCTCCTTATGGTCACCATGGAAAAAAGTACACTTTTTACTTTCTTTTCTCGTCCAAAACTTTTACCACCGGGTACACTATATCCCCAATTTTCTCAACCAAAATTTAACGAAGCATTAAAATTGTACTTTAAATTTAAGAAAAAATTTCTCACAAATATTTTTTGTATTTGAAAAATGTGAAACTTTTTAATAAATATTTACATTAATTATTTCTTTAACTTTTAAAGAACTTTTTAAAATCAAAGAAAGTACACTTTATTTTTTAATGTTGCCAGCTTATTCGCTAAATGTTCAGCTTCATTCTTTCCGCTAATACTGCCTACAAAGGAATTGTCATAAGACATTTTTTGCTAGATTCTCCTTGGTTTTTTCTTTCCCTTCATTTTCTTCAAATTACCAAATTCGCAGACAGCTTGGCGTAATTTCTTTGTATAAATGGGGAACCCTTAATTAGGCTGGGTTATACCTAATGTAATATTAAAAACCAGGCATGCTCATATGTAGATACGGATAACATTTACCGATTATTTTGTTTGTTTATTAATTGGTTTTCCTTTAAATATTATTCTGATTATTTTAAAAACAACAAAAGAATGAAAATAGGATTGTGCTCCGAACACTCGGGGGCGGGCATGTCGGGGTACGGGATTTTAGAGTTGTTTAGAGGCCATAGTATATGTAGAAGGTCCCAAAACCACCGGGTCCCGAAAATCCTGTGGGATCCGGTCCGGGTTTCAACTCTGCATACATACATATGTACACTCCGCATCAAAAAGATTCGGACACCTTGTTTTCTGGGTATATTTCTCGATTATCTAAACAATTATAGCAAATACTTTAAGAAAAATATAAATAAGGACCTAAGATATATGTATAAACAAAAAATTTAAAAAAATTTTGAAGACTAAATTCACTCAAATTACCCCATAAATTATCATTATTTTTTAACTTTTAACTTTAACCGATGAAGCCTCAATGGTAAGATTTTTCTACAGGATGGGACCAATTGTTTTTTGTAGCAAATTTTGTGGGCTTTCTGGTAGGCCTGAAAAAAATTTTTAATACAAAGCCTAAGTGGGTTAAAATATTCTTCGAAGTACTGTAATTCCGTTTTCCGTTGATTTTGAGGGTTTGAGATTTCATTGAAGAAGGCATCTATGGACTTTGTTCTTTTTGCATTTCAACTACTATTGAAAATAAATCCTTTGAAAAATCTATGAATTTATTTGTTAATTTTAAATAAACAAAATTTTCCCACAAATATTTTTTGTATTTTTAAAGACATGATAAATAAAAATTTTTTTAATTGATAAACAACTTTTCGTATTTTATAATTAAAGAAAATATTTAATAATTACTTTTATTATACAACTTTTAAAATTAAAAAATTAAAAAAAATGTCCTTGGATATACTTGATATTTTATTTAAATTAGATTATTTTGTTTGTTTATTAATTGGTTTTCCTTTAAATATTCTTCTGATTATTTTAATTATTTTTAAAACACCAAATGAAATGAAAACACACAGTCGAATTCTGATACAAAATTGTGTTTTGGATATTTTAATGTTGACTTGTCAATTGTTTTTACAAGCGGTAATTTTCTTCAAAGGGTAACCCTCCTCCATTCTTGTAGATTCGGAAAATCGTTTTCCCGGAATCCCGTAAGAATGATTCAGGATCGGTTTACTATTCTCAAATCCCGATTCTGATTCCGATACGGTTTGAACCCTATTTAAAATCATTTTATAATTATTTGTAGTATAATATACTTGATACAGAAGGGAATGGAATTCTTATTTTAACTAATGGAATTTTGCTTGATTTTATGAAAGAAAATTTTAATCCATTTATTTGTTATTATGTTTTTATATTTTGGGCATTCATTAACAATGTAAATTTACATGGATTGTGTGTTCAATTTATTTATAGATATTTAGTTTTGAATAGGTAAATAAATAAATAAAAATTAAAAACTTTAGTATAAAGTTTGAGATTTCCAACGGGGCGAGCGCATTGCACTTTGCTTTTATTTTGATGAAATTAACGCAAAAATATACCATGCGGGCAAAAATGGAAGAAATTTGACTTCTTTTCTCCCAAAATTCTCACATTTGGTGCTTAAAGGGAAGATGGATCCACTTAATCGCTCTGATCCTCTTAATTCCCACAATTTCTCGAAAATCTTAACCCTTGGCATCCCTAATACACATAATAATTTCTTTGTCCATGTATCTAAACTTTTGCTAAACTCTAACTATTGTTTTAGAAATCTGAAGATTAGCTTTTGTCGTTATCTATCTATGTTGTCCATTCTTTTATTTGTTGAATTATTGTATATTTTGTCTGTAATTTTGTTTTCAATGCCATATTCTAATGGAAGTATTAAATATTTTGATAATATTAACAAAACGTTGCCGTTTATTCAATATAAAATGGATAAGGTTAATTTAAAAATAAATTTTATGAATTTTAAAAAAGATGAATGCATTGTCACTATTGCTACCAGCTTTAATTGAAATATCTGCATATTTAATATTATTTATTTGTGGATTTAAAATGGTTAGATATGTCAAATTAAACACTAATCTTGATGGAAATTTAAAAAGATTGAATAAACTTTTAACAAAAGTTTTGATTATTTTGGTAAGAAAAATATTTTTTCTTTATGTACATATATCGTCCTTATCCTTTTTTTGTTAGTTCCTCATCTGTGGACTCTTCTTTATTATTTCAAAAGGAATGCTAACTTTTAGCTTAATTATAGTGACCGGCGCGGGACAGGATTTCTGCGGAATTTTGCGAGGGTTACGGAGTTACTCCGGCATGCGAGATCCCGCAAATACGATTTTGCCGGTCACTAATTAATTATACGCATTCGTATACATAAACAAAAAAAGTGATAAATTAGCCTATGGCCCGTCCTTACAGCATTTAGACCCCTTCAACGTTTTAGACACATACATCGGTTAGTGGAATAATTAATCCTTATATTTACATCTAATATTTTAGATTGACAGACCTCTACCTTGGGTAGATACCTTATGTCATTATCATTCTGATTGGGCCTAATTAGGGACTAGTAAATAACCCCTCAGCCATTTTCCTCTAAAATTAAAATTTTTTATTTTAAACAGGCTGTTGTACCGTTTATTTACCAAGCTGGAGTTTTATTTCTTATAATTTATGCAAAAACAAACAACAACACAACAAATATTATTCGAATAATGATTCACATTTCTGTTCATTTAATACCTGTATTTAACCCAATTATTTGTATTTTAACAAACACCCCATATCGAAATGCTATTTTTAATCGTTCACAAGTACATCCACAATAAATTCCAAAGATTGGATAAAATTCATGGGAGTACAATTGAATTTCATTTATACGACACCTCTCAAATTCATGTTAAATTATCATTTTTGGAATAAATTTTTAATTATATTTTCTATTTTATATAGAAAAATAGATATTCAAATTTTATGATCAAAATTTAAGAAAAATCAGCAAGAAACCCCTAAAATAAGTCCAAAAATGTTAAAAATTGGTTTTATGGGCTTTCAAATGAGCCCGAAAGAGAATTTTTATATAAGCTCTAAAGGGATTAAAATATTTTTTAGTAACTTAGCTCCATATTTCCCTATGATTTTTAGGATTTTAAATCTCAATGATGATCTAGCTCTTTTTGTTTTTCTACACAATATCCACAGAAATTTTGTAGAATTTTGGAGCATTTTATTTTAAGATTTTCTTCAAAGTATAAACAATGTACCGGTCAATTTTAGGGTTTATATGGCCAAATAATTTTAATTTAATAAACAAAAAAAGTTTATTGAAGATTAACAAAAACAGCTATTTTTAATTTAATTTTTTTCATTAAAATTTTGTTTTTTTTAAATTAATGATTTTATTACTACTCAATTTCCAATTATTTTCTGATGTCGATTGAAAAAGCTTAACCTGCTGAAACGTTATGAATTTTATCCAATTGTTAAAAAAATTTGAATATTTTTATTATATTTCTAGTTCTATTGATAGGAAAAACAGAAAATATTAAAAAAACATTTTTGCCCAGCATTAAATTTAAAATTATAATTTTTTCATCCATTTTTAACTACAGTTGATTCATATTTTAAATTCTCTGATTCATTTAATTTAAATTCTCATTTTATTCTACTGCTGACATTTTAACAGTCAAAAAATTTATTTAAAAAAATGAAAATATTTCTTTTTATTTTTTGTCAATTTACTTTATCTTTCGCTTCTCTTTATTCTTCAAATAATCCAGTAACTATACAAGAAGCTAAATATGTAGTTCAAATTGAGTCGAATTTCACGTTTGAAAATTTTCGAGAATTTTTTAAATAAAAAAAATATTTGAAAATTTGGGGAAAATTCTTTGGAGTGGGTATTTTATAGGGGTCGTTTAAAGGCTGTTTTTACAGTGACGAATATATAGGAGATTTTTGATATGTGGGCAGAGATTTATCCCCATGCTGCCTCTAGGGAAAGGAATGGAAATTACAGTAATTGCTTGGATAGTTCAAGAGAAAATAAAGTTGCTTAGGAATGGAAGATTTATTTTTTGAGTACTCCCTCTATCTCAGGCGAATTTTTTAGTTTTCTCTTTAAGAGGATAAATTGATAAATTTTCTGTGGAAGGTTTAAAAATTTAAATCTATAAAAATTTTTAAATAGAAATGCCAGACACCTCTGTAGCGGCACATTAATAACCAACAGGTTAGTGTTGACAGCAGCACATTGTCTTTACAGAAAAGATTTTGGGTGAGAATTTGGAAAAGTTTAAAAATATTTCTAAAATTATTCTCCTCCCTTTGATAGATTTGCAACTTTAATACGCCTTAAAATAGCCAATCAATTTTATTATTCGAGAGAATATGCAATGAGAAAAAATTTTGTAAATTAATTAAATTAAGGCTTTTAAAGGTAGTGGAAATATTTTAGATTAAATTTGGAGAAGATTGGGACGATATGGCTTTAATTATTTTAAATACCCCTACTTTTAATGTTGATGAATTCGAACAGCCTTACAATATTCGAACGAAGGAAAGCGAAGAAACATTTGCTTTTGGTTATGGAATAAATGAATGTATGGAGTAGGAAATACATAATATTCTCTCTCATATCTCATAAACTTTTAAAACTCTTCGAATACAAAAGGAACATTGTAAAGCTTTATTTGGGATTTGATGAAATAAAACTAAAATTTATTAGAAACAACTGTAAGGTTGGCGGATCCGGATTCGAAAAAAGGCCGGATATCCGGAAATTTTCGGTTCGGACACCGGATCCGAATATCCGAAGATTCCCAACTATCCGACAACCTTAAACAACAGTAATAACTGGAAGGGAACAGAATAAGTGAGATAAAATTGGCGTGAAAAAATTTATGAGAAGAGACGAATATTCTATTTAATTTTTACTTTAACTACAACTAAATTTAGCTTTTTAAAGTTCGAAAGTTGCCAAAAGAGCCGCACAAAGTTCCCATTAAATTAATTGAAGAAGAAAACTCTTCAGAATGTGCAATTTATTTTTACTTCTCTGGAGCTGCAAGATCTTGTTTGGTAAAAAATTAGGATTGGACACGACAATGCCCCCACTTTCCCCAATTTGTCCACTATCCAATTTCCCTTTTCCCAAATGTTCGGACACGGTTTTTTAACCCTGACTAAAAATTAACCGTTTTTTGAGGAGTGAGTGTAAAATAATTCCCCCAAAATAAAATTAATGTTTAATTAAAACTCAAAACCGAAATTGGCTTTCTTAAATTTGAAGTAACCAAAAATCGTGGACATCGGTTAATAACTAGTTGTGTCCAACCTTTGTACAGATTTAACATCTCTGATTTATGCCTTCTCAACATCATTCCCTCTCAGTTATACCCTCTCGAAAATGTAGTAAAGCAGCTGAGCTATAGCTATTTCTCTCCTTTAGCTAGTGCAAAGGTTATTTGGCAGCCGGGTACGAACCATCATTTTCAGTAGACCGGACTAATGTGTTATCCACTAGTGATGGTCGAGACTCTCGGTCTCGGTTCCCGAGTCGGGAAATTTCCCATGTTTTTGAGCTCTCGGTCTCGCCTCTCGGCTTTAACTCCTAACCATCACTATTATCTACTACACCACGCCGCCTACTGCACAGCCTTAGGAAATTTAAGAGATAAACCAGAGATTCTTCTCTTATTGTCCTCTATTCTAATTTTATCTTTTTTAAAGGGCGATTCAGGCGGTCCAGTCTTCTCTTACTTGAATAATAATAATCAAGAATCTTCGACTCCTTCATTTGTTTGGAAATTTTTATTTTTTTCCAATTAATTTTTTCTTTAAAGATAGGTTTATCGTTACAAATAGCCTTATATGTGGATAGCAAAAATACAAACAAAAAATTTATTTATGGAGAAAATGTAAATTTAAGAGATGAAGAAATGGAAAAATGTAGAACAGCTAATGAATTAAGTGTTTTAAAGAAGGAATGTATTCTGGTAAAGGAAGAAAAATTTTTTTTTTTTAATTTGAGAATATTTAAAGGGCTGGCTAGAATATTTGGTTTATAATGAAAGTAATTTTAGAAGGAAGGAAATTTTAAAAGAAATATTTGATTCGTTTATATGGAAATAAAACTTTTTTTGGTCTTTTTGCAATAATGTAAATAAATAAAAATTTGTAAAGGTTAAATTAGAAGAGTATAAAAAGTGATTATTTAATATGTACATTTAACGCCCCCATAATGAAAATCCTAGAATGTAGTGGTAAAGTACAGCTGTGGGCTGCTTTTTACGTGTTATCCATTACACCCCACCGCCTACTTCACATTATTAGGAATTAAATGGCTATGTCTTTATAATTTTATGAAATTCAAATTCTTATTTTTTTTTGTTTTTCAATTTACATATATTTTTGGCATTCTGTCAACAGAGAGAATGTTAAAATTATGAGAGAGGAAAGAAAAAATGAGTGATAATTTGTAGTGACCGGCACCGGCCCGGACTCCGGCCGGATTTGCCGGAGTCCGGGTCCCAAATCCGGGTTTTTTTTCGCGTTCTCCGGATTTTTTTCCGGACCGGATTAATCCAGAAAAATTCGGTCGGATCCGGTCCGGCTCTAATGCCAAATCCGGAATCCGAATCCGGCAAATTTTTTGCACCGGATTCCAATGACGACGAAGTGTACGAAAAAGAATAAATGGAAAATCTTTATGTAGGACCTAGATTCCAATGAAGACGAAGTGTACGAAAAAGAATAAATGGAAAATCTTTATGTAGGACCTAGATTCCAATGAAGACGAAGTGTACGAAAAAGAATAAATGGAAAATCTTTATGTAGGACCTAGATTCCAATGAAGACGAAGTGTACGAAAAAGAATAAATGGAAAATCTTTATGTAAGACCATTATTGCACAGTATTTTAGGAAATAAATAGTAGCTATATGCTTTACAATGTTAGGAAATTCAAATTCGTATTTTATTTGTTGTTCTCTTTTTGGCATTTATTTTTTGGCATTCTGTCGATTGAGAAAGAGAGAGTGTTAAAATAATGAGAGAGGAGAGAAAAACAGATAATTTGGGAAATTTTTCCAGGGCCGTGTCCAAAACACCGCGCGGCCCTAACAACTCAAAGCCATAACTTGCTTCAAAATTTACAAATCTTTACAAATTTAGTATTAAACGATTCGTCTCATCAAGTTAAAGAGATTGCCCCTTAAAATCTTCCATTTCTTCCTTTTTTAATATTTTATTATTCTTCAGATATTTTAGTTTATATTTCACTTTTCTACTTCTAATTTATTTCAAAAATGGACGAGCGTGTCAAAGTTCAATGTGAAATTTGTAATATGGTTCTTCCTTATGCCAGAGTTTGTTTTAAAAGGAATTCATGTTAAAAAATTTTGTCAGATGCCTATTCATCTCAAAGAATGTAGAACAATTCGAACTTTTCCGTGCAGTCTCTGTCCGCGATTCTTCCAGTCACAAGCAGGTGTGAATAGACATCAAGGTCAAGTGCATTCAGCGGATGAACGAGGAACTGCTTTTCGTTGCCAGTTTGTTTTTTGATTTTTTTGTTATAGTTTCATTCTTTTCGATATGACTTTTTTAGACCACTATCTTTTCGGTAAAATTGAATTTCGTATACCCTCTCCTTTTCCTTCCTCAAAATATAAGAAATGGCCAGTCATTAGGTTATAGAACTCGTCGAGCTGTGCCGACTAACACCAAAATCAACCCCCGGTCTTAACTTTGGGCCGAGTTACCCCCGAAAATATATAAAGAATCCTATTGGTGTCGCGAGACGCTTGTGCAAAACCCTCGGCAAGACGACTAACTGTCTATTTTTTAATATTTTGAGGAAGGAAAAATGAGAGGGTATACGAAATTCTATTTTACCTAGAATTGTTTTAGCTCTGAAACTCTAAAAATTTTTTAGTCATTCTGATTGTAACTTTGGCACAAACAATGAACAATCTCTCAAAAACCATTTGAATTTGCACATTACCGGATTTCGCCGTTCTCTTTCGCGTTCTCGTTCACGCTCTCATTCTCGTCAACCAGGTGGAAATCAATATTCTCAACCCGAGCCTGAACCAATGGATCAACAACCGACGGAACAACCACAACAGGAGAATCAACAACAACCTTTAATGGAGGAAGTGCAAAATCATGTTATGGGGCAAAATGATGTTCCGAAGGTTTTTTATTTAATTTTAATTTTGCTTTGGTATTTGTGAGGTACATTGGACCAGTTTGGGTAGGCAAAAGACATGGAAATGTTCGGTGCAAATAACACCAACACGTCTATAATAATTTAAAATTACCTTTAAATTAAAGGTTGGTGCTAGAGCTACTCCAATTCATATGGATCATAATATTGAACAATCTCGTGAAGATTTGGCTGAAGAGGTTATTTTTTATGTTTTAATGAAGAATCGTTCATTTTTGTCCAAATATGAATATTTTAGAAATTAACAGTTTCGTTTCTTTCATATTTTATAAACTGACCTTCAGGCATAAAAAATTTTTATTTTTTAATTTTAAGGCTTCAACGTGTTCTGCAGCATCTGAAACTGAACCTCCTCTCGGTATTTACGATCTCCGTCTTATTGATCCAACTAGAGCTCGATTGATTATGGCCGAAGAACAAAGGGATTTGGATGATATTGTTCGGGTTTGGTTTTTTTTAATTTTTACAATTTGTTTTGTTTTTAAGAATTTGAGAGAGAACAATCATCAATTACGTCGATATTGCGAGAATCATGGTATTGGTATACTTGAACACGATGTTATCGGAGAACAAATTGAAGGTTTATTTAAAGGATGTTTTGATCTAATTTAAGCTATTTTTCAATCTTTTCGATCATTTTATTTTCGATTATCTCTAAATTCTGTTAATTTGATATTCTCTATAATTAGGCTAATGTCGGTCCCTCTTTAATTGAAAAACTAAATTGGTAATAGTTAAGTTTGTGTTGTACCTTTTTTTTCTTAATAATGTACATAATGGTCAGACTTCCGACTTTAATGTTTTCCTCTTTTCCACACATCTGCGTCCTTTATAAACAAAAATCTGTTACGAATATTTGTTCAACCTCCACACTTGTGGCATGTTCGTTTCTCGTGAAAAAGTCCAAGATTCTCAAGCCATGCATCAAAATTATCCTTAAACGAGGCTGTTCATGTAGATGAGAAGTTTTAAAAATCTTTTAGTTGTTTGGAAAATAAGAAAGACGGGCTAACAAAACTTAACTATTACCACTAAATTTTTGTAAATATTTCTAAAAATTTTATTTTCATTTTTAGCTTATATGCGTATCTTTTCTGTTTCTGATTAGCAAAAATGATGTTGAATGGCTAAATGATGGACATATTTTTGAAGTGCCTGGTGATAATTTATTTGATAATTTATTTTTGATTCAAAAATTCTTTCGAATCTCCTTATATTTTTTGAGCTATAAAATGTTGCAGGTTCTTCATTTATTTATTTGTTAACTTAATAATTGTTTTAAAAATTTTTGGATTGAGAATCAGTTCCTTGAAAAATATTCCATTTTCTTAATTGTTTCAACCAAAAATAATTAAATTTATTCCTCACTGAAAAGTTTTGTTTCCATAGACATTCAATTAACTAAATATAATTAAAGTTTAGCTTTTTTAGATTTTAAGGTACTTATGGAGTTGTATCCGCTGAAAAATTCTACTTCCCCTTAAGATGTACAAAATAGTCAACTTTCTCCTTCATCAATTTACTCGATTTTTCTGATGTATTTCAAGAGGGCCTTAATTATTACCAAAAAAATAGTATTATTTTATTAATAAAGAAAAATTAATTTTTTTCGAATTTCATCAAATATAAATTAACAAATAAATATTTTATGTTTCAGACATGGGTGGGGGCTAACTCGAGGAATTCAAAATCACGGAACAGACAGGTCACGGAATTACCAAATCACGGAACGACCAACTCACGGATGTACATATTAAGGAAAAATAGTATTACTCCTTACCCCAAAAATAAATATTCCACTAATTATATTCTATAAATATGTTCTTCCTTCTTCAAACATTCTGATCAAATCGTGCATTTTGCTCCATTGCTGCTTACATTAATCCATTCCAGAACTATTCTAGACATATTGTCTTGATTCCTATTTCTCTTAAGAGGAAAACTGCATATTCTGATTCATTTTAAATCGTCGTGAAACAAGAAACATCAGAATATGCAGTTTTCCTCTTAAGAGAAATAGGAATCAAGACAATATGTCTAGAATAGTTCTGGAATGGATTAATGTAAGCAGCAATGGAGCAAAATGCACGGTTTGATCAGAATGTTTGAAGAAGAAGGAAGAACATATTTATAGAATATAATTAGTGGGATATTTATTTTTGGGGTAAGGAGTAATACTATTTTTCCTTAATATGTACATCCGTGAGTTGGTCGTTCCGTGATTTGGTAATTCCGTGACCTGTCTGTTCCGTGATTTTGAATTCCTCGAGTTAGCCCCCACCCATGTCTGAAACATAAAATATTTATTTGTTAATTTATATTTGATGAAATTCGAAAAAATTAATTTTTCTTTATTAATAAAATAATACTATTTTTTGGTAATAATTAAGGCTCTCTTGAAATGCATCAGAAAAATCGAGTAAATTGATAAAGGAGAATGTTGACTATTTTGTACATCTTAAGGGGAAGTAGAATTTTTCAGCGGATACAACCTCCATAAGTACCTTAAAATCTAAAAAAGCTAAACTTTAATTATATTTAGTTAATTGAATGTCTATGGATACAAAATTTTTTAGTGAGGAATAAATTTAATTATTTTTGGTTGAAACAATTAAGAAAATGGAATATTTTTCAAGGAAATGATTCTCAATCAGATTTTTTTTCGATTTTCAAATAAAATTAATTTATTTTTTTATTTTCGTATTTTAATTTATATTTTAATTTCTTATTGATTCATTTTGGTTGTTGATTCATTTTTTTATCGTATCCTTCGATTAAAAATTTTTTAGGATTTTTTTCAATATCCTTTAAAAAATGAATTTAATTCATGTTGAATCAATTAATGAAAGTGCTGATATTCCACTTGAATTTAGCAATAATTTGGATGAAACTGGACAAAGTCGAGAACAAGAAAGTTTGTTTTTTTAAACATTTTTTGAATAAAATTTCTTTTTTTAGAAAGCCCCTACCTTCCTTATGATCCAGACAAATTTTCTCTAGCTCACTTTTATCGTCCACAAAATGATGTTGTTGCCTCTTGGATTGTGCAAGCAGGGATGGAAGGAATTGATAGATATGAAATTTCTTCTCGTTTGGGAATTGATGCTGACACAAAACCTGGGAATAGACTTGTCTCTACTTCAATACATAGCACTGTGAGAAATCGAGAAAAATATTTTGGGGAATTTCAAAAGACGGAAGGACGTTTTAGAGTCAAAAAGTTGGTTAATTTTTATAAATTTTGTTTATCTTTTTAATTTTAGATATTTTTTTAAATGTGCCCAAAATGAGGCGGGAGGGGAATTATATGTTAAATATAGTCAACGTTTCAAGGAATTAACTGGTGTGGATTGCCCTTTTCGGTTTGGCGATTTACTGAAATTTCCTGGATACAATTTAAGTAATTTTTTAAATTTTTTTAAATTGAATAGGCGAGAAATCTTCTTTGATTTTCTTGACCTTTGAAGCTCTACCTGGAAAAATTTCTCCTGAAAATTATAAAAATAATGAGATTTTATTCTTTCATATTTAGGTTGGCGGATATTTGGAAATCTTCGGATATCTGGTATCCGAAGCGAAAATTTCTGGATATCCGGCCTTTTTTCGGATTCGGATCCGCCAACCTTATTGCAGATTCCTGGCCTATTTTCGACTAAATTAGCTATTTTAAATATGGATAAAAAACAAAAAAAGATTGGGGTAATTATTAAAATCATTGGTCCCTAGAAAAATATTACCATGATTGGATTTTGCTGTTTTACTTTACTTCTATTTGTTTAGCACTTGCTAATATCCAAATTTTTCGAATTAAATCGATTTCCAATTTCCCTGGGAATTGTTTTAAAAGATCCCCAAAATTGTTTAATTTATAAATTAAGTTATTTAGACACACTTCGCATTACTGACATTACTTTAAAAAGATTAATTCAAATTCTTGAATATTTAAAAGAAGTAAAAGCTGTGTTAACTAATATACGTCTACAAACATATATTACTTTTCTTGAACAAAATGAAGGATATCAATTTTCGGTTTTGAATTTTTTCTAATTTTTAAAATGTTTTCTGTTTTTAGATTGACAGAAAATCTATTAAAAAATTACTTTTGGCTTTGTTACAAAAAAAGTTTATAAATATTCTGAAATTGGAAGTTCTTGAAAATGGAATTGCTCAAACGGTTTATTTTTTAACTTTATTGCCATTAGGTTTAAGGTTGCCGTTTTCGAGTAGGGCCGACGGTCGAGTCATTTTTTCGAGCCTCAATTTTATTGTGTCGGGCCTATACGATTATTTTTCGGGCCCCTCTATCTTTCTGTTCAAGTAGGGCCGTTTTGGCAACCCTACTTATTGTTAGGTTGGATATACTTGAGTTATTAGAATAGTAGGGTCTAATTGGTGAAAGCTTTAAATTTCTGATTTCCTTAACTTGAGTTTATTTTTAATTTTAAATTTTGTTAGTTATTTAAACATGCACATAAGTTGGAAACCCCAATTATCAAAAAAATTTTCGGTCTAAATTTTATTTTTAGATTGATGTCATCACAGTTCCAGAAATTACTTCAATTGGTGATGCCCATGTTTCTGAAGTTTTAGAAAAAACAATGGCTGAATTCAAAGAGCAAAATAAAAGTTTTCCTTCTGGGCATCAATTAAAAAGAGAACGTCCAGTTGTTGAACCAAAAGTTGTGGTACAGGTCGAGGAAGATAGTCCACTTAAAAAGGAGCAGGTTTGTGGTATTTGGACGACTTCATTCAGATTGATAATTCTGGAAGATACCCCCCCTTCTCCTCCCTCAATATACTTGGCTATCTTGCATAATGAGTTAGCCTTCCAGAAAATTTCATTTTTTCGAAATTGATTATTCCTAGCTACTTCACCTTTAGTTTTCTTTCTTGAAATCTAATTTTTTTAATTAAAGAGTCATGATGTTGTCATGCTTGAAGAACAAGAGCAAACATCCTCAACTCCCCCTATTAGTGGTTCTTTACTACACAAAACATTTTCAACTGTTGAACGTCTTCAAGCATACCAGTTTATTTTCTTAAAAATTAATATTTTTTAATAAAAAATTTAAAGTAAATATGGGAAGAAAGGTGCCAATCCATATTCAATACTCTCTTCGAAAACAATAAATAATTTGGTTGAATCTGCCAAACAAAGAAGAATAAGTTTAAACTTTTTCTAAAAATTAAATTAAAAATTCTCGTTTAAAGGCAAAATAGTCCACAAAAGAAACCCAAAGAAAACTGTCAAAATAGAAATACCAAAGGATGCAGAAGAAACTGGAAGTACTTCAGTTGATGATAGTAGTTCTCCAACAAAAAGTATTCAAAGCAAAACTGAACCTACAAAAAGACATTATTCACAAAATGCTCGGTTAATGGATAATGTTGACAGAATTAGTCTTCAACACAAATCTTATTTGCGAAGTAGATTTTCACAGAGAGAACGGGATATGGTTAGTTTTTGGTTTTTTTTTTGAGTTTCTCGCTGGTTTCATTCTTATTGTCAAGGCTACTCATGTACTCTTTAATTCCAGACTCTAACGTTAAACTTTGAACGGCCATAACTTGCCCAAAGGGATTCTGCAAGAAAACGGATATCACGACACAATAGAAAGTCGGGGGTCCTCTATCGAATGGTACCAAAAAAATTATCACATTTTTGTACACAGTATCCTATGTTTCTTTGTAAGATTCCCTTTTAGTCTGTTCACAATATTAAATAGTAATACCTTTACTAATTTTTATTTTATTCTAGTTACTTCTCATTCGTGCCTCCAGTTTTTTCTTAAATCCAGTTTCAAAATTTTGGCCACATCCAAAAGTTATGCGCAATCTCATGCATGAATTTGTTCCAGTAATTTTTTTTATTTATATTCAAATTTTCCCCCTTTTTAAAGGAATCTCGTACAAAAACAACTTATTCTCTTATGGCTGCCGGTGTTAGAGAATTAAAAGACAGACAAGATCAGCACCAATATATTGTTAAAACATTGGCTAGTTTTAAAGATTTGCTGAATTTGAGGAATCGTTTGGTCGTAATGAATTTGTCTAAAGAACCTATCAAAGAGGGAGATGATTTAAAACCCAAAGATTTATTTTTTATTGATGCTTTTCGGACTGCTTATAAATTGTTATTTAGGTGAGTTTTAAAATTTAGATACTAGTATCAACTCGTATGGACATTCTGCATTTTTTTCCCCGAATATTTTGGATGAACTCACGAGGAACCATATCGAACTGTGACCAAAAATATCTTAATTATTTTTCTTCGTGCAGAGCATGACTGAAAACGGAGAAAAGGAGTCTCATTTTTCTCTTTAGGAAGACAAATGGTAAGAAAAGTGCGGGCGACTAACCGCTCCAAAGTCGAAAACTTTGAAGCCCTATAACTTTCCGATTTTGGGAGTAGGGCCGAAAAAGAAAAAATGGGAATAGGCATTGATCACGCTCTACACGATGGTATAAAAATAATTAAGAAATTTTTGTCACAGTTCGATATGGTTCCTTGTCAGCCAGATTCCTGTGTTTTTCTTGATCGATCTCATAAAAGAATGAAAAAATCTCTTTATTATCTAGTAAGAATTTGTGTCTCGATTAAGTTCATCCTTCTAATTTTTTGGTGTCTTTGACTTGGCTGAATCAGAATTGCTTGTTTTTGTTTTTCCCATTTCAACAAATTTTATTATAAGATCTAAAAATTTTTTCTCCTTTTAGGGAATCAGATGATTGTCCATCTATTTATGCTAGTGATCAAGAATTTCGAAATCATCTGAATAAAAACAAACTTCACTTCATTCAAGTAGCATCAGACGATAAAACAGCTTATGCCCCAACTCGTTCTCACCCACCTAAAAGTGTTGAAGAGATTCGAGAGCGTGTAGCATTTAATGCTGTTATGGTTAATTTTTAAAGATGTTTTAAAAAATATTTTCAATTTTTTAGTCGGCTCTGTTAAGTGAAAATGGAACTGAAAAAACTTTTGAAGGGCAAAAAACACAAATAGAACCTTCAACAAGTGATACTGGAGGAAATTATTTATCTAGTGGAGGAGTGGAATTTACAAATTTTCTTCTTCAACAAATTGAACCTTCGGTTATTTATTTTTAATTTTAAATTGAAAACGAGGAGCTAGAGAAATATAAGAATCACATGTTCAAGTACTAGTAGTCAAGGGCTTATGTTAGCCAATGGGGGAGGGCTTCTGGGGCTATAGCCCTCTGAAATCGAACTCCTGATTACACCTCTTCTAGTAACAAAGTACTAGTTTTTCAGCCCACTTTTTTAGTTCTTTCGAAAAAATATTTAGGGAGAAGCTAAATCATTTATGGACAAAAATCATACATATGTATATAGCCAGAAAAGTTAGAGAAAGGATTCAAAAAATTAGGATTTTTTAGTACTGCATTTACTAAAAATCATAGTCGTTCCGGAAACATTCAAAATTAATTATTTAATTATTTTTCTAGATATTATCTAATACAATAGAGAATATTCGCAGTGATGGTTTAATCACAAAAAATCGTATATTTGGTTCTAAAACAACAGGAACAGACGATAAACAATCGAAAGATTTGGGAGAAAGTGGAGTTGAGCAATCACCTCAAAAATCTGTCGACACTCAAGAGACTTCTTACAGTGCAAGAAAATCTGTTCGACTCACGCAATTGTAAATAAATTTAAATTTGTTATTATGGGTGAAATTTTTTTTGAAAATTGGGAGTGCTCTGGAACTAAACCTTTATTGAATTTAAAAATTTCCATTAATTTTTATAAAATCTCATCATTTTTTAAAGTTATCATCATTATTTTGAATCAACTTTACATACAAATTTAAAGAAAAATATTTTGGATACAACAACAAAATTTATTGAAAACAAACCAAACAAGAAAAATGATTTTGGAGAATTTGAAAATCCTGGGGAATTTATTATTTTGGCGAATTTAGCTTGTGATTCTAGACCGGTTTGTATTCGATAAAATTAAAAAAAAGTTTAATTTTTAAAGTTAAATATTGATATGACTATTCCAGAATCATTTGATGCATTATTTAAATTAAATAAAAGTAGTGATGGACCTTCAACTTCTAATACGGTGAAAGAAGAAGAAACACATGTAAGGAAATATTAATTTGTTTAAAAAAGGAAGGTTATGTGTTAACTAGAGGTCGGCAAAATCGTGTTTGCGGGATCCCGCATGCGGGATTTTTTTAATCTCTGCGGAACGGGATCCCGCGGGATAAATCCCGCACTCCCGCAAAATCTTACAAATCGAAAAAAGTGCGGGGTTGCGGGACGGGATCCCGTCCCGCGCCGACCTCTAGTGTTAACTAAGTGATGCAATGTAGTGAATCAGATTTTGTTCCTTTAGGGTTGTAACGTCTGTTTGACTTCAATAGTGTCTTTTTGCTTGAAAACTGGGGAAATACAATCTTTTTTTAATTTTCTCCTTCCTGGAGCATTAGCAATTAAATTTTTTTCAGTTCAAAATAAACGCCACAAAACAATTACGTTATCTAGAAGACAGTGAATTATGCATTGAACGACTTAAAATTCGTCCAACAACATTAAATGAATCTATTTTCTCTACAATACGTGGAATGCCACAATTTGAAGATTTGTTACCTTTTGAAAAATTTATTCCAGCAGAAAAGATGGATTTAATAGAGAATTCGGAAAATAATGTGACAGAAGAATTAGACAAAAACTTTTCTAAAGAAACACAAAAACTTTATAAATTAATTGATAAATCGGGAATTCTGGGTATTTCTGAAGAAGAATTGAAGGTTTTTTTATTTTTAAATAATTTTTTAATTTTAATTTAGGCACCAATTAATCCCCAAAATTTGGATGAATTTAATATAAATTTAAATCTTTTAATAAAAGAAACTTTAATTTTTCCTTGCGGTGTTGAAAAAAGATTTTTTGTGAGCACAAGGAATGGACGTGCATGGCTTTTAAAAACTAAGGAAGGAACTGGATTTGTTGCTAAACCTTGGTTGCTGCCTTCAGGCGAGATAAATTGGAAGGTGTTAAGGTATTTAAATTTGTTTTTATTTTAAAGATTTATTTGGTTGATCAGAATAATTAAAAGAGGGGAATTTTTGTAATTTATAAGTGGGGAAGAAAAAGGAGATTTTTCTTTTAAAATGAAAAGGAAAATAAATTCTAGAAATTGAATATATTTAAACTTTTCTTCGTTAGATTCCTTTTTGGACGTTGAAAATTCACTGTGAAAAATCCATTGGGTAAAATTCATAAAATTCACTTGATCTTTATTCGTGATTTTTATTCTGTAAATAATGCTGTGCTTACATAAAAGTCGCTTTACGTTTTGTGACAGAAAATAGCATTCAAAATATCGAGACAAAATTGCGCGCGACTTTCTCTTTTTCCATTATCTTTTCTGTCGCAAGACGCGCGCGATTTTTATTTAAGCACACACTAAATAATATTTTATATTTCTTTAAAAAAAATTAATTTTAGACGAGTTTTGGAAGGTATATTTTGGCATATTTATGCAAACCCTGGAATTTTAATTGATGATTTAACTTCTCGTTTTGTTTATGTATTACAACCTGTTTTGTTACATGGACTTGTTGAAATGTTGGAAAAACTTGGATGTTGTAAAATTATTACAAAAACTTTACATTCACAAAGAAAATCTTCCCCATTTTCAAGTTTTTTTAGTAAAATAAAATTTTTAAAAATTATTTTAAGGCGCAAAAACTCCACAAAAAATTCAATTTGTCCAGCCTAGCCCTAATGGAATGGAAAGACTTATTTTATTTAAAAATGGAATTTCTAGTGAATAATTAAAAGTAGAGATCGGACCGAGACGAGATCCCGAACAGAAATCCCGATTATCGAGATCTTTCGAGATACCTCTTTCAACACTCCCAGTCCGATCTCTAGTTGAGATTTTTTTTTGATCAAAAAATTATTACTAAAAACCTCCCATTAAATAATATTTTTTGAGAATAACTAAATTTTATTTTAAAAATAAATATTTTACAAAAATTTTATTTATTTCTTAAAGCTTTTCAAATAGGCAAAAATTTAAATTAAATATAAGGTCAAAAATGGTTGCACGTAACTTTCTTTGAAATATATTTCCCGAAAGGACAAAAAAATAAAATTGATACAAAAAATAATTGTGCCGTCTTTTAAATATTTTCTTTACAAAAATTATCAAAAATATTCGTTGCGGACACAATTAGTGAGCCTTTTTCAAGAGAATTTTTCGTCCAAACTTTTACATAGTATACCGAACAAAAAATTTTACAATTTTAGAGGCTGTTATAAAGAATATTTTAAAATACATATGTACAAAAATTCACGATTCAAAGAGGCAAATAGAAATTTAGATCCCGAAGCTTAATTAAAAAGACTCACTAATTATGTCCGCACCTAATAACTTCTAATAAAATTTAATTAAAATGATTTTTAAGCGGCACAATATTTAAATATTTATACATCCCTTATGTTTATAAAAAAGAAAAATTCCTTCCCTCTTATCTTGTTGCTGGAATTCGACCAAGAATTGTTTTAACCATAGCTGCAGCATTTGCAGAAGCATAATGCTAAAATAAATATTTTGTGGAAAATTAAAAAGAAAAAAATTTTTTCTAATTACCTGCCAAAGTTTTCCAATTTTTGTAGCACCTTGTTGGTAATCAGCCACTCCACGTATTAATACCCAAGAATCTACCCTTGAACCTTCGATTGCAGCAATAACAGAGTCAAAACCAGCATCATAGGCACGAACATGATATTCGGAAATAAATCTAAAAATTTTTTTAGAAATTATTTTGGAAAAAGTTTGGGAACGAATTTAAAGGAAGAAATAAAAATGTACTAAAAAGCAGTAAATGTCCAGCTCGAAGGACACAAGTTTTTGCACCAAAGTGTCAACCTATCATTTCATTATCTCAGGAAAATTTAGTGAGATAGGGAAAGTAGCTGAATGCAGAAAAAATGCATTTTTGCAGAATGCCTTTTACGGACATGTGTCCCTCGAGCTGGATATTTATTGAGTCATCCTAGACTTATGGACAAACTACATTTTAATAAAATTTTTTAGAAAAGAGTGACAGATGTTGAGAGGATACTTATTGTACTAATAAGAACCAGTGCTGGGTCTGGCTCCGGGAAATAGCTCCGGAGCCGGCTCCGGCGGAGCTGGAGCCGGCTCCGCCGGAGCTGGAGCTAGGATTTTGAAAACCCCAGCCAAGAATTTGAAATGCCCGGAGCCGGAGCCAACAAATGGCAAATACCCAGCACTGATAAGAACGTTATTAAACTTTCTATTTTTTCACCATAATTTCTTAGAAAACTTTTTAAAAAATAATTTCCTTAAATCCTTTTTTTACCTTTCCCTCAATTGTTGATTAACTTGGGCATTAACCAATCCAGCACTTTCTTCACTATTATTGCTAATATTTAATTGATTAACATCTCCTCCCTTTTCCTCAACATTTTCTTTTTCAGAATTTGTTCCATTTTGACCATTTTTAGTTGGGCTATTTTGACGTTTAGCAGATTTTAAAGGAGAGCTTTGACTTGGAGAAGAAACTTCATTTTCGGATTTTGGAGGTTTTTGTGCTAATGTAAACTTGAAAAAGAGGCATTTTAAAATTAAAAAAATTTTTTCAAAAAAACCATAGATCCAACAGGCCCCAAATGAAAAAGAGGGTCAATTCTGCTTGCATTTGGATGGGGAAAGACAACAATATTTCCTTCAGCAGTTAACATTGTCAAAACGTCCGTTTCATGGTGAGGACGAGAAAAATCAAGTTGTTGGTCTTTATGTTCTTCGTTTAAACGAGAAATTAATTCTTTTGAGTTGGAATGCCAGTCTTTTAATAAATCTTGTTTTTGTCTGAAAAAAAAAATTTAAAAAAAATAATTTGTTTTGGACACAAAAATAATTAAAATATAAATAAAGCTACAATAGGATTCAAACATCTACAAGGTCAGGAGAAAAGAAATTTGTAATGTTCTCCCCGTGTCTGGTATTTCGCCAGTATGTCAGTTAAATATAGGCTACTGCCCAAATTACTCAGTGTTGGATCCTCATTTCGACATTTAATTATTTATTTTTAGAATATTATTTTCAAATATTTATTGACCCCAAAATGTGCTGTAAATGTTTGTTATCTATTTTCCCTTTTTAAATATTCAAAACATTCCCTCAAAACAAACATTTACTTTGATCTTAAAACTTCCGCTCATTTATTTTAAATAATTTACTTTCTTATCTATGTTTTACAACTTTCTCGTCTGACCTTCTTCCGCCCATTTCCTTACCCTATAAATACTTGTTTGTCATTTTACCTTTCAAGCTTGTCTTGATCACACTTGCTCCCAAAACTAAACCCAACTTATTTATTAAAATAAACTTTATTAAACTTGTATAATTATTGTCTGAGTGAGTAGATTTATTTGAGTATTTAAAAGAATTTATTTGATATTATGTAATATAGAAGAACCGGGATATAATACTGGTGCCACGAACCCGTTGCGAATTAAAACGGAGATTAAATTTGAAAAAAAAAATTTAATTTGAAATTTTTGAAGTGATTTTATTTGAGGAATTTAGAAGAAGAAAAAGAAATTTTGAGTGAGAAATTGGATTGAAAAAAAAGAAGAGAAATAAAGATTATAGTGAAAAAAGCGAATTTTAAAAAAAGATTGTATTGAAAAAGTAGAGGAAGAATTTGAAGATAAGATTAAATAAAAGAAGAGATTTTCTGAAAAAAAAAGATTAGTTTAAAAAAAAAGAGATTTGATCAGAGAAGAGTGTAAAAAGTGGAAGAGATCTGGAAAAAAAATATTATTTTTGAGTAAAATTTGAAGAAAAGAAGATAAAATGTCAGGTTCAGATTTTTCAGCTGAGTTTTTCAGTGATGAAGAAAATAAGGTTTTCACTAAGTGGATAGAGAAATTTAAGGACGTCCTATCTTTGATGACGGAGCCTACTGAAGCGCAGAAATTATTGCGTTTACGCTTTTGTTTAGCGGGTCAAGCCCGAATAGCGTTTGATGAAATGAACCCCCAACCTACGACGTTGGCGGAGGCAATTGATACTTTAAAAAGAAAATATGAAAACGGCAATAGTAAAGTAATTGCTCGTCAAATTTTATCAATTTGTAGACAAGCTCCAGGCGAATCAGTATTTGAATTCGCAAATCGTCTTTCGGATACTGTCCGAACAGCCCTCTCCGGTGAAGAGGAGGAAACAATTAAAAAACGACTTTTAGACGAATTTTTGGATAGACTTTTACCGGATTTACAATTCGAGGTTAAAGCGCAAAGGCCGCTAGAATATGATAATGCGTACGAAATAGCACTGAATTATGAACTGCTGCTTGCAGCAAGAAAATCTAACTATAATAATATTTCAGTTGCTAGTTTGGCAGAAAAAGTTGAGGTATCGACGGTCGAAAATAATAGAAGGCAAAGGATCATCTGCTTTAATTGCAAGAAAAGAGGTCACTTTGCTAGAAACTGCTTTTTCCTTAAACCTGATTTCAATCAGAGAAATTACAGACCCCAACATTTCGGGAGATATGAAGATCGCTCTTGGCATAATAATAAAAATTACAAAAGAAATAATAACTATTTTAACGAGAATAGACCTTATAGAGATGAAAATTATCAAAGAAATAATAGGTCAAATAATAGAACAAGAAATTATGAAAATTACGATAGTTCAAGTAGCCTAAGTAGCCGCTCAAGTAGTAGTGAGCGAGAAAATAATTCACCAGAACTAGGATCAAATAATTACTGTATTCGATCGCCAAATCGAAGAATGAGATTTGAGAGAAATAGAAGTCCACGAATAGGAAGTGTGAGCCCATTTATGCTTGTAGTTCTCGCATTATTCTGTTTAATTGGCTCATCTTTTAGCGCCCCTATGAGATGCTTTAATAACACACCCATTTCAACATGGAGATTAACAAACGATCTGATATGCCCTAAATTTATTCTAGAAGATAATATATTGAAAAATAAAACTCCTGCTTTTGAAAATGAATGTGCAATAACTGATGTAAATAAATGCAGAGGCTTTTTTGATAGCTATATACAGAGAGAGGAGACATTAAACCAATTTAGTATAATAGTCTTTAGCTGTATTGTTACGGTTCTATTCGTATTAAAATTTGTTTTATGCTCGATTTTATCAGGCCCAATAAATTGTCTACATATTGGAGAAGCAATATATAGTAGATTAAAGAGTTATAGAAAGAAAAATAAAAGAATGAAACGTACTAGGCAAATTAAGAACAAAATTGAATCAGATAAAAGTGAGTTAAAAGAGAATAAAATTCCACTTTCTAAAAGATGGCCCTCTAGGAATAAAATTCGAAGAGGAGATTTAAATAAAAATAAACAAAATAATATTAAAATTTGCGTTACGGAAAATACCCAGTGTGACATAAATTCCAGAATATTAACTAAAATTAACGGAATAACAACTATATGTTTACTAGACACTGGAGCACACACGTCAATTATTAGCAATTCAAATGCCAAGAAAATTGGTTTAAATGATATGTCTGCTGCAAATTTTCCAGCAGTTTACGGAATAGGCAATAAATTAGTACCTACTCTAGGTATGGCTACAGTCGAGTTAGAGATAGCCGATTGCAAAATTCAAACAACTTTTGTAATTATTAAAGATACTGAGAAAAAGAATCAATCATATAGCGCCATTATTGGTAGAGAAACATTAAGTTGTTTACCCCTTATGTTAAATTTTACAAACTGGGAGCTCATAAAAATTCCGAATGAGTATAAATTCATTAATTATAGAGAATTAGACAAAATATCAAAAGTGATAGACGATATAAGAATTAATAAATCTGCGAAAGAAAATAAATTATGTAATTATTGCAAGAAAAAAGGACATATTGCCAGTATCTGTTTTTATCGTAATCCGGATTATAATCCGAGAGGAAATCGCTTTCAAAATAAAGTTGAAAGGGAAAGCGGAGCTTTTAGAATTGCGCATAAAGACCAACATAGATTGAGAATTTCGCAGCTCCAATCCAGTCGGGAATGACTGAGATTTTAAAAAATAAAAAATCCCTTAAATAATATTTTTTTCATTTACCAGCATTTATCAAATATTCACATACTTAAAATTTTTTATTGTTATCTTTATTTTGTAATTACACCAGAATATTCAATTTATTTATTTTCTAAATTTTATTTGTAATTGTTATTATTATTTAAATGGCGAATGAGAAAATTATGGACCTACAACAAGAAGCTGATAAACAACAAACAACAACATCCCCAAAATGGAAAGAAGAATAATACAAAATTTCAAAAATTCAACCCCTCATAGCTTCATCAAAATACTACCTCCTTTTTAGGAGAGATCAAGAAAAAAATAGTTCATACAATATATGAAACGGTTAAATGAATTATAGATTTATTAAAATCCCGCAAACTTTGCGGAGGAGGAAATAATTTTAACTGATAAAAAGAGCCCCAAATGGAGATAAAATAAACATGCACAATTTGCGTATCTTTCACCTCTTCGGTCAACTCAACCGTTAGAGAGGCCAAGAATTGTCTGATAACCGTTTTCGTCATAAGACCCATGTTTGTGGAGAATGTAATTGGTGGATAATGTAAACAACAAAAGAGAATATGGACATCAATTCTCTATAGGGGAAAGGAGTGTTGGATACCTGTCTCAACAATTAGGCGAATATTCTTCTAAAGGGAAAGGAGTGTTGGATCCTCATTTCGACATTTAATTATTTATTTTTAGAATATTATTTTCAAATATTTATTGACCCCAAAATGTGCTGTAAATGTTTGTTATCTATTTTCCCTTTTTAAATATTCAAAACATTCCCTCAAAACAAACATTTACTTTGATCTTAAAACTTCCGCTCATTTATTTTAAATAATTTACTTTCTTATCTATGTTTTACAACTTTCTCGTCTGACCTTCTTCCGCCCATTTCCTTACCCTATAAATACTTGTTTGTCATTTTACCTTTCAAGCTTGTCTTGATCACACTTGCTCCCAAAACTAAACCCAACTTATTTATTAAAATAAACTTTATTAAACTTGTATAATTATTGTCTGAGTGAGTAGATTTATTTGAGTATTTAAAAGAATTTATTTGATATTATTTAATATAGAAGAACCGGGATATAATACTCATAATTATTTTTCTAATGTTATGGAGGGAAAATGAGGACATAAAGTACCCAACGGGAAAGTATGAAAAAAATCGTGACGGTTTTACAAATTTCGTTTAGGATCGGGACAGAAAAGTCTAAGTTTCTGATACCCTTCCTGCTACACAATAATTTTAAATAAATTTTTAAAAAATTAACCCATTTCGAACAGTCCTAGCCAAAACATTGTCTTTAGGCAGCCAATCCCTAACTACCAACCCCTCAATTTCTCCAGTTTTCCAATTACAATTAATATTGTGTGCATATACATAAGAACCTATTTGACGTTTATTGCTATCATCTATTCTAGAATCGCTTATAACAACATCTCCAAGTCGAATATGCTTTAAAAAACAAAAAAGTTAAAGATAAATTTAACTAGGAAAACAAAATTATCGCTGGGGTTAAACTTTGTTAATTAATTGTTTCACCTTTTAAAAAATTGGAATAGAAGAATGTGTCAAAATTCGTTAGAGGCTAACAAAAAAAATAAAAGTTCCCTTATATGCCCCTTTTAAACACACCAGAAAAGTAAAGATTAGAGATAAGAGAAGTATGCTTTAGAAAATGAATTTGACGCAAAAAATGGGGATATACTAGTGATTTAAACGACAAAGAGGACAGTCTATGGATGCTTATCTCCGGATCTGAAAAAATCCTGTTTTTTTTTCTTTTTTTTCTGTCCTTACTTGGGACCAGCGCAATGCATTGATTATTGTCCTTTGCATCCTTTAAAATTGGCTTTTGAGCACGTCCGTAGGGGTGGTGGATCCGATAAAATCCGGCTACCCTAGGATTTCCCAAGATTCGCCCACCCAACCCTCCCTATTTCATAACCAACTCCATAAAAAAATTAAAAAAAACCATTTCCGGGTCAGTATAATGAGGCACTCCTCCACCTATTCCAACAATTATAACATGTTCGACATGTTGAAATGCTCCCAATAAACGTGTTGTAATTGAACCAGCAGATGTTGCAGCCATTCTATCTCCTCCAATCATTGAAAGCTTTAAAAGATTTTATTTAAAAAATTTAATTAAAAAAATACTTTTGTTGCGACAACATTGTGTCCAGCAATTTTTCCAATTGTGTAAACATTGGAATCCCCAGTCTTTGAATAACTTAAATTTTAAAGAAATTTTTTCTGAAAAATTTTCCTTGATCCACAACATTTATTATACCGTAAATGCTCCAATAGGACCACACTCTCTATTTGAAAAACATTCCCTAATATAAGCCTATGAGGTGATCGAAAATTAGAAGCCCATGTGGTTCTATTAGACCTTTTTGATTGTTTGTAGACAAAATAGGGAAAGGAAATTGGAGGGAAGAAAATAAAAAGTCTGACCATTCTGTATAAATATATAGGAAAGAACTAGAGGAAAAAAAGGGGGCTCGGTAACTATACTATTACCGGAATTTCTTTTAAAATCATTGGTTTTTTAATTTATTTTCTTGATTTTACTCAAAAATAAGGTTCTGTTGAGTTCTAACCTAAGGTCTATAAAAATGAGATAAGAAAATGGAGATATGTATCAACAGAAACCTTAAGTTACAAAATCTCATCAAAAATTACCTATCAAATTTCAATCAAAAATTATCTGTTAAATTCTCTTCCCCTTTATTTAAAATATTTTTAAAAATAAATATGTACCTATGTTTAGTTGTTCGATTTTCTATAATTGTGTCGACACTTTGTTTCTCTGGGAACAAACAAGTAATAATTGCAACAGTCTGTGGATGTTTATCTTGAATATTATGTTGAGGTTCGGGTACTTTAAAAAATAATTTTTTAATTATTTTTTCAAAAAAATCCACAAACTATAAGCCTTTCTAATCCATTCTCCAATTTGATTTGGTAATTGCTCTATATGCCCTTCTTTTTCCAAAATTGAAAGAAAATGGCGAATTTCTTCAACAGAACAACGCAAAGATTCGGCCAAATCCTCTTCTGTTACACTATTTGGATAGGCATGTTCAAGTGCTTCTTTGACGTGGCTAGATGTCAAATTCTCCAATTCACCGTCATTTACTAAAAAAAATTTTTAAATTTATTAAAAAATTTTTAATAGAGAGAAGCCTTATAAATCGGAAAAAGCGGGAGAAAAAATGTTAAAGAAAATCAGTTTTTATGTGAGTACCCGTTCGTGGCTTAATAAATTATATATAGAGATTTAACGGGTACAGCCCAAAACAACGGGCGGCCATAACAACGCAAAGCCATAACTTGCTTTAAAATTTTTGGACCTTATCAATTTTTGTACCAATCTCTTTAGCTCGTTGAGGGGAATCGTTTAATACTAAATTTGTTAAGATTCGGAAATTTTGAAGCAAGTTATGTCATTGCGTTGTTATGGCCGTGCGTTGTTTTGGGCGTGTCCCAGATTTAACGAGCCATTTTTTGGATTTTTTATTTTTATTGTTAGAATAATATCAGATAAAAAATTTATATGTCGCTACTTTTAATAGAAAATCTGATCTAATAAACAGAACGCTACCCAAACAAATCGGTTCTACTTGACTTTATGAGTCCTATCAAAATATCCAATTATTTTTTTATTGGCATAAAGTCAAGTAGAATCAATGAAACTATAACTGAAAATTGAGTAAACTTCGACACGGGAAAAGCAAAAAATAACCAACTAAATTGTTTGGCATTGGGCATCGCCATTTTTTCACTCCCAGCGGCAAACTTCATTTCAACGTCTATGGCACGTAATTGTGGATAGTCTTCCTTCATAAGGCGCAAAAGTAATTTAAAAAAACTAACATAATCTTTAAAAAGAAAATTTAAAGGAAAAAAATTTAAAAAACCTTTAGGAAAATTTCTTTCAAAAATATTTTTTATAAAACGCTGGGAAGTTTCTGCACGTAAAGCCAATTGAATATTGTTGAAGAAACAAAAACGAAAAGAACGGATTTCCTTTAAAATGAAAAAATTGAAATATATTTATTTAAAAAGGAAATGGAGGAAAAAGTTTTAAAATTTTTCTGTCATAAGAGAATTTAAATTCAATTATTGGCAGTTAATTTTATTACAAAAGTTAAATTTCCTGTCATTATAATAAAAAGGGAAAAAAGAAAAAGACAAAAAAATTTAAAGAAAAATCAATTTTGTACGAAAAAAAACCAAGAGGACTGATGTGAGTTCCAAAACTAAGCAACAGAAAGCAAGATTTAAAAAAAAAACCTTGACTTCGAGTGGGTACCTTGACCAGATTCTTGACCTTGAGTTAAGGAAAAATCAAGGAACTCTGAAAAATGTCTGGATCTGGATCCAGGGAAAATCAAGGTCTGGATCCAGACCCAGCTCCCTCTCTACTAACATAAGCAAATATTGAATTTAATAAAAATAAGGAAATCCCAAAAATTTTGGTTAAAATAAACATTAGGTTCTAACAAATAAAAGGTGATTAAATAATTAATATTTACTTGTTTTAAAGTCTTCCCACCATCACTACTTATCCAAACAGAAAATGAACAGGGGAATTGAGTCGGCAATTCTACAAAATTAAAAACAAAATAAATAAAATTTCGTAAAATTTTCAAAAAAACCTTCATAATTTTCAACCAATTTATTAATAATAATTCCTTCAAAAGGCCCACTAGCAACAAGACAAACATTTGTAGGGATTTCATGAGTTCTGAAATTTAAAAAATTTATTTAAATTTAAAACATCTTTATACCTTTCTATTCGAATTAAATTTCGTTCTTTTGATTGAATTAAAGGAATAAAAGTAATTAAACTTGTTATTGACATTATTTAAAAGTCTATTAATTAATAATTAGAAAATAAAAAAATATTTTAGAAAGAAAAAAAATCTCTTTTTTTTTATTAAGAACCCATCAAAACCAACAAATAAACCAGCTGTGTACTAATCATATGTGAAAAAAGACGGGCAATTAGTAATTAATCCAAAAAACAATCAATCATCCAAGCAATGGGACGAATAAAAAGGGTTCAGCCCAAAACGGCGCAGACTATGACGTCGCGACCGAAACGGCGCAAACCAAGAACTAAACAACTATCGGAACAACATCCCCCAATGTCGGTACAACCTTCCTGTTGCTAGAACAACTTTTCTCAATTTTGACAGAATAAGGGCTAATACATAGTAGGTCTTTAAAAGGTACTTACTGGTTATCCCAAACGTTTTTGCGGACATATTTATGCGGACTTATTTATGTACGGAATGGTCAAAGGTTCTTCCTTCCTAGATTTTGCCCAATTTTCCATTTGGCATCATTCATTGGGACACGCCCGAATAGTCGCGGGCCGAATAGTCGCGGCCGAAAAGTCGCGACCGAATAGTCGCCGGCCGAATAGTCGCGGGGCCATATAGTCGCCGGCCGAATAGTCGCCAAGCTTTTAATTAACACCCCTTCCTCAAGGCCTACGCGGAAAAAAGTTTTTGCCGCTGCGGAGGAAGCCGGGCATGTCGAGCGGAACGACGGCCGCCGCTTCGCTACGGTCGCCGCGAGCGCAGCGAGCACGACCGCAGCGAAGCACGGCCATCGTGTAGCGAAGACCATGCCCGGCCTGCCCTCCGTAGCAGCACAAAAACAGTTTTTCCAGCGAAGATTCAGTTGACCATAACTTTGTTCATAATAATCCAATCGAGCAGATTTTGGTGTCAATCAACTCAGCTCGTCGAGCTCTTTCGAATGACATATAAATTGTCCAATTTTGAGTCTGGTACGAAAATTAGTTAGGCCGGCTTTTTAATTTTGGAAAATTTTTTGTGAAATTTCTGTTTTATAATTCAGCATGGTCCCATTTGATGGTCGTTGGGACCATTCTAATTGATTATAAATCCGAATATCTAATTAAAAAGCTTGGCGACTATTCGGCCGGCGACTATATGGCCCCGCGACTATTCGGCCGGCGACTTTTCGGCCGCGACTATTCGGCCCGCGACTATTCGGGCTGTACCCTCATTCATTAGAGCATCAATAAAGAGAAGAATGAAAGATTTATTAGTTTTTCTCTTTTTAGCTGATTTAATTACCGAATGGTTCGCAAATTCATACATATAATAAAGGATTCAAACCGATGACATGAAGACAGAATGGTAAAGGTGGTTGGCGATAATGGGAGGTGGGGGCGATAATCAAGTAGTAAAAATTTGTGAAAAATTAAAATATCTAGAATTGATTTTCTCTTACTTTTAGTATTGTCCGCGTCTATGGATTTAATCAAGAGTGTTATTATTAAAACCTACGTTTCTTAAGGACGTATTTCCGACAAATTCTGGTTGACAAGTGTCATACGACAATTATTTTGGATTCTTTAAATAAAAGACATTAACTTCAAAAAATATATAGTTCCAATTCTAGGTTTAAATATTTGCCAATAATTTTAAATCTCACACCAGGAGTTGAAATTTATAACAAAAATTCAACATTGATTTATTAAATCAACATAAATATGTAAACATAAATATATAATTAGTACTATACAAGTGTCTTTTTAGTTTCTTCATCAATATCCTTCTTTTCTGGAACCTTCTCTTCCTTTTTATCTAAAATATGAGTCATTTTATCCGATTAAAAGTCGTAATTACCTTTTTCTTTAAACATTTAATAATCAAGTTCGACATGCACATCAATGGCATTTTTCTTTGAAGTCTCAGGCATATAACGGTAAAGTAACAAAACATTAAAAATAGCCAGCACAGTTGTACTATCAGCACATCCACAACCAGACTTAATTTGTAAAATTATAGGATATCGTATACTGGAGCAAAATTTTGATACAAACACAACCATTCGAAAGGGCTCAATGAGCTGAGTCGAATGACACCTTAATCACCGTGATTGAACAAATCTGGCCAAAGTTAAGATACAAAAATATAAAGAAGTGAACCCATGGGAGTAAGTCGGAAGTCGCGGAAGTCAATGATTGCTTGGTTCTGGACTTAGTATCATAAATCATTCCGATTTTTGCAGCGATAGATACACCTGGTTTTCTCCGCAGCAACAAACCTCTAACGAACCCATAGGTAAGGAGCATAAAAACGATCTTAACTTCATCAAAACCTGTCAGATCGCATTACTTTTGGTGTCATTCAACTCAGCTAGCTTCCTTTTGCATTATCTGAGTTTTAATAAATCTGTTTTACGTCCCTTAATCTCAACAAATTTATCTTAATCCGCACAAATCCAACGATATCCACTTTAATACCTCCCAAATGCGTCTTAATCTGCACACATCCTTCTTTGTCTCCCAAATATTTGGATTCGACCCTCTGGGTTGATCCCCTTGAATGAGCTATTATTTGCATTTTCAAATTTTTTACCCAAAATGGGGAGGGGGCCAAGATCGAAAAACCCTTTTAACGTTTTTCGAATTTTAGGTCCTATATCTCAGTCCAGTATGTTTGCGCATACCTATGCAGTGGGTGGGGCCGTTTGTCATCTCGCGAGATAAATCGAATTGTATGTTTTGTATTGAAATTTTGCGCCGGTATACTCTACTGTATCCAAATTATATTTAAAGAAATATTTAACAAACAATTTGAATGATAAACACAAAGAGCCAGCTAATCGAAGAAACAACAGAATTAGCCTTGCCTCTTGCATACACAGTAAAAACATCATTCAAAAATATTGATGGAATAGAGCCTAAAAATCCGCACAATTAAAACAAAATTCAAAATAAATACCAGGTCCAACACCGTAACAAATAACAAATACAGCTGTATAAGTGAAGTTTCCAGAATACTTAAAGGCAAAAGTTACATGTAAATTTTTTAAATAATTTACCTTTAAAAGTACAACAGAGAGTTGAAATAACATTTTGGCCGCAAACATACCAGAAAATCCAACAAGTAGTAACGTTGACGGCCAATACGATCAGTCTTAACACAAATTTTCTAGAAAATAATCCGACGAAATATTTACCAGACACCCAGAAACAACAGTCATTAAAACATTTATTACTCCGATAGCAGGAGTTCAATAAATTAACCCTAAAATATTTTTTAAATCTATAAACTTAATCAATCCTTCGGTTTTGCGGTCATGACGAAAAATAAATTTTAAATTTAAGTATAGTTTTTAAGGGAATGCAAAACCGAAGGATTGCCTAAACTTATATTGAGCTGACATTGGGTATGCTGACATTGAGCATACCCAAACTTATATGGCTTGGGTATGCTTTTTTAGCCACGCCCTTTTTTCTTTTTCATATGTATTTTTTACCCTTGCCTTCTCAACCATCGGACACCCGACTCGGGAAATTTCCCGAGTTTTTGGCCTCCCGATCCCGATGTCAATTCCCGACTAAGTCGGGAAATTTTTACACCCCTAAGAATGGCTTTTTCCGATAAAATTTTATTTTTAAAATGAAAAAAATAAAAAAAGGGAAAGCGAAAATAAAAAAGGAAAAGGGGGAAAATATTTAAATTTTTATTCCAAACATCTGTTTTTGAGCGATGGTTGAGTGGTTAGGTTGATGACTTCACTCACTGTGATATTTTATGCGGATGGGTTCGAATCCGAGGAAGGAAAGGTGACTTAAATAATTTTTCCTTAAAAAAATAAATGTTTTTAACTTTGATTTTGATTTTAAAATTGTAAATTTATTTTTTTTTAATACTAGTAAACGTGAGAAAACTAGAAAAATTAATTTAGTCATGAATTTTAATTTAGTCAGCAATACCCTCCTCTTAATAGACCCTTCCCTCCCATTATATTCAATGCTCCTTAATCACTTCTAATAGTTCTATATCCTTCCATGGATGCAATATTTTAATACCAGATGCGACAAGGCGTTTTGTGTGATTATCAGATCAGATCGGTCTAATTATGAAAAAGATGCCGCATTACGAGACCTTTCGAATGATATGAGAATTATCAGAATCGGATAAATATCAAGAGTTATGGCCATAGACCAATTCTCAAACGGCCATACTCTCAAAATAGGAATCTTAATCTCGACAGAGCTAAAATGACGACACAAATAAGAAGTGGTTAAAATCGATTTTTTAAAAATTTAAATTTAACTGTGAAAATTCAGTAATGTTTTTTTAACAAAAAATAAACCTCGCGAGATTTAGAAAATAATTTTCTGTGAATTTTCTTTGTTATTAACTTTGAAATTAGATTTCTCGGCTAACATTATGCGAGCTAAATTAATATACTTAATATAAATCTGAGTTTACCTAATTTTAGCCGAGATATTTAATTTCAAAGTATAGTATATATCTAGCAGAATTCGGAAAGATTAACAGAATGATAAGTATGATAAAATTATAGGTAGAAAAAGGGCTAATAGTAGGTTTTTAAAATTAAAAAAAAATTTGTGAGGAGATTCAAAAAAATATAATAATGTATTCTATAAGAATCGTTCAATGTGAATTCGCCACCGTCCTTCCAAAAAGCCAACAAACAAAAATATTCATTTCTAATCATCACCGCCAAATTCATCATGGACAGAGAAGTTTCGAAAATAAACTGAAAAATTAAAAATAACCTTTTAAAAATAAATATTTCATGAGTGTTAAGGGCGTGCTAGAGGTCAGATATTAGGTGTAAGTAGGCATACTTATTGCGTTATTTGACGGAGTGTCAAAAAACTGAATGGTCTCAAATGTTAAAAAATTCAAAAACTACCCCAAGAAAATTTAAAATATAACCTTCAATCGCATTTGCAGTATTTTGAGTTCCATAATCCAGACCCCGCTCCAAACAAAATCTATGTAAAATTTCATTATTTGCGCGCAAATTCTAAAAAGAAAATTTTTTAATTTTAATAATTAAAAAAACTTACTCTAACAAGATCATCCAAAGATTTACTTTCTGCAGCCATAATTAAGCGGGCTTTTACCGGATCGACAAGTTGAAGATTTGTAAATCCTGGAAGAGGTCCAATTTCTTCATCATCATCAATAGTAACTATTGGCGCCTTAAAAATAAAATTAAAGAAAATATTTGGATTATAATGGATAGTTTTTGTCAAAAATTACTAAAAATAAAAAAAGAGTGAAATTTTTATCCACATAAACGGAGAAATCATAAAGAAATTCATGTTCTAAAAAATTATGATCAAACAAAAATAAGAGCAGTGAAACTGACAGAAAATGTGAAATTTAATTTAGGGAGGTCCAAAATACAATCCTAAATCAATGAGAATTTAAAAGTACAAAACATGCCTCTTCATTAACGACCTGTTCAGCCTGTTGAATTACGGGCTCTTGAACGAGCTCCTGAATATTTTCTTCCATAGATGCAGTACTAGTTGTAGCCTTTAAAATAATAAATTTTTAAGGTTAAAAAAGAAATAACCAAGCCTATTATTTAAATATGATAAACGAAAAATTAAGTACAATTAAATTTACTTGTTCAAGTTGGTGTACTTCAGGCACGTTAGATCGATCAATTTGAGGATTTCTTTTTGAATGTCCAGCTCTACCAACCTTTAAACAAATTTAGAATTTAAAAAATAATAGAAAACCGTTTGTGGATGGTAATCAACCTCAATTTCTTCTTCATATTGTTGCTGGTCCTCTCGAGGCATTTGAGCTGGTCGATTCGGCTTTGAAGCTTTAGAACGTTTCGCTCGAGAACGTGAACGAGACTGCGAGCGACGAAACAACGGTTGCTGCTGAACCTTTTCCATTTTCTGCAAAACAGGCATTTGAGAGCGATCAACGTTTCGTTGAACATTTCTGTCCGCAGATCTACCAACCTTTAAACAAAAATTTTTAATTTAAAAAGAGTAATCAGACCGTTCGAGGAAAGTATTCATTCTCCATCTCAACATATTCCTCTTCAACTTGTTGTTGACCCTCTTGAGGTTGTAACGGAGGTGGCTGACTCGGTTGTGGCGCAGTATAAGGATTACCACCAGGTTGACGCGATCGAGAACGTGAACGAGATCGTGAGCGTCGAAATCCAGTTTGATGTTTCAGCAAATGTGCTTCCAAGTTCTTGTGATAGTTAGTACCAAAGTCACAATCAGCATGTCTAAAATGAAAAAGTTTGGCAGTAAAACAAAATTCAATTTACCCCAAAAAATATAAAAAGTTTACTGAAAGTTCATCGATAGATAACTGTTAAAGCAAAATTCAAAAAGCACCTAATTCAAAGAATAATAGTAAATGTTAACGCGAACCCGCAAAAATTCGAAAGGAACTTTAAGCGAGCATCGGCGATTCCAAACAAACATTAGAAATAAAACTAACGTGCAACGAAATCTTGTGCCACGTTCTTCAGCAGAATGTGCTGAACTTTGATGATTTATTACGCCTTGTTGTGAAGAGAACCCTCGTGTACAGAGTCCGCATGGGAAAGGATGCATTGCCTGACACTCGAAAAGATGACCTTCCATCTAGAAAAATAAAAAAAGAAAAGTAAATTAATAAAAACGTAAACAAACTCTGCCATTTGGAACTTTCAACCCGCAAACATCGCATGGAATTTTAGCACGAGGATCGGCCATTTTGAATGTTAAAAGTAGGAAAATGCGAAATTCAAAGTAAAAAAGTCTGAAATAATCTGTTGATAAGTATAGAAAAAAGCCTATACGGCAGGCACCTGATAAAGATAAAACTTTAAAACCAAATCTTTCCTCGAAAATCACTTAAACAAAGAAGCCACACAAGCTTATTTAATTTTCAATTTGGCATTAAATTTGTTTTTGGCAAAATGTTAACAATTGGCAATTTTTCAAAAATTAGACACCGAGAGATTCGAATAGATGAATTGAAAAAAGGAGAGTTGAGGAAAAGAAAAAGAGGGAAATGTTAGACACTTCCATCCAAATCGCTGTTTCTTCTCTGGATCAATTCCTTTTATTTTCCAATCACAATTGATTATTTCAGTCAGAAATCTTTACAATTTCGATGTTTTGGATATGAAACATGACATTAAATTTAATCAACGTAATTCCCTTTTTCTCCAATTAATGTGTGAACAATGTGGAAGTGAACTTGGAGAAAAGCCTAATATTGCTATTGTTTGTTTGCTTTTTAGTTAAAAATAATTTCATTTATTTTTTAAAGAAATGTTTACATAGATTTTGTTCTCCTTGTATTGAGAATAATGCAAATTGCCCAAAATGCGGGATGGCAACAAAATTCGAATTGGATTCCAATTTCTCTAGTTTATTAACAAGGGTAGGTTTTTATATATTTTAAAAAATATCTGTCAGACTCCTCGATTCTTTAGTTATAATAAAACAGGGTATCGTTATCTCCATACATTTCCAACTTACAACGAAAGGTTGCGAGATGCCCGACCTTAAAACGGTCGAAACCGGGCTCATTCGATAGAGAATTTGCCCTTTCTAGCAAGGATTTTGAGCCGTTTTTTGATCTGGCCAAGATATGGCCCTCCAAAATCCCCAAATTTGGCATAATTTTTCCCCCTCCAAATATAAATTTTAAATAATTTATTTTTCATTACCTACTTTTGTAGATAAAGCAACATAATCGGATTGCTGTCAAACGTAAAGTAACTGACACACTCAAAAATGATGGTTTTGAATTAACAACAAATGAAATATCCTCCCAGCAGGAATGTGAATCAAATCCAAAACTTCCAAAATTTTGCATTTCAAACTGTTCATCAACAGATTTTATTAATAGTCAAAATCCTTCAATTTCGTCAGCATTTAATGGCCCCTCTACAAGCTCTTTTTCTTTTAAAAAATCACCAGTTAAAACAAAGGTATTTTTTTAATTTAAAGAAACCCTCAAAATCTTATTAAAATCTCGGGTTGTTAGCGATTGGAATTTTGAATCTATTATGTTATGTACTAGAGACCGGCAAAATCGCGTTTGCGGGATCCCACGTGCGGGATTAATTTTAAAAATCTTTGCGGGACGGGATCCAGCGGGATAAATCCCACACTCCCGTAAATCGAAAAATGTCCCATCCCGCGCCGGTCTCTATTATGTACATTGGTAGTATTCAAGGGTTGCCTCTGTTTTGTCTTGTTCAAATCTTTTCGTGGGATTCTTATTTTTACTTATCCAATTAATTTAGGAGCACAAGAACTTGCTACTTATTTTTAGTGATTAAATACTATACCTTATTATCCATAAAATTAATTTAGAATTCTTTAAAGCTAAAATTTAAAAATTAACTTTTCTAGACATCACCGCGACCTCTATCAGCTCAAAAATCAATCAATGAAATTGTCAATAGCAGAATGCCTATTAGAAGAGATTTACATAATATGGTGGTGAGAACATTAGTTTTATTTTTTAAATTTATTTTTTTTAATTTAGGCAATTGTTCTTTGGCCAGATGGAACAAATTATAGAATAAAAGATTTACCCCAATGTTTACTTAAACCTAGATATTTATATGTGCCACCAACAACTACAGGTTTAAACATAGAGATTTAAATAATTTTTTTTAATTTTCTAGTTGAATTTTTAATTGAATATTTATTTAAAAGAGCAGAATTGGAAGCTGATTGGAAATATCGACATAAGGTTTTTTTTTAAATTTTTATGTAATTATTGGTTTCAGGCCCGTAACCAGGGGCGAGGAGGGGATTGGGCAAAAAGTGAATCTTTTTGGCCTACGGCCTTCAAAATTTTAAAAATTTTCGCTTGCGTCTCTGAAAAAGTTGAAATCTGGCTTCTTATTGTTAGCTCGCAAAATTTTCAGAATTTTCGCCTGCGACGCTAAAAATCAAAATCTTTGGCGCCTTCAGCGGCAAAAATTCGGCACAGAAATTTGATATACTTAATCTTATTTTCAATTTAAATTCTTTTAAATTTAAAGTATCGAGTTGAATTGATGCCAGTAGAAAGTGAAAGAGAAGAAATTAATTTATGGATGAACCCTCGTCGTGATATTGACTATTTGACAAGAGATTTCAAAAGTAATTTACAAGACAGCCCAAATAATGAAGAATATGTGCTTATTTTACGCAAAAATCAAGAAGATTCATATTTTTATACAAATCTGATAATTTCACATCCTTTCAAAGCATTAAATAATGAAAGAACAGTTGCTGAACTTTTGGAAGAAAATTGCAATAAACAAGATATTCGTCAGAATTTAACAGTGGAAAATGTTAATGGAAAGTCATTGTCCCCACAAAATGGTTTTCAAAGAAGTGGAAATAAAGCAAAAAATGATGAGGTAATTTTTGATGAACGCCCACCAAAATTTATTTATCGATTCGTTGCTTGTAATAATACATGTGATCGTTTTGCAGTAAGTAATTTCACATTTCCCAAGTAAATTAAAATGGAAGCAGGACATATGGGAGATGGATAGGAGGCTAAATGGTTAGTTTTTTGATTTACAACATTTTTAGTAAAATCGTTAAAATTTCCAAGACCGGAAATTTTCCAAGACTCAAAACAAAGGCTGGACCCGAAGACCAAGACTTGACCCCAGATGGTGAGACACACACACACATCTGCCCGTGGTGAACAAGTAACGAACGTCAAACAATTTTGCTAAGATGAAGAAGCATGTAGCGATGAGCGCAACAACATTATTCAATATCAAGGCAGTCTTTCATCCATGTTTATCCGCAGCATATCCACAAGAAAGTCCTCCGTCAATTCCTCCAATGGCAAAAATACTGACAGCCACCGACCTTAAAAAAGAAAAGCGTTTTGTGTGAAGATTTAAGGCTTTGAAGCCCTCACCATTCCGTTTCCATATCAGCGATTGTCATTCTCTTTTCATGTTTGTCGAGTCCTTTATTGTATGACTCCGCGAACCATTCTTTAATTAGATCAGCTAAAAAGTAAAACCGTTAATCAATTTTTAGCAAACCAGCAATCAGACCAATGACAAGTCTGCCCGCGATGAATAAGTAGCGAATGTTTAAATAAGTAGCTATAAGTAGCTTATTACCAAAGATATTACGATTGAGTAGCTTATTACCACTTATTATTTGATTAACGGTTTTACTTTTTAGCTGATCTAATTAAAGAATGGTTCGCGGAGTCATACAATAAAGGACTCGACAAACATGAAAAGAGAATGACAATCGCTGATATGGAAACGGAATGGTGAGGGCTTCAAAGCCTTAAATCTTCACACAAAACGCTTTTCTTTTTTAAGGTCGGTGGCTGTCAGTATTTTTGCCATTGGAGGAATTGACGGAGGACTTTCTTGTGGATGTGCTGCGGATAAACATGGATGAAAGACTGCCTTGATATTGAATAATGTTGTTGCGCTCATCGCCATATGCTTCTTCATCTTAGCAAAATTGTTTGACGTTCGTTACTTGTTCACCACGGGCAGATGTGTGTGTGTGTCAGGGATGTCACGGGTTGAGAAAAATGTCGGGTTGGGTTTCGGGTCGGGTTTCCAAAATTTTTCTCGGATCGGGTTTCGGGTTGAGCAAAAAGTCGGGTCGGGTTTCGGATCGGGTTTTCAAAATTTTCTTCGGATCGGGTTTCGGGTCGAAAAAAAGTCCGGATATCTTCCCTTCTCAGCGCCGCAGGCGAAAATTTTGAGAATTCTGGAAGGTCCGAAGCCAGATTTCTTCCTTTTTCAGCGCCGCAGGCGAAAATTTTCAGAATTTTGGAAGATCATTAAGCTAAAAATCTTCCCTTTTTCTCCGACGAGGGCGAAAATTTTGAGAAAACTCGGGTCGGGTTTTAGAAAATTTCTCGGATCGGGTTTCGGGTATCGGGTCGAAAAAAAGACCGGGTTTCGGGTAACCCGTGACATCCCTGGTGTGTGTCTCAACATCTGGGGTCAAGTCTTGGTCTTCGGTTCCAGCCTTTGTTTTGAGGCTTGGAAAATTTTCGGTCTTGGAAATTTTAACGATTTTACTAAAAAACGTTTTTTGTCTCAATAAAGTAACAAGACAATCTTCATATGTCTGTTTCACAAATGATTCCCATATATTTACTCATTAGGTCTAATTTGCCCCACTAAATAAATGAAATTCAAAGATGTTTAACATGTTTTGACCGATCATAGGTTTTTAATTTTTTTATATTTAATTTTTATTTAAGTAAAACATCTTTGAATTTGCCTTTCCTTTAATTAATTATTCCCTATTTTTTCTAAATCTTGCGTGCTAATTTTTTTTAATTGTTCTCATATTTAATGAATATTTTAATTTTTGAAAAAGAACTTTTTTTCGTTTAATTTAAAATCTAAATTATTCAATTACTTTTATTTTAAACCAAAATGTCAAAATTTACCAAAATAAATACAAAATAAATTATTAATATAAAAAAGTGAAGTTTGGTTAAAATGTTTTGGCAGAAAAATATTTTCCAGAGGTTTAAGTTTTAAATAGAGATTGAAATAAATTTTAAAAATTCAAAAATCAGCCCTCATCAATTAAAATATTTCAAACAATTCCAACTGTTTTGTTTGTCGGGTCAACAAACAGTGCATGCTTCCAGCGTCCATAAATACATTCGTCGACTACCCCATAGACTATACCACGTTGAGCACAGCGAGCGTAGAGCTTCTCGAGCAGTACTTGTTGACCATCACTTTCACGTAACATTTCCCGAAGAGTATCAAATGCCCGATTAACAGGATCGCGACTTCTTAAAAAATAAATTTAAACCCACCAAAAAACTCAAATAAACCTGTCAGTAGTTGCTTGTTTATGAGCACGTAGAGATTCTCTTGCAGAATCAAGCAAACGCAGTGCTTCTTTCACATCAGCTGCTTCTACTACATTTGAAAGACGAAGGCGAGCTAATGCAGTACATGCTCGAATTGCAGCCTAAAATAAAAAATTTAAAATAAAAGAAATAAAAACAAACCAAAAGTATTCTAGGTGATGTAAATGTTGAATCAGCACTATTTTTTGATTCACGTCGAAGCTCAACATATTTATCAACCAAAAGTTCCTTCAGGTCATCCGGTAACACTGGATCCTTTCGTTTACAGACAGCAATGTACTTTCTAGAAAATTGCTTCTTTTTTAATCAAAAATGAGTTACTTATCCAGGAGGATTTACGATGGATCTCTTCCTCAGATTTCGTTTTAAAAAACAGGTGTTAAATGGGGACACGCCCAAAATAACGCACGGCTATAACAACGCAGAGCCATAACTTGCTTCAAAATTATCAAATCTTAAATTTAGTAGTAATCATCGAGCTAAAGAGACTGGTACCAAAATTGATAAGACCAGAAATTTACCGGCTAGGTATGACTTTGCATTGTTACGGTCGCGCGTTGTTTTGGACTGTACCCGCTAAAATGGTGTAATGTAATTCTGGCTTCTGCACCATTCGGAAACTTACTTGACGAAAAATCAGCCCATGGTAATTAAGATTAAATCCTACAAGAAAATTGAGTAACAAACCTAAACAATTTCATATCCACAGGCTTAAATGTCGCCTCTGGCTGTTCACCTTTTCGGTGTACATAAGTAATATGATCTGCCAATTTTCGATCAGAATCTCTATCAGGAGTATCTTGAATAAGCCAAAGAATATCAAAACGAGACAAAAGTGCAGCAGGTAAGCGTATATTGTCTTCAATTGATCTACTTGGATTATAACGGCCATACGCTGGATTGGCAGCAGCAATTATTGCAACACGAGCATTTAATGAAGTCATTATGCCTGCTTTTGCTATTGAAATTGTTTGCTGTTCCATTACCTTTAAATAAGAGTAAAATAGGATTACAGAAAAATTAAACAGAAACCTCATGAATAGCCGTTCGATCGCCCTCCACCATTTTGTCAAATTCATCAATACAACAAATTCCACGATCGGCTAATACTAAAGAACCACCTTCCAATGATACCTCACCTGTGAAATTATTTTTTAGTAAAAAAACATTTTTAAAAATTACTGGATGTATTCTGGGATTAGACATGTAATTTGAACTTTAAGTATAAAGCCAAAGATTACAGCGAAGAACTTTTTCCTTATGTAGCAAAATGACTAACAAGGATTTTCGATGTTCGCCTAATAAGATAAAATAATCCCCATGGAAAAAATATACTTATTTATGGAAAAATCAATCCCTTTTGTTAGAAACAAAATTATTTAAAAAAAAAGTTTACCAGTAAGTGTATCTTTGATCACAGCAGCAGTCAATCCAACACCACTTGAACCACGTCCAGTTGTATATTGTGAGCGAAGTGCAAGTCGGTCAACATAAGTTAATAATTGAGATTTTGCAACTCCAGGATCTCCCATCAACAAAATATTTAATGCACCTCGAATACGCATTCCGCTTGCATTTTTATTGACACCTCCAACGAGTGAAAGCAAAAGTGATTTTTTGACATCAGTTAAACCATAAATTTCAGGTGCAATGCTATATGCTGAAAATGAAGTTTATAGAAAAATATTAAAAATTAAATCCCTCAAGCTTTTTATTAAGAGATACATATAAGGAGATTTTGATTTTTAGGGATCAAAAAATCCTCAGAGGACAAGGGCTTAAGGCCTCGTTTATACCACCTTCCAATGATACCTCACCTTTGAAATCATTTTTTAGACAAAAAATATTCTTAAAGATTACTGGATGTATTTTGGAATTACACATGTAATTTGAACTTAAAGTATAGAGCTTTAGCCAGGGGGCCTCCGAAAAAAATCCTGGCTACGGGCCAGGCTGTAGCTAAGGGTGTCTTTTTTAGCAAACACATCCAAGTCCAAATATGTATCAAAACCTCGATTAAATAAAAAAAAACAAACCAAGATGATCATAAAAATTGTCATGACTGACTAATTGAATCTCTTCTTCAGTCAATTCATCATCCAAAAATTCTTCATTTTCATCTCGATTATTTTGAATATGCTAATAAAAGGTAAAAATAATTTTACAAAATTTAATTTAAAAAAATACATGTGCTTCCAAAAATACTTCTGTAACAAGCCCTCCAACCATTTGACGAAAACCTGTTCGAAGTTGAGGAACAAGAACACCACAAACTTGAACAGTATCGCCAGGAATGGCTTTTCGAGTATTTTCTCCAGTCAAATAAACAGTTAAAGAGCGAGGAATTCCTCCGACCGAAACTTGTTCAGTCTAAAAATTAAAAATAATTTTTATTTTTTTAAATTAAAAAACCGTTTCTTGAACTCGAATTTCTTGAAATTTAACGAATTTTGAACCCCGAATTTGCATTTGTAGACGTCCATTTGCTTTACTTTGTATACATTCATTGCTTGGACAATTGAAGACTGGCATATACGAAAGTGAATTTACCTTTTGATTGAAAAATATTTTTAAATAATTAGTAGAATTAATTTTCAAATAGAAAAATCCAAATTCCGAAAAAGGAAAATAAAAAAAATTAGAAATTTACAACACCGAGGAAATTAAAAATCTAATGGGTATAAAAATGTTTTAATTTTAGAGTAACAATAATAAAATAAGGCCAAAATCATTTTTAAAAAATTGTCAAAATAGAACAAGAAATAAAAAAGATGCTCACAAGGGAACTTTTCGAAATGGGGGTCAAGGAAAAAAACCTACTACATATAATATGTATACCCTGCGCTACACGATGGTGGAAAAAACACGAAATTTTTACATACAGTTCGGGATGTTCCCTTGTCAGAATTTTTCTAGCAATGGAAGTTCCTCGAACCTATGCCCCATTAAGTCTTTAAAAAACCTTTTTAACTAACGTAAAAAAACAAGAAACCCCCATCAAAAAATTTTTACTATTAAAATTAAAAAAACCGGTTGAAAAGCTTCAGCTCCACAAGTATCACAAATATAAGTAATAACATTAGCTAAAGGTTTCACTTCTGTTGCCCGAATAACAATCCCTTTAATAGAAACAAGTTTACCAACAAATTGTGCACGAAGTTCTCTAACAGCCAAAGGCTTAATTTCATCCCGAACTTTGAAATAAACTTCACTGAAAAATTAAAAAAAATTATTGAAAATTAATCAAAAAATAAATACAATCGACGAAGCAATTCTGGTGGATAGTTTCTACGGGGATCCTCTTCTTGAGTCAAATCACCTTTGTCTAGACGCATTTTTTTATCCATATATAAACGTTGAAATAAAAAAGCATCTAAAGCGTCGATTACTGCTGGCTAGAAAAAAAAGAAGGGAATTTTTAAGGTAGAATTAAATAGAACAAAATGAAAAAATACACTGGTGGAAAAAAGTATTGATCCCTATGTTTTTTTCTTCTTTCTTCTTTCATTCAAAAAATAGTTCTATATATCAATCGAAAGCTCTATCTGTATCTCAGTTGACATGTTTCTGCATTTTTCGAAATTCTGACATTTTCGAAAAATTTTCGACCGGTCTAACAGGTACTACTTTTTCAACTTTTCGGAGAAATTTTTTTGAGGTCTTTAAAAAATATATGTGATTCTCCTCTAGATTCTACATACAATACAAAAAAATCAACCAAATCGGTCGAGATTCAACCGAGTTATGAATTTTTGAAAATCGAAAAAACACCATATTTTTGCCATTTTTCGTCAAAAAATCGTGTTTTTTCGATTTTCAAAAATTCATAACTCGGTTGAATCTCGACCGATTTGGTTGATTTTTTTGTATTGTATGTAGAATCTAGAGGAGAATCACATATATTTTTTAAAGACCTCAAAAAAATTTCTCCGAAAAGTTGAAAAAGTAGTACCTGTTAGACCGGTCGAAAATTTTTCGAAAATGTCAGAATTTCGAAAAATGCAGAAACATGTCAACTGAGATACAGATAGAGCTTTCGATTGATATATAGAACGTATTTTTTGAATGAACGAAGAAAGAAGAAAGAAGAAAAAAACATAAGGATCAATACTTTTTTCCACCAGTGTATATAAAATTTAATTTTCCCATTAAACATTAATTTTTGAATTTTAGCAATTTAAAAATAAAATTTCCCAAATTACTTTAATTATTTCAAAAATAAAACAAAGATACGAATTTTTCATTAAATAAAAAATAGGATTGCCGTTTCCGAGTCGGGCCGACGTTCGAGTCATTTTTTTGAACATTTTTTCGGACTGGACCGACCGAGTCTTTTTCGGGCCAAAATTCGATGCCCGACTCGATCTTTAATAAAAAAGGACATCGGACCGGCAACCATAATAAAAAAAATTTACAATCCTGGGAGTGGTTGGAAATTTACAAAAATTATTTGAGACTATCCTCATCTAAAAAAATTCCTTTAAAAACCCTCATATCCAACTAAAATCCACCAAATATTTAAAAAACAAAAAAAACCTGTTCATCCCCTAGCGCTTCCTCAACAAGTTTTTGAACAACTTCACTAAAAAGTAAACGAAACCGGACAGTATTTCCATTAATTGAAGTATAAAGTTCAGGATTGTGAACATAAACATCATCTTGTTCTACATAAAAAGAAATTTGTTGTCTTTTAGCAATTTGTTCAATTTCTTTTAAATATTTAAATGTTTTTAATTCATTTTCATCTTCAATGTAAAAATTACGAAGAAAATCTTCAATTTGTTCCTTTGCTCTTTCATAATCATTGTCTGCCATTTTTCTAAAATTTAAAAAGCTTGAAAAAAATTTTTTAGTTAAAAATAAAAAAATCAAACAAGAATTTTAAAGAAAAATTCTTCGCGCCTAATCAAATCGGAATGGTCGATTTGGTGCTAAATAAAGTAACAGTACTAAACTCGGTTACAGTCCAAATAGGCGCGCGGCCAAACGCTCAAAGCCATAACTTGCTGAAAATTTTCTGGCCCTTATCAATTTTGGGGCAATCTCGGAGAATCGTGGTCCCTGCGGAAAAAAATCTTAAAAATAAGAAAAAGTATTTTTCTAGGGTAAAAAATTATGCTGATTACGAATCTGAACTCAGATTTTGAAAAAGTCGAATCCCGAACCCGAAATTCGAACATTTGACATTTTTGGAAAAATTTCGAATAATAAACAGAGCGCAAATTATTCAAATAATATCTCATTCGAAAGAGCTCGTCGAGCTGAATCGAATGACACCAAAACCATCTTGATTGCACAAGTTTTGACAAAGTTACGATAGAAAAACTACTAACATAAACCTATGGGTCGTCGGCGAGGCGCTTGTGCATAACCCCGCGCTTCGCGCTGGGTTTTGCGGCACGCGCCTCGCGGGGAGTCTACGGGCGCTGGGTCTGGGCTCGTAACATAAACCTATTCCTATCTCCCTTGTTCTGCCCGTATTTGGGGCCTCCGTAGCAGCAAAAATCTCCAGATGCTATAGGTAAGGAGCTAAAACAAACGGTCATAACTTTGTCCAATCAAGTCAGATTTCGTTGAATTTGGTGTCATTCGACTCAGCTCGACGAGCTCTTTCGAATGAGCTATCATTTGCATATTCGAATTTTTTACCTCCAAAAAAGTGCTTGGTCCCCCCTTTGTTTTTTGAACTTTAGGGGTCTGTAACTCGGCTCAGAATTTTTTCCGCTGAATAATTTTGGTGTCGTTCGACTCAGCTCGACAAGCTCTTTCGAATGACATATAAATTGTCCAATTCTGAGCCTGGTACGGAAACTGTAGTTTAGCCAAAAAGTAGAATATTTTCGTTAATTTAGAAAGATCTCAATAAGCGCTACCATTTTTTCAACTAGAAAGACCGAACCTGATCACTTATTAAAAACTACGAACCGATAGGTGCAATTATTTGGCTTTTTTTCACATTTATCGCGTTATAATTTTTTAACGATCGATCAGAGTTGATCTCTTCAATTGGAAAAAAGATACCTCTTATCGAGGGCTTTCGAATCATTCGTTCTCTTTTAGCCGTACTCTGAATAGGCTACTTTGAATCGCCTCCCCCCTTACCCGCTAAACTTATAAAACGAATTATTCAAAAACAACAAATTTATTTAAAAAATTCATTTTCCAAGTCATAAAAACATAAAAATGTTTAATTTTATCCTCCTCAAAATATTTAACTTCTCAAATCAATCAACATCAGAGTCTTCATAAAATTCTTTAATCACAAAATGTTTTGTAATGTCATAACAAAAAGGCTTAGTTTCCAAATTATTTCCAAAGTTAGCTTCTACTGAACAACATCTCAAATGAATAAATGGTGCATAAGAGTCGAAATTTTCTTTCAATAATATTGCTTTACCTTAAAAATTGAAAAAAAGAAAATAATCTCACTAAAAACTTTTCGGTACTTTTCCGTTAATCGACCGCAAATGGAGTGTTAGCCGATTTTAAACAGCTATAACTTTTTTGATGCTTGATCCAATACAGATGAATTTTATATCATTCGAAAGCCCTCGATAAGCTCTATCTCTTACCCAACTGTATGGATCAGGTCTGATCATTCCTAAAAAAGTTACACGCCGATAATAGTGAAAAACAACGATTTCTTGCACTTATCGACTTGTAACTTTTTTAAGAATGATCAGGCCTGATCCATACAGTTGGGTAAGAGATAGAGCTTATCGAGGGCTTTCAAATGATATAAAATTTATTTGTATTAGATGAAGCATCAAAAATTTATATCTGCTTAAATTCGGCCATTACGCAGTTTGCGGTCGATTAACGGGAAAGTACCAATTTTCCAAACCAATTTGTTCCCCATTTTTAGTATAGAACATATAAGGCAACTTTTTATCCTTTTCAGTTGGCGGATAAACTAATCCACAACCAAAAATATCTTCATCATTCCAAGAAAAATCATCAAGTTTAAATACTTCACGTTTTTCATTCTCAATTACTCCAAACAATGGACGTAAACTAATCGCCTCCTTATTATCATTCCTGAGATCAATACTTATCCAGCTAAACTTCTCTCCTTCTATTTTAACTTTAATTTCAAAATAAAATAAAGAATAATTAATGCAATCGTCTGGCTCTTCAAAATAATTTTCAGCATAAACCTCAAAGTATTTATTAATACCTGAAAATATTTAAATAATATATGCCGACACAAAAAATAAATTCCCGACATTTAGGAAACATACGTCGGGACAAAGCGATCCACGATACAAATATAAAAAACATCAAAAATAGAAAACCATATCGGGGAGTAAGCTCATTTTGGGGGAAAATTCAAATATACAAATGATGGCCCATTCGTAGAGCTCGATGAGCAGAGTTTTTTTTCATGTAGAATTTTTCGCTCCAAAATAAGCTTACTCCCCGTATGGTTTTTCAATTTTTGACTTCGTTCACCCCCTAGTTCAACTCAGCTTTCCGAGCTCTTACGAATGACATCATGCTAGGCTTGTTCGAATACTCAAAAAAAAAGGGCCAAGCGAAGAGTGCCAAAAAACCTATCACCTTTATGTAAAGTTGCAGGCGTAGTTAGCAGCAGAGCTGTTTTTAAACAATAGAATCTTTGAAAATTGGGAATCGAGAAAGTTCGAAAATAACGGATTTTCGAAACAGAACTGCATAGTATTCAAGTTTACTTATTGTAACATAATCACTCAATTTTGTATAATATAATTAATTTACCTTTACCAACACAATTAATATATTTAATATTCTCATCATCAATTAATTTAATAAATCCATTTCCCTTAACACATTTTGTATTTTTCATTTCATCGGAACATTTATTAGCACAACAATCATTAATAATCCCACGCCATTTATTTTTAATTTGCACAAAACACTAAAATATATCGTAAATGCTCTAATATAAGCCCTGGGCTTATATTTCTCACTGGATTATTTTGAACGGGCCTATATTAAAGATGGGCTTCTATTAGACACTAGGCTTATATTTTTCAATCTCCTTTTCTGGGATCCCTATAAATTTTCAACCGGTTTACAAAAAAATATTAGTAAATCCTAATTTTAAAAATTTAAAAGATATAAAAATTATCACAAAAATTAAACTAGTATGCGGTTGAAGTACTTCAGATCCCCTTATATTTCCGAACGAAAATCCAGTTTCAGGATCAGGAAAAACGATTTTGCCGGGCATAAGCTATTTTTATTTGATAAAGCATAAAAGCATTTATTTAGAAAATTTTATTAAATTTTTGCTAAAAAATTTCGGATGGGTCTATATTAATTTCGATATTTTAGATTTAATTTAAATAAATACTAACCGCTCGTTTACAACTTTTACTTAATTGTTCCAATTTATTTGTTAATTTTCCCATCTTTTTTTCGAAGGAAACACTCATCTTTAATTTTAAATTTTTTAAAACTAGAAATGATTATCTATTTAAGAGTTCATTTGACAGAAAGATTTTTTGAAAAAACAAAAATTCCTTATTTGTATCTACTATAGTATTTTATGTATATAAATTGGTACTTAACGGTTATACGTCCCAAGGGCGTATCCAGGGGGTATCCACCCCGTATCCACCCTTTTTTTACCTCATTCATTTGTTTCTCAAGAAAATTATTTTTCTCTTCAAGTTTAGCATTCTTTTCCTTCTCTTCATTAAATTCAATTAAAAGATTGTCAAGTTTTGTTTGAATATCAAAATCATTATTATCAACAATTTGCTAAAATTTAATTAAAATTAATTTTTAATTTTTATTACTTTACCACAAAATCAAAATCAGAATTTGTAGATCCTTCAGACATTTTGTAAAAAATAAAATTTAAAATCTAAAACAGAAACTAAATTTAATGATATAATAAAAGAAAAAAAAGTCAGGGTAAGCTATCAAGGATTTTTTAGATCAGGTTTTGGGTTTTAAATAATTATTTTCACACGTCTCTTGCGCGGGGCCAGTTGAGCGTGCCTTATTAGTCGGCCAGTTAAGCGACCACGAAGAATGTTGTTCAAATAAAGGAAAGTTGTTCCAACAAAGGGAAAAGTTGTTCCGACAACCTGCAGTTGGAACAACTTTTCCCGTTCTTGAAACAACATTCCCCGCCGGTGGTACAGCTTTCCTCGATGGTGGAACAAAATTTGCTGTTCTTGGAACAACACTTGTACGCTCAACTGGCCAATTACAAGGCACGCTCAACTGACCTGTCTGTTTCTCCTTTTTTCCGTGTTCTCTCTCCTTCTATATGTATATCTCTAATTAACATTTTTAATTTTAACATTTTATTTTGTCCAGTTAAAAGTGTACAAAATGTCAGCTTTCGACAATTATAAAAAATGTCATTAAAGTCAAAATTTAACAAAATACCAATAAAACAAAAAAAATTTTCATAATTAGGGTTGACATTTAAAATAAATTACGTGCTTTCAACAAAAAATTTTTTTAAATAAATAAACGTCAACAAGTAAAATTTGCATTCTTTTTTTTTATTTCCACTCAATAAATTATGTTAATTATTTTTGTTGGGTAAAATTTGAATAGAAAGCATTAAATATGTTTTTTTGCAAAAAAAAGTGAGTGAGTGAGTGAATATTTGTTTGTTTTTTTTTCAAATTTTTAATGATGATATACATCAAAAATTATTTTTATTTAATGCACTTTTAAATGACAACCTTTTTTTTAAATTAACGATGGAATTGTACTTCCAATATAAAAATAGTAATTTATTTTTTCGTTCATTATATACCGATATCTCGGTTAAGGACGATTCAGTATATCTCTCCCCCGATATCTCTTTATTTGGTTACATTTTTGTTAGTTGTTTCGAGATGCTTTAAACTTGAATTTAAACAGTTTGTTAATTATGAGAGGAAGGGAAATTGAGTTGTCTCCCTTTAAAGTTATCCCCTTTATTTTTTAAAATATCCCAAGCTTTTAGTTACACTTTAAAATAAAATAGTTAATTCTCTCGTCAATAGAGACATTGGTATTTATGGATATACCACCCCCCCTATTTTGAGTCGCAGAGTTTTCCTTAACATGTATTGGTTGTTGTATATCTTTTCTTTATTAATGCCTCTGATTTGAATATGACACAGTGAAATGGAGTAAAATTGAAGAAAGAAGAAAGGCTGATGACCATCATTATATATTAAGGAAAACTCTAACATAAGACTTAAAATAGGGGGAGGGGTGGTATATCCATAAAGTACCGAGACATTTTAAGGAGGTAACAGACGATCTATAGAATTTACAAAAAATATTTTCAATATTTGTTAATTAACTATTAATAATTTTAATTGCCATTATTCTACTTAATTCTCAAGAGTTTAAAATAATTTTCTTCCGTCAAAAATAATTGAAGAAGTTTTTTTATAAAAAAAAAGATGGATTAAAATTAATTTTAAATTTTATTCAATAAAATTCCCAAGAGAAATAAAAAAAAGAAAAAAACCTTTTAATGCCCTCCCCCCATATTTTTAAGTCAATTTCCAAGCCTTTTATTATCTTTCTTTAAAATCACCCAAAATTCTTTATCTTTTCCAGATTTTATTTTTTCTAATTTTAAACATTTTGTTTATAAAAATATTTTTATAAATCACATCATTAAAAAAATTTTTTTAAATTTTCAACAAAAATATTTTAAAAAATTCTACATTAAAACCAAAAAATGTTTCCCCAATTAATTATTTTTATTTGTTTTTATTTTTCTATTATTACAACGTCAGAATTATTAAGTAAAGATAACAATATTGCAGAATCTATTATTGTATGTTTAGTAATTCGAAAATAATTTTTTATCCATTGGCCCTGGGTAATACGAACAGACCCCCGACTAAGCTTGCCAAAATCGTAAAATCTAGTCGATTTTGGTATGAAGGACATTGTCGGAATGTACAAATTGTTTACCCAGTGATGAATATACCGTCACTGGGATATAATAAGAATTATGCTCAATAATCACTGTCAGGTCTCTCTGAAAGTCTTCCCTAAGCTTCTTGGTTGTACTTTAGCCGTTGGCCCCCCCCCCCTATAGTTTTTCGGTTTTAAGGACCTATATCTCGATTCGTAGGCATTTCCGCAGATAGAGAGTAGTACCATTCGACTCAGCTCACCGAGTCGAATCGAATGGTATATAATTTGTCCCGTTTCTGAGTGGGCCACCCGCTAAAGTATATCCATCTTCTTCTCTAATCGGCAGGCCGAAACTTGCGGACCCGACGAATTTTTCAAAACATAGCTCATTCGAAAGAGCTCGACGAGCTTTGTCGAATGACATCAAAATCATCGTGATTGTACAAGCTTGGACAAAGTTACGATAAAAAAACAAAAACCTAAACCTATGGTCCGCAAAAGTCGGTCCGCAAGTTTCGCACTACCCTCTAATCTATATCGTCACATGTTTGTACCTTCATCTTGGATGGTTTTTAAACAAAAGTTTTTCATTAAGCAATTAGTTTTCGACGTTTTCCGTAGATTTAAATATCTTTTCCTTCCCTAAAATCCTTATATCATTTCTTATAATTAGGATTTTGGTGCAAAAACGTGTACTTTAGCTTTTGAATGTTGGTCTACAGAACCTGTAATTGAAGATGGAAGGCCTTTATTTATGCCATATATTAGTAGATATTTAAATTAATTTTTTAAAAAAATATTAAAATTTAAAAGCAAAAAGATTAGAAATTGGAGGTGGATTGCATAATAAAAGTGGAAAAGGTAAATTTAAAAAATTTATAATAAAATAGTGTATAATGTAAGGATACCTAACAATTAATTCCTCGATGGATTGGCCATCCTAGATTTTTTTGATACATTAGACAGGGTATTTCAAGCCAAAGTTGAGTCGGAATTCCGATTTCCGAGTTTCGGCTTTTGAGCCAGTTCCGATTTCCGACACCTCTGACTGTTCCGAGCCACCTCTAATTCAAACCCTTTTAAAACCTGTTAACGTAGTTAGAAATAAAATATGTTAGAGAGCCAAAGCATTCATTTTATCATTAAATATTACTCAATCAGAACGTGTAGCTTAAAATTGTTTGGAGGAAGTTTTGATTAAATTCCCCTACTTATGCCACTCTGATTTACTTAGAGAATTTTTTTAATCTTTGAGCTACATTAGAAAATTACTAAAAAATATTTTTTAAAGGAAAATGTAGATGTAAAGAAGGTCGATGTATGTTTTACTCCTTACCAGAGAGAATATTTTATGAATGCCAAGAAATTTAATTAAAAAAATATTTTTTAGAAATTAAATTTAAATAAAATAAATTTTATAATAACTAAAATTCTTTACGTAAAAATAAAAAAATATATTTATTTAATAAAAAATATTTGAAAGTATTTACTAATAATGGAGACTAGAAAGGGGATAAAACGGAGTAAAGGTGGGCGCTGGAAAAGGAAGGGGGGGGGGGGGTATTTAAAAAATTCTCATCTTCCCCGACTTTTGGAAATGAGGGAATTACCCTACTAGAAAGTAATGGTCAAGAACAGATTTGCCCATGGATACGGATACAGATAATATCAAAATGCCTGCGGATATCCGCCTGTATCCGTCTGTATACGCCGTAAATATGCGGATACCAAGATCAGTATTCGTGATCAGGTCTGGTTAAAAATTAATTTTTTAACTCAATAGAATCTGGCTTGGAAAATTTTTTAAAAATTATTTTCACTGGAATCAGAAAATATAAGCTTTTGCCAGAATATGTATGTATTAAGTAAAAAATAAAAAGGTAGGTAATTAGGAGAATTTAAAAAAATAAATCACCGGGCGGAATTAAAAATACAAAAAATATATGAGAGTTAGTAGGGATGTCCGAGACCGAAAATTTTCCAACACTCAAGAAAAAAACCATTTAAACCATTCTAGAACCCCAAGACCGAAAAAACTCCAAGAAAAGTCTTGGAATCAAGGCTCAAGACTAAGAGTCTCGGATGTCTCTAAGAGTTAGTACTTCTCGAATTTCCAAATAATTTTTTCCTTCAAAATTTACTTCTTTCTTTGTTGCATAATATTTGTTTGTGTTGTATATTGGTCCTTTCCATCCAAAAAATATGTTGTACATTCACCCTTTCCCTTTAAAAAAATTTTTTAATTAAAAATTTCTTTTCTCTCCCCCTTACTTTAATTTCAACTTTCCCTCTTTCAACAGCAATAAATTGTTGAAAAAAGCATTTTAATAAATTAAAAGAAGACTCGCTTATTTGAATTTTGTTGGCTAAACCTGTCGATTCCTTTTTTAAAAATAAAATTTAAATAAAAATATTTTTATTTTTAAACCATTCTAGAAGCCATATTTACTGTGTCTCCAAAAAGACAATAACGGGGAGCAGCTAATCCAACAACTCCAGCAGCTACAGAACCGCTGTGGAAACCAATACGAACCTTTTTTGAATAAAAAGATTTTCGAATAAATTAATTTTTAAGGGTTTTCTGATTTGTCGATGCTCCGTAGCTAGTAGAGATCGGTGTTATCAAAAATCTTCGATCTGGATTTAAGTTTGTAACCTGGACAGGATTCTTGATCTGAATCCAGGAAAAATCCAGACTGGATCCAGATCCAGACCGATCTCTAGTAGCTAGTAATGAATGCGAAAATGTGAATTGAAGAACTGTCCTTTCATATGACTTAAATTCTGTTAAATAAGAAATCCTCTAAAATTAATTAAAATCCCACCATAATAATCTCTTCTGGACGATGTCCAACTTTAAAGTTTGAGACAAACTAAATAAATTTATCTATTTTTATTTTCTCCATTAAACTTACTGTACGCATTTTAAGTGCAATATCTGCAATATGCTGTACATGTAAATTACCGTTTTCACGAGGGACACCAGAAACAACCATGTAAGTATGTCCAATCTGTTGTTATTTATGTAAAAATTTTTTATGATAAACAACAAAATAATATTATGGTATTTATCAAGGGTGTAAAGGTTTAACACTGACAAGGGAACATTTCGAACTGTGAGTAAAAAGTTCGAAATAAAAGTTATACCATCGTGTAGAGCATAGTCGAAAACCTTTATGGTTTCCGGCTTTTTCGGCTCCGACCCCCATTTCGAAAAGTTATAGGTCTTCAAAGTTTTCGACTTTTGGAGCGGTTGAGTCGCCCTCACTTTTCTTATTATTTGTCTTACCAAAGAGAAAAATGAGACTCCTTCTCTTCATTTTTCCTTTCTTCTTCTTTTCCCATGTCGGTTAAAGAAAGAGAAAAAGAGGAGAGGAAAGAAAAGGAAAAGAGGCATGTCTGCCATCTCCTCTTTCCTTTTTAATTGACATTAGCTGCAAGGCAGAGATGCCTCTTTTCCTTTTCTTTTCTCTCCTCCTTTTCTCTGTCTTTAACTAATATTGGAAAAGAAAAGGAAAGGAAAAAAGGAGGTGGGAGTCTTATTTTTCTCCTAATAAAAGAAAACTCTCTCTTTATGAGGGTGACTCAACCGCTCCAAAAGTCGAAAACTTTGAAGACCTATAACTTTTCGAAATGGGGGTCGGAGCCGAAAAAGCCGGAAACCATAAAGGTTTTCGACGACGCTCTACACGATGGTATAACTTTTATTTCGAACTTTTTACTCACAGTTCGAAATGTTCCCTTGTGAGCAGGGATATCCTGCCACTTCCAGAAAATTATTAGAAAATATTTATGAAAAATTTAAATATTCTAGGTTCCCTTTCAACGACTTTACAAGCCTTCGGCTTGGCGTGTTTTAAAAATTTGAAAAAATGGCGTTTAGCGTTCCTCGAAAAATTTTTGGCGCACAGCCCTGGTTCCTACCAAAAGCCTCCCAAAAAACAAAAAAATATCTTAAAAATCCACCGTTTCAACTTTAAAAGCATCATGTTTAGCTATAATAGCATCAAATCCACTAAACATATCATTCAAAAAAGCAACAACTTGGTAAGGGGTTGAATTGGCAGCCATTCGAGAAAATCCTCGAATATCAGAGAAAAGAACCGTTGAATTTGTGTATAATTGTGGAGGGACTGGCCGTCCAGCTTTTAAATCATCGGCTATTGTTCTAGAAGGGAAATTTAGTGAAGGATTTTTTAAGACTGATTTTATTATATATTTTTAAATTTATTCGATGTACTCAACAGGAGTTGATCGGAAATGGCTAAGGTGCCGGAAACCGGAACTGTCGGAAATCGGAAATGGCTCAAAAGTCAGAAATCGGAAATCAGCTTAAATTTCGGAAGACGGAATTCCGACTTCGATCGACCCCTGGTAAAAGGAGTTAAAATGTATAAAGTAATTTTTAGAGAAAAAGTTAATTAGCCTTCTATGGATCTTCTAAAATATATCTCTACATTCAATATAATTAAAAAAAATCCCCCAACAAAAAATTTCCTTACGATGGCAACATATTTTTAAGTAGACGATCAGCCTGTTGTTGTGCCTCCTCCAATAATTGAGTCCTTTCTTTAACCAATAATTCTAAATTAGCTGTATAATCTTCCATCATTTTCATCATTTGGTCAACCAAAGAACCGCTTCCCGTCGATTTTAAGTTTGCATTTACAATTGCTTTTAATCTTTTTATATTTGGTCTCATTTCTGGAATTTCTAGCCAACAAGCTTCTAATGCCTTTTAATTATGTTTTTAATATTTTACTAAGTAAACCCTGAATAAACTCTACTAAAAAATGAGAGTATTAATGGGTGGGGGCTAACTCAAGGAATACCAATTCAAGGAACAGACAAGTCAAGGATAAGACAGGTCAAGGAACGACCAACTCAAGGAATATTTTAAAATCGGGATTTTTTTTTGAAAAATCTGAATATTTTTAAAAATAAAAATTTAAAAAATTAGAATACTTCAAAAAACAGAATTTAAAAAATTCTAATTTTTAAATTATTCCATGATTTAGTCATTCATTGAGTTGGTCGTATGTCTTTTCCTTGACTTGTCGTTCCGTGACCTGTCTGGTGAGTTAGCCCGACCACGGCATTAATTACCTTTTTCTTGAGGTGAGGGTGGGGGAGACGTTAATAGGAAAACGGGGCTTAAGAGAGTAGGTGTTAATTGAAAATATTTTTAAAAATTAAAATATTAAAGTAAATAATTACAGAAAGTAGTTGTAAATTATAAGCTTCCTCAGCAGGATTAGCAACAGTTTGTACTTGATTTGGAAATATCGGTCTAATAATTTGGTCATTATCATTAGCCATAGCAATTCTATTGAGTAATTCTTTAAATTAAAATTTTTTAAATTTAAATTCCAAAATTAATAAACTTTGTGGAGATAAATTCTTCTCAACAAAAGGCTCCAATTTAAATAAAATCTGATATAGGACCATTCCACAAGAATAACTTTAAAATATTTATGTATTCGATTAAATTATTAGATTCTCGTTTAGAAAATTTTTTTGAAAAAACTTCTTTCCGGCTCAAGGAAAGAAATGGAAGGAAAAGAATTGGAAAGTAGTCTCTTAAATAAATGAATACATAATAAAGACTAGGGTAGCTCCCCGTCACCCGTACCCCCTACCCAAAAGTCAACCCCGTCTCCGAACCCCGTCATGCCCTCCCTGGCAAACCCCAATCCCTGACACATTTGACCCCGAAGGCCCAGGGAGCTACCCTATTAAAAACACCCTCTTTTGAAAAATTCGAACTCAAATATGAGTACACAATAGAGGTACATTCAGATATCACCCTCACACTCAAGTGAAAGTATTTACGTTAGTGTGAGTTTACATAAGTAAATTCCGATTCTAATAATTTCCTCTGAAATAACTTACATATCAGATGCTTGGGTTCCAATAGGCAAATGTTTTGCACTCAAAAATTCGCGAATAATTTCAGGAGCGTATTGGACATATTCTTTATAATTAAAAATTATTAAAAATAAAAATTAGTTGATATACTTTTCATATTTGCCTGATCTCTAACTTTATCGTTAACAATTGCCTTTAAAATTAAAATAATTTTTTTGGAAGTATTTACTAGAGCCTTCCAAGACTCTTGGTCTTGCGTCTTGATTCCAAGACTTTTCTTGAGTTTTCTTCAGTCTTGGTCTTGGAAAATTTTCGGTCTTGGAAGGCTTTATTATTTACTGAATAGAGGGAGGGAGGACCAATTAAAATTCTTCTAAATATTCTACCCACCTCTTCCAATTTTTGATCTTCCAATGACTCCGAAGAGCTCACATCACGTCTTTCCTTACCCTCACGCTGAAATTTTTTAACAAAAATTTTTCAAATTTTTTTATTTTTTACTTCTCTTTCCTTCTGTTTTTCACGTTTTTTCTCTTCTTTTTCACGCCTTTTCTTTTGTTTTTCCCTTTCAATTTCACTATCCATCATATATTTTAATTCATTATGTCTAAGTTTATCCCCACATAATTCATCGGTAACTAAATATTTTTTAAAATTAGTTAAAAAAATTTTTTATTTGTCAATTTCACCAAAATTTGTCAATTTCACATTCCAATTAGAATCCACCAAACAATTCTTTAAAAAATAAAAATAAAGCTTCCCCAAAAATTAATTTAAAAATGAAGGCGCCCGAGTTCAGGTGCCCGAGTTCATACGAACTCGGGCACCTGACGATGGTCCACAAGGTCATGGTTACCTTATGACCGTCTTGTGATACTGGTTAAAACCGCCGAGTTCTTATGATACGGGCCCTGGCAATCGGATTTTACAATAAAAAATTTTGAAATTTATTTTGTGTGGCATCCTGGCCCGTAACCGTGGGGTGGGGGGGGGGGGGTGGTAGGAGGGGGTTTCCTCGAAGAAAAACCCTGGTTACGGTCCTGGTGGTATCTAATAGTTATTTATCTAGTATTCAAGACTAAATCTACATCAGAGGTCGGTGGAATTCCGATTTCCGACTTACGAAAATTTAGGCTGATTTCCGACTTCTGAGCCAATTCCGAGTTCAGGCAGTTCCGATTTCTGCCACCTTAGCCATTTCCGACCGACCTCTGATCTACATAAATATATATTTTCATATTTTCTACCTGTAAACAAAGAGATCCGTGCATTCTCAAAATCGAATTATGTAAAAAGAAAAGTCCTTTAACAACATCCTTAGCAAAAGAAGCTTGAAAATTTTTTCCAATTTTCAAGTCGGCATTAAACAAAACATCTTCCAAACTTCCCCTTTGACACAAAATCCACAAACAAATAAATTCATTTTGTTGATTAAAACAAATTCCATAAAATTTATTTAAATTCTCATTCTCCATTATTTTTAATTCTTTTAAACGGCTCAAATCGTGTTTGTTAAAAGAAATATTTCGAGTTTGTTGATAACGTTTATATGCACATTTGACACCATTGGCTACTGCTTGTTTGGCTTGTAGACGACTATTCGCTTTTGAACCGATACTTTCTTTAAAAAATAATTAAAGTCAAACTTCTTTTTTATATAACCCTTTATGGGGAGATAACCCTTCTTATAATCTGTATATTAAATTGGGGATATTTCTTATACAGCAGAGGCGGGTCGGAACAGGCAGAGCTGTCGGAACTCGGAAGAGCAAAAATCAGAATTCCGACCCACCTCTGTTATGCAGAAGCACTTCCTAGTGACCAGCCGAATTTAAAAAAAAACATAACGTTAAATTAAGGATTTCTTAAATTTTGGGGGTTTTAAAAATGAGGTTTGACTGCAATTAAGATAATAAGGAAAAAGAAAGAGAATAAACTTTGGTTATTACAAATTTCTTTTCTGGAATAACCGAAAAAATCATTCTTACCATCGTATGAATGACTTTCAGCTGATCTACTTTGCATTGACATTGATTTACCCTAAAAATATTTAATTTTTTTAATAAAAAAATTTATTTACCATTGATGTTGATTTACTCTGAAAATTTTTTATTTAATATTTATGTTTAAATTTATTTTAATTATTTTTTATGCCTCGTGGAGCTGAAAAACTTGACACTCTCTTTTGTATTTGGAGGGATATTTAAGGATTTAATACGGTGACCGGCACGGGACCGAACGGAATTTTGAAAGATCCTAGTCTCGCAAGAAATTGCTTTCCGAAGGAAAACTGTTGGTTTTAGCCTTCTTTCTACACGCATTATCAATTACTTCCTCAGTCATCGAGGGAATTTATTTACAAATTTATTAAAGTATGAATAAAAATTTAAAGAATGAATAAAACGGATTTCTAAGCTATAATAAGTTAATTTTTTTTATTATTTATTCTTACCTTTCCTCCTCGAACTTCAAGTAATCTAACTTGTTCACGAGGAATACGCCTTCAAAAAATTTATTTTAAAAATTATTTTTATTCATTCTTTTACCAAGTCATATCATATAACATTCTTTCCTTCTCTTTCATATGTAAATAATAACCAGTAGGTATTGTTACACCCAAGAATAATATTACACCAAAAAGGACATAAAAGAATGTATAATCACATAAACCCCCATCAAATCCACATTTTGGCATATCTGGGGGCATAGCCCCATCTACCGTTGAATAATAGTGGGACATAGTTTCGTGAGCAACATGTTCAGAACAATCATTTTCGCTCATTGCACATTTTAATCTATCTCCAAGACGAGCAGTTAATTCAACTACTATTTTCATTGTTCCTAGAAAATTATTTATATATTTCTCCGAGTTACTGTATTTCTCCGGGTAAAGGTTTTTGTCAGAATAAAATTTCCAGCTCCCAAATTTTATTATGAACACTCAAGACTAGGGTTGTCGGTTCCTGGAAATTTTTCGGATGTCCGAAACCGAATCGAAGAACCTAATCGAGAAATCCTTAATTCTTCGGTTCGGTCCAGAACCAACAACCCTACTCAAGACTGAATCAATTCAAGCTCTCAAAACTCTTTCTGACTTTTATTTATTACGAACCATTTTTAGTATGATAAGTAGCATAACTTGGCACTCTAATAGCTTTATTGTTAATCAAAACTTGTCCAGTAACTCCAATAAATTGTCTGGCAGTCATTTTTTTCCAAATATACAATCCATCCAAGAAAACACTTTGATTTTTGGTTTCTTCATAAGCATCCCTAACAGCTAATCCATAAAGGAATAATGCATCATATAAAGACATATATGATAATGTTGCATACTTAAAAATTTATTTACAACAGAATTTTCAACATGAAAGACTGGAAATGAAGTTTAGAAATAAATAAATAGGTATACATAATATTCTGCATTAAATGACAGAATCTGAAACATCGTCCACGAATTTTATTAGAGATCGAGCTGGGTCTTAACCAAGACCTGGGTTTTTCCTGTATCCAGAGTCCACGCCCAGGCATTTTTTTACCTTCCTGGGTTTTTCCTCGACTATAGGCCCAGGATTCGGCCCTTGTCAATAAATCAAAACTAGAGTCCATGAACAGGCCCAGAATTTTCAAAAATCTTGATCTCTAAATTTTATATGTGTATCAAGCGGTCTTTGAACATGAAAATAACACGTGTGGATTTATATTCGGTGAATCTTTGGGGAACATTTCTCGTTTTGGAATGTAGATTCTCAAGGATAAAATCACCGTTAGCAAAATCCAAAAAACTCACATAAGTACTAATTACCCCAGTAACTTTATTTAATCTCAATTCAAAATCTTCAATAAACTTTTTATCATAACCATGTGCAGTTATTACAATTGCATCATCAAAAGCAACTCGAGTTTCCTTTAAGATAATAATTTTTTTCGAACGACTTCAAAATTATTTTCAAACAGATTTTTCAATATTTGTAGCCTCCCAAGGATAATGATCGTGTAAATGTGCTAGCCAAGGAATAATATAAACATATTCTGGGGTTTTTAAATGTGAACGAAGTGCAGCAATCATAAAAGATTTTGCCGAGTGTAAATCCATTCCCATTTCAACGATTATAACTTTTTTTAAAGAAAAATTAAACTGTTAGAAAAGTTTGAGAAAAAAAGGGAGATTATTTAAACTATTGTTGAAGTTCAAAATCCATTGCCCCTCTACAGATTTCAAAAATCTGTTCTATTCGTCCACCATTTTTCATAAAAGAGTCCTAGCGACTAAGGTTGGCGGATATTTAGAAATTTTCAGATATCCGGATCCGGTATCCGAACCGAAAATTTCCTGATATCCGGCCTTTTTCGGATCCGGATATTTGGATCCACCAACCTTACTAGCGACTATTTAGTCTTTAATTAGATAATTATTTCACTTTGTTAATAAAACAGAGCTTTTAAATTAATTTTGGGTATCTTCAATTAATTAAAAAAATTTTCAAATCTTTTCTTTACCTCTAGCTCTATTTTTTAAGTGTCTAAGTCTTCCAGTAGCAATAATTTCATCTGGAGTCATATAAGCTTAAATTAAACAATTAAGAGAATTGAATTAATAAAAGAACATTGTAGACACGAATAATTCTTAAAATATTTCCACAATTAATTAACTTACGGTCTAATTCTATTTCTGCATTTATCTCAATATTTGCATCTTTTAGATAATTACGGAGAGAATGTAGAGCAAGACGTTCAAAATGCATACTTGGACGGACTAGTCCAACCTTTTTAAATTTATTTGCCAACTAAAACTAGTTAGTAACATACCTGTTTCCACCCATATAATTGTAAAAATGTAAGTGTAGCTCTAGCCATTTCTGTAGCTGATGTAAGTGCCACAGACCCAAGAGTGTCAAAAACTATAAAAAATAATTTTTTAATAAAAATAGTCATGGCTAGTAATTCGAATTAATTTACCTGCTCTGTCTGAGAGAGCATCATCTCCAGAAAGGTGAGCAATAATAGGCACATTCCATCGAGATACAAGACGGCCAATAATTAACATTTCTAAATTATTTTTTTGTGGATAAATTTTTTCTGATAATAACAATATCCTAGAGGTGGGGGAGGCTTATTTTTTATTTTTTTAGAGGTAGGGGAGGCTTATTATTTTAAATAAATTTAATACCGTTATTACATCCCGGACCAAAGTAAATGCTTGTCTAAAAATTTAAAAAATTATTTTTCTACCAATATTCTATTCATTACATTCTTCATGTAATGGAGGTAGGCTGCATGTTCAACACCACTAAATCGGGTACACGACTCCATTCTTAAATTAATTTTAGTTGTGATATGAGGGAGTATTAAATATTTATTAAAGGGGATATTTTAAAAAATAATTTTCAAAAAAAGAATTTACGTATAAAATTGTAGTTTAATTTCACGAGGTAAAATAGAACGTTCTTTCATATCATTATAACACCTACAAAAATATTTTTCTAGATTAAATAAAACAAAAACTTGCATTTCCAAAATTTGAGGTTCGTGTATAATATTTGGATTGTTTGGCTGTAGATGTGCTACTTTAATTACTATATTTGTTTTGCCTGAGGCAATCAAGAATAATATAAAAATGGGAGGGATTAAGAAGAATTTGAAGATTTTTGGAGGTTTTTTGGCCATTTAAATTATATATTTTGGCAATATCTAAATTTTTAAAAATGTCGAAACTCGATATAGTAACACTGTGATTTAACAGATAATTAACAGAAAAAACAAATTGCTTGGAAAAATTCCAATTGCTTTCCAAGCAAGTTTCCAATTGCTTGGAAAGTTTTTTTTATTGCTTGGAATTTTTCCTCGATATACTTTTTATTTTAAATCAGGCATGGTCACGGATACTGATCATAGTATCCGTATCCGGATATTTACGGCGGATACAGACGGATACAGGCGGATATCCACAAGCATTTATGGGAGGGATTATCTGTATCCATATCCGTATCCATGACCATGCCTGTTTTACATTACTACAGTAAATAGAGGTGGTGTAATTATTCGATAGAGGGCAATTATTAGAGGGTTATACGGTATTAATGGAGTGATATTAATTATCTGATATTTGCTGTGATCTATTAGAATGATTCAAAGGAATGTTCCACTTACTGTAGAAAAGAAAACTTTGAAACAATTAGACAAGTAAACAGTTGAAGCTGTCAAAACTAAAATTGTGCGCCTTCTTAAAAGATAAATAAATACATTTATTGCTTTTAATCCTTCATCCCCCCCCCTCATTTATTTCCCCTATCCCCCTAATAAAAACTCTTTTAAAGCTTAATTTACTTTCAAGTTTTTAATATTTAAATAGGCCAATCAACACTAAATTGTTATTAGAGACAGTTTTTAATAGATGTAAAAATAATTTAAGAGGATTAAAGAGGCAAATAGCCCCACTCAATTTAAAATAAATTAATAGAAGGAATTGGGTGAAGAAAATAAATAAAAAGGAGAATTAAATAATTTGTTTTAATGAAAATTGAATAAAAAAATTATTTTTTAATTATTTGAAATTTTAAATAAAAAAGTAATTGCGGAGATCAGGATTGGATTAAAGGAAGTCTGCAATAGTGTGCTTGTTAATTGAATTTGTCTAATTAAGGAAAAGTAACTAGAGAATTTTAAAAGGCTTCCAGTAAAAAGTTAATATTCCGTTAGTTTTTCGAACTATCGTATTTACTCAATTAATTACCATTGCCAGGGATGGATAGGTACAATAATTCCCCACCCCCAAATACCCTACTGCAAGTTAGAATTTCAAAATTCGAACTCAATTCAATTCCCATCCCACGACTGAGTTCAAATATAAATTCCCCAAGGGAATTAAAAATAAACATTCTCAAGTATTATGTACTTTGTTTAGCAGATCAATTTCATCCCCATTCGAATGATCCAAAAAAGAGAATGATCCAGAAAAGATATTCAAAGCTTTGTAAGCCCAATTCTTTCAATTATTCCTTTATTTTTTTAATTTAAAGGTCATCGGTCAAAACTTTTTCTTTAAACAAATTAACTCCTTCCCTCTTTCATCTATTTTTATAACAACAGAAGAAATTTGATCACTCAAAACATTTTTTTTTCGTTCAATTTATTGTTTGTCCATTTATTTTTTGAAAGTTTCTAGTTAAATGTTTTAACACTTTCTTTGTTGAAAATAATTTCGATTATTTTTATTTAAAAAAATATTTTAATGATTTTATTTTTTATTTTTATTATTTTAAAATTTTCGTCTATTCATTCTAAGGTTTGTTTTTAAATTTTTAAACCTCACTTAGTACATCTACAGGAAAAAATAATAAACAAAATCGAGGTATACCCAATATTTGGAGACTCGCTTGAGTCCAACGCCAACTAAACTTAACTCTAAAATATTTTTTTAAATTTACAGTCAGAAATACACGGTTGCTGACACCACTCTCCATCCTTACTTATATTCCTTTATTAATTCATTTAATACTCCCAAGATTATAAAATTCCTTTTAATCCATTAATAATAATTAAATATTTAACAATTAATTTAGGGTACTGTAATCAACCTCTACGAACAACCAGGAACATTGAGAAGAGGTCCCGGTGATATAGCTAATCTATGGCTTGGAGGCCTTATTGTTGGAGGGTTTTAGAGAAAGTTTAAAATTAAATGAAAATAATTTTTGTCAAGTTTTCACGGAGCAAATATTCGAAATGCAATAAAAGCAAGTTCTTCAAGTAAATGGATAAGGTACCAAAATGATAGGCATCAATATATAATTCCATATATTATTAGTGGAAAGTTTGGCAAGTCTAATAAAAATTTCCAAAAAATTTTTTGGACCTTTTTTAGATAATCAGGAGCACGGAGTTATTGCCCGTGCAATGTTAGCAATTGCTGAGGTAATAAACAAAAATAAAAATATTTAAATAATTAATTTCCCCCAATTAGAATACTTGTATAAAATTTGAAAGGAGAGGAGGTGAAGCTGATTATGTTGATTTAAGAAATGAAAGAGGAGAAGGGTAAGGAGAGGTTGAAGGGTTTTTTGAATTGTTATTTTGGTGGAGGGAAATTGGGAATTCTTTCAAAGGTTTTAAAGTTTCTGTGTTCTGCATTAATAGAAAGAGTTTAGCAAAAGTTTAGCCACCGAGTAGGATTCGAACCTGCGACCTCCTGACAGTTATAGCTAGGCGTCTTCGCTCACCAAATACAGGAACTCTACCACTGAATCACTGGAGCAACGACTAATTCTCTTTTATCCTTTTAGATCGTTTAACCCCTGCCTAAGCGTTTTAAGTGAATCATCTAGGTGAATCATCCTTACATAATTAAATAAACCAAAAATTTTTTCACTTCCAAGAGAGACTTAAAACATGGACCAAAATATAAAAAAATAATTTTTCGTTTAAAGTTGCTATACAATGGTAGGGAGATCTTCTGGAAGGAATATTGTAATGTTGGAAACAAATGAAATTGGTAAGTTTTTTATGTTTTTTTCTTTCAATTCCTTTTATTCTTCAAAGCAACTTGTTTGGAATATGAAATAGTAATTCACGAATTAATGCACACAATAGGTCTTTGGCACGAACAAATGCGTTATGATAGAGATGAGTATATTAAAGTACATTGGGAAAATATTGGGCCTGGTAACTAAATAAATGAGAAAATTTAAAAAACAAAAATATATTCTTTAGCTTATCTCACACAATTCGAGAAAGTACCAGAAACAGACAGTACAACATATGGTGTTAGGTAAATAATTAATTTATGTATTAGTTTGTTAGAAAAAAAGATGGTCAGGCTCCCGGGCAGGCTTCGATCCTGCGACCTTCTGGCAGTTATTGCTAGTCTCACCACGTACAGGTGCTCTATCAACTGAGCTACCGAGACTCTGCTTCCACCTTCTCTTTTAATAGATCTTAAACCCACCCCCCTCTAGTGAGCGTTTTAAATGCATGCCAGCTGGATCTTTCTCTTCCTTACTGGATCTTTCTCTTCCTTCTCTTCCTCTCCAGAATCTTTAAAATTATTTTATCTAGATACGATTATCAAAGTGTTATGCATTATGCAAAAGATGCTTTTGCTTCATCAACAGGGAAAATTACAATGGAAACATTGGATAGTCAATATCAGGCTTTTAAAGAAATATTTTCTTATCAAAATATTTTCTCAATTTAAAGGACATAATTGGAAAAGTAAAAGATGCCGCACCTAGCGATTACCTCAAAATTTGCAATATTTATTCTTGCCAAACTTGTATGGGACGTCCATTCATTCCTGGACAGAATTACCCGGAAATAGGCCAAAGAGTACTTACTCTTGGCCCGTGGCCTGTGACTTTACCTACAGGCAGTCCTTCCCCCGCAACATTACCTTTGAGACCAACAACTACAACAATGACCACAACAACAATTAGAACCACGAGACCTAGAACAACTAGAAGAAGGACAACTACTACGTGTAAAATAAAGTTTAAATAAATTTTGTGGACGAGAAACATTCTATCCCAAATGTTCTTGTTATCAGTTTCGTCCCATCTTAGAACATGGAAAATATTAGAAAGGAAAAATTAAAAACCCAGCCAAAATTTTAAAATTGGATAATTATGATATTGGAGAATAATTTTGAGTTTATTTAGCTCCTTTTAATGAATTTAACAAGGGAGGAAAAGCAGCTTGCTTTGCACCCTTCCCCCCTCTTTTTTCAAATTCCTCTATCGCCCAATTCTTCCAACCTTCTTTCTACTTCAATTTCGTTCATTTATAAATCAAAATTTAAAATAAAAATTTAATCTCCAAAAATTCCATAAATTTAAAGGGACACCTCCACCAACATGCCCCCCACCCCCACCACCCCCACCTCCTCCACAACCACCTTCAATTCCAATAGAGATTGAAAAAGAAGAGGAAAACAATAATAATGTAGGAGAACGTAGATGGCCTACACCTCAATTACCGATAATACTTCCTTTAATAAATAATAATTGGTGGTGGAAGAACACTCCAGCACCTCCTTTTCGATATCCTCCACTGTTGAGAAGACAAATGGATGTTGAGGAAGAAGATAAGTCAGGAGAAGAAGAAACGGAGGAAAGTCAAGAGGATGATGAAGATGATGAGAAAATGGAAGAAAATAGAAGAGAAGAAGAGGAAGGAAGAAAAAATGAAGAAAGTTGGCTTGGAAGGTGGGAAAGACAGTGGAATGAAAAAATTAAAGGGAAGGAAGAATTTCAGGAAGGGGAAGAAAATAATGAAGATAATTGGGAAAATAAAGAAGAATTATTTCAATGTTTGGAGGATTCTATTACGTGTAAAAAATTATTTAAAAGAAATTTGCAAGGAAATATTGGGAAAAATAAATTAAAAAAGATTTGTAGACTAAAAAGAGGATTGATGAGAAGATGCTGTAATAATTGTAAAGAGAATAATGGAAGAATTAAAAGAAATAATTAAAAATAAAATAATGAAACTAATAATTAAAAATTTAATTTTTTAATTTAAAAATTAATAAAATCTATTAAATTTAATAAAATTAACTAAGTTTATAATGACAATTAAATAACATTCTAAGTACTATTTGATGAAAAAATCAAGCTTTCCACAAGAGAAAATAAAACTTTTGATTGTAAATATTTCTTCTCTACTTGAAAATAATAAATTTATCTCTTCTAAGATTAAAACTGATACATTCATTAAAATAAATCTATCAGGGATGTCACGGGTTGAGAAAAATGTCGGGTCGGGTTTCGGGTTACGGGTAACCCGTGACATCCCTGATATCTATGTGTAAGTCAGGGACGTGTGTCATGGCGTTTGGTGTTCATTTTTGGCCGATTTCTGGCATTTGGCGCGCCCATTCAAGAATGCCCCCCCCCCCAATTTTATTGACCACACAATTAACAAATTTAAAAACCAATTAAAAACATGCCTACCTCCAATTCTGGAAAACTTCAAATATCTGTTTAGCCTAAAAAAATATTAAATAAAAATTTAAAAATTTGCTTACATTATGTACATATTGACTTTCTCACGCTACTTGAAAATTTCATAAACATGTATCAATAAAAAATATTTTCTTCCTAATCTCCTAAAAACGCCCATAACTAACATTTATAAATAAAAATTCATATGTATGTATGTATATCAACTCGACCCCATTTATATTTATTTTTTAGACATTCTTTCTCCAATTTACATTTTTAGTTTAAAAAATACATATATATTTGTTTTACCCAATTAAATCTTCTTTAATCATAAACTAAAGTTAATTTAAGATTGTGTGTGCTCATAATTTATTTTTTTACAAAAAACACACATTTATTTTGTTATACTTATTTTGTAATCTCTATACCTAACCACCCAAAAATTCAACATTTTAACGTTATTTTTACATTTGTCACTCATATTTTTTGTTACCTATCTCCATATCAGCGGTATATTGTATATCCTTTGGAGGTATGAATAAATTTGAAATTTGAAAAATTTCTTTAACTAGCCTTTAAAATTTTAACATTTGAGCACTCACACCTAGCTTTAGTCCCTTAAAGTTTTGTGTGAATGAAAGAGGCGCAATTTTTAAATGTAAAAGTAACGCAAATGTTGTAAAGGTCGATGCAAAAAACGCCCATAACTTTAAAATTTTATTTCGTCCCCAAATGTCGGGTCCCCAATTGTCGGGTCCCTAAAAGTCGGGTCCCTAAGTGTCGGGTCCCCAAAAGTCGGGTCCCTAAAAGTCGTCCCCAACTGTCGGGTCCCCAAAAGTCCGATCCCCAAATGTCGCGCCACGATTTAAATGCCCTAATAACTTTCCCATAAAAATAACCTTTTATTTATTTTAATAAAACAAATTTTTATTCAATAATTTATAGGAATATTTTGATAATTAGAAAAAGACTTTCTATTTTTAAATGGATTCTTCCACTTCGTCCTCAACACATGACTCGTCAGGGTCATCGACTGAACATACAATTGACGGACCTCTTAGATTAGATCAATTAATAGACAACTTGGAAATTGAATTGGCGTCCAGAGTTCTTTCTGTGAGTAACTTTTAATTAAAAATTTAACGAATCCTGGTATTCGAAGTAGCTCATGTAATGACAGAAATTGTTTAACTATTGGTAGGCAAAATCAGTTCCAGGGCAGGAGATCGAATTTCGATTTTGCACTCACAAGGGTAATATCCGTTTGGATTTTTGCAGACTAATCCTGTTTAGAAATCGCAAAGAACCCTGAATATGGGATCCGGACGCCAAAAAATCCGACGCAAATTTGAAATTTTTTTGTTCTTTTGGATTTTTAACGAAGCTCGAATGCCGGGAACTAACATAAGTCCAAAAATATTATTGACTAAACTCCTAGTCAGGCTTTTTCAAAATTCCTATAAGCGTTGGAATAAACGCACTCATGTTTCATGGCTTTTAGTTGCCCGGCCGCTCAATGACCCTTTTCGTTTAGATAAGGGCAGATGAAAAGAGTTATTCCCTTTATCGATTTAAGCCATATGTATGTACTCTATGTCTATTGTTCAAATTTTTAAAAATTAGGATGTTCTTTTAGATCTTTTTTTTAATTTTCAAACTCAAAAATTTATTACTTTTAATATAAATATTAATGGATAATTATTCAATATTTAAAATATCCAAAATGATTCCCCCCTCCCCTCCACAAGCAGATTATGATATTTATGGCATGCTTACATTATCTCAATTTATCGACGAAATTGAAAAGATTTTGAAATCTCGAGTTATTCATGTAGTTAAATTCAACTTAAAGCAATTAATCTTCCCCCTAGCTGAGTTAAAGAGATATACTATGTACATATAATGGGTTAATTTGGACTGTTGACTAGTGTTCACAAATTTCAGATTTGCTCGTACTCGTACTTCGTACCTAAGTACGAGTACGAGGACGAGTACGAATTTAGGTACGAGTTTATGAACACTGCTGTTGACTTGTTCTATATCTGTATTTCTTTGTTTGGTTCAGTTATTTTTAGCTTAACAATTTTTATAAGAATGGAAAAACTTCAAAAACTATTAATAAAATACTTATCTATACACCCCCTACTTTTCGCTATTTACAGATGCATTGCGGTGACCTTCCAATCTATGGCCGTAACAACATTACCGACCCTCTGCCTGATTATTATGAAAGACCATTGCAAGAAGCTGTTAATATTTGTATCGAAAATGAACGTGTCGCTGCTGAGGAGAGAACTTTGGCCGGAAGTGCTTATGGCAGACGTCGACAAAAACCAAGGAAACCAAAAATTGTAGATGGGACTTATTATTTTTTGGTATATTTTCTAATACAGACTAATAAATTGAAATAATATTTATAGGTCTGGTGTGAGGATAACACTTCTTCTACTTATAAGGCATGCATTTATAAAAATATTGAATTTTGCGACTTATAGCGGGTTCTTTGGCTAAACCGATTTCGACAAATGAGGTGTCATTTGAAAGAGCATCGAAAATGGAGTCGAACTAGATATGGGGGAAGTCGGTCCGACAATCAAGGACCGAGTTACAGACCTCTGAAGTTTGCAAAAGAGCAGGGGGAGTAAGCTCATTTCGGTGTGAAGTATTCGAAAATGCAAATAATAGCTCATTCGACTCAGCTCGACGAGCTGAGTCGAATGACACCAAAATCAGCTCGATATGTTGATTTTGAGCCAAGATAAACAGGTTCAAAATGGTCAACATAAACCTATGGAGCGTCGGCGAGGCGCCTGTGCGAGACCCTCGGTTTCGCGGCACGCGCCTCACGGGGAGTCAACGGTCGCTGGGTCCGGGTCAGTAGCATAAACCTATTTCTATCTCCCCTGCTCTGGACGTACTTGGGGCCTCCGTAGCAGCAAAAACCTCACATAGACCATAGGTAAGGAACTAAAACAAACGATCATAACTTTGTCCAATCATGTCGGATTTCGGTGATTTTTGTGGGAGCTATTATTTGCATTTTCGAATACTTCACCCCGAAATGAGCTTACCCCCCCCTTTTTTTCAAACTTCAGAGGTCTGTAACTCGGTCCCTGATTGTCGGACCGACTTCTATCTAGTTCGACTCCATTTTCGATGCTCTTTCAAATGACACCTCATTTGTCGAAATCGGTTTAGCCCAAGGCTCCGATTCGTACTTTATTTGAAAGTACAGTACTTTAAAATCGACCTCCATACTTACGAAATTGAATTTGTACTTTATTGAAAGTATGTACTTTAAAATCAACATTTTGAAAAAAATGGAAAAAATCAGCTTAAGGACCTACAAAATTCCCTAAATTTTCGCATGCGGCGCTGAAAAGAGAAAAATATGGCTTAAGGATTTCTAAAATTAAAAAAAATTTTCGCCTGCAGCGCTGAAAATAGATTTTTTGGCGCCTTCGGCGCCGTAGAAAAAGTGCATTGAAATGTACAAAATGCTCAGTGAAAACAAGAAATTATTAGAAAAAATTCATTTAGGAGAGAAATATATAAGATTTGAGCACGAATAAATATTTTCTAACTTAATTTGGAGTGTGCTTTAAATTTGGAAATTTTGTCCCTATGTCCTTTAAAATCGAGATTTTTGTACTCTAGATTCGAATTTTGTCGATCGGAGCCCTGGTTTAGCCAAAAAACCGCTATAAGTCACAATATCCAAAATATTTAATTCGTTATAACTATTAATATCTAAAAATCCTAAATTCATTAATTGGGTAGCTTCTTCCTGTTATACTAATCCTGCCAGTAAATAAATTTAAAAAATTTTTTTAAATAATTCTGGCTTAATAGATACAGTTAATTTTTCTGTTAGAAGGGTTAAAGGTTCGAACCCTTTTACATAAATACTTTAAAAATCTTAAAAATTATTTAAATTAATCTTCAAAAATTAAGTGGCGTCCACCTCAGTGATGTTTCTGGACAAGTGTAGAAAAGGTGTAATTTGGACAAAATATATAAATTATTTTTATGATTCGAAACATTTTTTTGTTTATTTTTCTGAAATGTTTCGGTGCAAGTAAATATATTTATAGCTATTTATGTTTATTTTTGTTAAAGACATGTTTTAGCTATTCTCTTTTAGAATTTAACTCACATGGAAAGAAAAGTTGTTTTCGAAATTTTAGAGTATTTTCATTATTACCCGGCTATTTTTTTAATTTTTTATATTTGGCATTTATGCAAGTGCATAATCCGTTTCGCTAAATTTTAACGCAAATGCCAAGATTGTCTACATTAGCTGAAGTATTTAGTAGTTCCGCCTTCCATTAATACAGGGCTTCGATCTCGAATTTTTAAAAATCCGCAATTTTGATCGAAAAAATCCGCATTTGATATAAAAATCCGCAAGAAAATATCAAACACAAAATTTGAAGTAAAATTACTTTATGTTTTATATTTTTTGACTCCAGCAATTGAATAATGCAATTTTTTATTACTAATGATTATCTTATAGAAATCCGAACAATTATCTGGACAATTACACTTGAATTTTTGTCTTCAAAGACGCCAAAAATTTTTATTTCTTCTTTTTTCAGCGCCGCAGGCGAAATTTTTTGAATTTTGAAAGATTTTTAAGCCAAAAATCTTCCATTTTCAGCGCCGCAGGCGAAAATTTTGAGGATTTTTGAAGGTCTTCGCAGAAAATAATGGCATTTTATCATAAAAACTATAGAAAAATATAAAAAATCCTCATATTATTCAAAAGACCACAAAAATCCGCAAATCCGCATTTTTAAAAATAATCCTCATCGCCCTATCAAAAAACCACAAAATGAGGAAAAATCCGCAGAAATCGAAGCCCTGCATTAATACATATATTCAATTTTCATTTTTCTCCATTTGTTTTTAGTTAAAAATAAATTAGAAATTTATTTAAAGACAAACTTTTATAGCTATTTTTATGTATTAATAAAATTTTAAAAATAAATTTAAATATTCATTCATCAATTTCTTTTTATGATTCCTCATTTTTTTATTTTTAAAAAAATTGAAAAAAAAATTTATGACAAAAATTATTAAATTTATTTTATTATTTTTAATATTTCTTTTATTTATTGGTAAAAAGAATTTTAATTTTAAAGAAAAATTAAATTTATATTTTTAGTTAAAATAAGCTCTTTTGATGGTAAAAAAGTAATTGAAGTTAATTTAAGAATTTTTGGAAAAGTTTATAAACAAAAAAGAAAATGTAAAGTTTTTTTATTTAAAATTAAAAATCAACACACGACCTACTAATAGTATATTTTCAAAAAAAATTTTCCTTGGTTGTTGTAAAGCACATAGCCATTTAACTTTTAGGGCTGTGCAGAAGGCGGCGTGGTCCAATGGATAAAACATCATTCCGGTCTAATGAAGATGCTGGTTCGCTCCCAGCCGTCGATTAACCTTTTGCACTAGCTAAGGAGAGAAATAGCTATAGCCCAGCTGCTTTACTATTTATGTAACGACTATTTATGTAATCCTTAATTAAGAGAGATCGACAGTAGATGATATAAAATTATAGAAAAGAGAAAAATTGCGAAGGAAAAAATGTGTTGGGGAATATGAACAATTAGAGAAACTGCAGAATTTAATAGGGATCCTGCCGACAAAAAACCTAAATTCCCGATTTCGGGAATTTGGGACGGCTTCCCTCTGTTATCTAGCCCATTTATTTAATTCCCCAATTTATTTTAATTTTCTTAAAAAATTATAGACTTCAATTGTGCCGGCACATTAATATCAAATCGTTATATATTAACTGCTGCACATTGCTTTTTTGATTTTGAATATGTCTGTAGAGATGAATATGAGTAAATAAATAAATACTAAATTTTAAATAAATAATTATTTTTAGAGGTTCAGTGGCCGAAAGCTTGGCTAAAAATAGAATTACATATGAAAATATAAATAAATTAATTTTGGAAAATATAATTGTTGAATTGGATGGAACTTGTCTTTTTAATGAATTGTAAAAAAGAATTTTTTTAATTACACTCGGGTGCAAAAGTAATGATCCCTGGGTATGAAAATTTTTAAAAAGTGATTATTTTGAAATGGAAAGGGTAAATGATTTACCTTCTTTTTTATAATCAAAATTCACAATGTTAAGATACTTTCCAAGGAAAAAATTTTCCCCAAAATTCCAATCCCGTGAATTTCTCTCAACTCTAAATGGATACCCCTATTTTTAGGGTGGTCAAAAGTAATGATCCCTAGCGTGAACCAATAGTAAAAATATAGGTAAAAATTTGAAAAAATTCCAGTGAATACATTCATCGATATTAGTTACAAAAACCAAAAGATCGAGCACATTAACTATATACAACACAGTAATCTCGACAATCTAAAACACTTAAAAGTCAACGTATAATGGGATTAGAGTTGTTTGAAAAATATTTTCGCACCTCACATCAGTGATTAAAATTTTCTTTTATGCTTGCCTGAAAGCCAATAAAATTTGCTATAAAATACTTCCAATCAACTTTCCAGAAAAAAATTTATCTAACAAGTTGTGGAGCAACGAACATGCAAGGCGGCAAAAAAGGACCATTTATGGGGTAATATGAGAGATTTTTGCCGCCTTGTATGTTCTTCACTCCTCAACACGATAGATAAATTTTTTCAGAAAATTTGAAAGACTATATCTTGTAGCAAATTTTATTGGCTTTCAGGCAGGCATAAAAGTGTAACCAATTCCTATATCAAAAAGATAAAAATAATTTTTGAAATAAATTGCCCCTATTTCTCGTTGAAATCGAGATGTCAATATCTCGAAGAAAAGAGTAGATATTGGACCAATCTTTTCATAGGTTAACTTCTTATTACTAGTCATCTTTACTAAAATTTTTGTGGATTTTTTTCTTAATGGTTAAACATATTTTTTAAAAAGGGATCATTACTTTTGACCACCCTAAAAATAGGGGTATCCATTTAGAGTTGAGAGAAATTCACGGGATTGGAATTTTGGGGAAAATTTTTTCCTTGGAAAGTATCTTAACATTGTGAATTTTGATTATAAAAAAGAAGGTAAATCATTTACCCTTTCCATTTCAAAATAATCACTTTTTAAAAATTTTCATACCCAGGGATCATTACTTTTGCACCCGAGTGTAATTAAAAACTGCTTGCTCGCTTTTTAAAGCTTCTATTATAAATAGAAGCTTTTTAAAGCTTCTATTTTCGATTACTTTCACCATTCCCCAAATTTTTCGTTTTTTGTGCCTACCTAACAAATATTTAAAAACTTAAAAACTATAAATATTTTTTCTCGCTATGAAAGTCTAAATTAACAATAAGAGGGATACGAGTATTATACATATTTTATTTTAACTATAGTTGAACTACACTGTAGATCGGTGCAACATTTAGAAACTAGATTGTTTTCAGAAAACGAAGACCATAAATTATTACTGTGTTTAAGAGTTTCATGTCCAGAGTCCCAAAAAATCTAGATAATTTTTTTCGTTTTACATTAAATCAAAAATATATATTTAAATAATCAATCAAAATTTCAGTTGTATTACTGAAAAATGTGTTTGTCAATCGCCTTATAGAACAAGAGAAGTTGGAGTAAAAAGAGTATGTTTTTATTAATTAAATAAATATCTCTCTCTAAAGTTATTAATTCCAAATTTATTCGTCGAGTCAAAATGTGATTCTGGGGATATTGCTTTACTTGAATTAATGGAGGAAGTAAATTATAGAAAAATACATTTAGCCCGTCCAACCACTCCTTTACCTTCAAATAAAATTTTATATGCTTCTGGGTATGGTTATGATCCAGAAAGGAAAATATTAACTGATATGGATGAATTAAAGACTGTTGAAGTTAATGTACTGGCAAAATGTCCAAAATATTTAGAAAGGGAGGATGACGCTATTTGTGCTGATGAAGTTGTTTTGGACCAAAATGTTTGTGAGGCAAGTTTATACATAACTTGGAGGGAGGGAGGAGGAGGGGGAGAGGATGCCTAAATATATCCCCCCCTTAAAAGGTACTAACGAGTTATCTTACCTCAAAAGAGTGTATGAGGTCCGACTGCAATTAAATGATAACCGTCCGAAATTTTAGGAGCATTTCATTTTTTGCTAAATTTAAGGGAGACAGTGGAGCTTCTTTAAAAGACATAGAAAATGTTACTACTATTTTTGGTATTTTTAAATTTGGTTTTAAAAAATTAAAATTTTTTTTGATTAAAGGCGTTGTGTCTTTTGGTTCTTTGTGTGATGAAATGTTAAATGATGATCTGCGTGCTCTCCCAATTGAAGGTATTACATCCGGTTAAATAAAAAGAGGGAAAGTTTAGAGAGAAGGAACACCTGGATATTTAATTTTAGGAGGGTATTTTTGTGGGGTGATGATCCCCCACCGGTGATTGGTGTATACCAGGAATCTAGCCGACATTAAGGAATCTAGCCGACATCGGGTCGGCTAGAACCCTGGTGTATAACTTAAACATACACTGATTATAATGCCTCTTTCTATGAAAAAGAGAATAATGGAGTTTCCATCCTAAACTGAGAATAAACTTTTTCTGTTACGGTTCGAATATTCTATGCTTTTTCCCAATTATTTCCAACTTTAATTAAGTCACAAATATTTTTTTCTAAAATTATTTTTTAAAAGAAAGAAAATATAAAAATGCAGAAGTCTACACAAATATAACTTATTATTTACCTTTTATTTGTGGAATAATTGGTTTAAATGAATCTATTGGATGTTTAATTGAGGATATAAAAAGAGCTAAAAAACAGCCTTATTTTGAAATTAAAAGAAATGGGAAAATAAGTAAAAATGCACCAGAATTTGTTGCGGATATATTTTTTGGGTTGGATGATTTTAAAAAATAAATATTTTTATTAAATATTTTTTTGATTTAAAAATAAAATTCTTATATTTTTAATTGTGAATAATCGTACATAATTTTTAAATACCAGAACAAAAAAAGAAGTTGAAAAATTAGTGCAATACCGACTGAGTTACCAGTGGGGTTGCCAAAATGGAGACCATTAGATCGAGTCGCACCTAAGATATTTGGCCCAAAAGTGATCGTACAGGCCCGACTCGATAAAAACAAACTCGAATAAAAATGCCTCGACCATCGCTCAACTTGAGAACGGTGGTCTTTTTACCAGTACAATGACTTTGATTTCTCTCCTATAGACAATTCTAAAAAATTCTAAAAGCCAAACGATTTCGGAATATTTAACGGTTTAATTATTTTAGATTTAAAATTTATAATTAAATATTCCCAATTGATTATTTATCTCCAAATCAATCCAATCCTTAATCGATACAATAAATGTTTTTAGCTAAAAATCGGCCAAAAAAATCTAGTTTCTAAAAATATAATAAAAACAGCCCCACCTTTTCCTTCTTCCCTTGATCTCTCCAAATATTTGCAGGGCATACAAATAAAAAAAACTTTTTTATGTTTTTATTCCATACACGTAAATATAGGTATATACCTTTATTTTTTAATATTTATCTCCGCAGGAAATCGTCGAAGATATATTCTCTCTTTTTTAAAAAAAAAATCCCGTTCATACTCCATCCCTATTTTTCTTTACGCCTTGCGCAACTTAAACTAAATTTTTCTGTTTATTCCTGGAAATTAAGCGGTAAATCTCTTTTTCCGTTTGTTCTATCTAAATAAAATATCTGTTGATTTGTTTAAAAAATTGGTAGTCGATTGTTTACTTGGATATTCACAGCTTTTTCAACATACCTACATAGTTGTACTAATTTTAAGTAATTAAACAAGGAATTAGTGATGCAAGAAGAATGCCTCAAAAATAATAACACAATTGAACAAAACAAACATCTAAGCCGGCAAAGGATGTTGCTAGACCGTTGTGATTCCCTTAAGAGAATGGCTATTGTTGCCACTAGGTATTTACTTTATATTTACAGAATACAATTGGATTACTCTTGGAAATCAAGCCTACTAATAAATATTTAGTAGATGCACCCTATTTAGGGAAATTCTTTAATTTTTTGCCAATGGTCTACAATATTGGATCTTTTTTAATTTCTTGATGGAAGGGTGTAATTATTAGGTTGGGAGTAAATACTTTATAGAGGGAAACTATTTCTGCATTCAATTGTATATTTGATTTAAAATAAATTTTTGCTAGCCTAGGAATGTATCTAAAATTGAGATTTAGCTGTAATATCTAATAAGAAAATCCTGCTCCAAAATTTAATTTTAAATCCAAAACCCAAGACAAATGTTAATTTTGTTTTATGAAAATATTAAAATATAAAGACATTTTTAAATTAAGCATTTCCGTTCTTTCTGCAATTTTTTGTGTTCTTAGTATACCATTCATCTATAATTACCTACAACATATCCAATCAGTAATCGAAAGTGAATCGGATTATTGCAAGGTGTGTTTAATTGTAGGAGTAATTAAAATAAATCTTTTCAAGTACCGGTCTAACAGTCTTTGGAAAGAATTAAGCAGAACATTGCAGCAAAAGCCCTTAATTAAAGATTCACATCAAAGTAAAAGGAAAACACGGCAAGGGTATTTTCCCGTCGAAGCAGCAACTTTTGGACCCTTGCCTCCAAATTCTTCAGAGGCATTATATGGGGCTCAATTAATTGGACAGAAATGTTTGAAAATTATTTTGGACAGTCGGACCTCGATATTATATATACCTTTTGGGGCCTAGTAAAATCATATATAGTTATGTGTAACTTAGAGGGCCCAGTGGCCATCCAAATGTTAAAAACTTTTATCAAATTGAGGTGTATATAGAAGTGAGGTCCGACTTCAATTTATTTAAATTTTCTTATCATTTATAGGTGGGTGTTCTTATGGTGCACATGGTGAGAGTATTGAACATTGAATCCTTTATATTTTATATATTTTAATTTTTATTTTATATATCTTACATATTTTCTTTATTAATTTTTCTCAGGTGAACCTGGAGATGCTGGACTGGACGGAAAGGTAAAACATGCCTAACTCTAATATAAATAGGTACAGTATCGTAGGATGGCGCAGATGGTCTCCCCGGAACAGATGGGCAACCAGGTCAAGAAGCTGTTGGTGGTGCTAAACATAGAGACTTCTGCATGGAATGCCCACCTGGTCAAATTGGCCCTAGAGGTCAACCTGGTGAAAAGGGCGAACCTGGAGAACCTGGTATATTTTAAAAAACTTTGAATAATTTTTGTACATTTTTTATTCTGTTAATCATGTTTGATTTAAAATTCAGACAATTTTTAATAAAAATTATCGCTTTATTAGGCCAGCCGGGAATTGATGCTGATGGAGGAATTCGAGGTCCAGCAGGCTTACCTGGTCCACCAGGGCCTCCGGTTATCTTTCAGTTCTTTATATTTAATATTGCGATATATTGATTTTAGGGAGCTCCAGGCATTCCAGGACGAAAAGGAGTGCCAGGTAATTCTAAAATTTTGTTGCTCGATTAATTTTGAGAAAAAAAATTTTTTCCTCAGACATTACAAACCTAAATATATTTTGTTCAGGAAAGCCAGGCTTACAGATAGAGCAACAAGGAACTACTGGACCAGCAGGGCCAGTTGGAGCTAAGGGTCCAGCTGGAGAAAAGGGAGCACCTGGAGTGCCGGGACATCCAGGGCAGCCTGGATCAAAAGGCCTTCCAGGTATATCAAATATTTTTAAGAATATTTCGAAAGATTATAAACATTATTTTCCTTTCTTTAGGTGATAGAGGACCGGTAGGCCCTCCAGGAAAAGTTGGAGAACGTGAGTTTTAAATAATTTAAATATCTACAATTTTTAATAATTAATTTTCATTTTTCTACAAATTTAAGCAGGCAAAAAGGGGCAACAGGGAGAACACGGATTGCCGGGAGGTTGCACTCATTGCCCTATTCCTAGAACTGCGCCTGGATATTAAATTTAATTGAAAGAGTTTTGACGACTTTTTATCAACGAAATACGAATATATTTATTTTTATTAAGCTGTTTGATGTTTTTGTAATTTTTGTGGATATTTTTACATTCCGAAAACTATAATAATTTTATTTCCATGAGTACCGCGATTTGTAGCTGAATTATATAAAAATAAAATTTCTGGTTTTTTAAAGTTCTTAGTACATTCTAGTTTGACTTATTTATTCGAGTCTAGGGTTGCCGTCTTCACTGAATTCTCTGATTTACAGAAACCGAACAAAAAATTTTTGGGTTTTCGGTTCGCTTTGATACTGACAAGTATCTGGTTAAGCTGCAAGAGCCAAAAATGAAAGAATAGAAATTTTAAATAGACTAATAATTTTTGAAAATTGATAACTTGAGGCGAAAATCCTCAAAAGTCAAATTCGGACAGCATAATATAAATTCAAAACCCCCCTCCCCCAAATTTTCTAATTACTAATAAATATTCTCGTCTAAACATGTTAAATAATTAAAAAATTTAAAAACAAAAAATAATTTTCATTAAATTCATTTAGTAATTTTTTATTAAATTATTATCAAGAAAAGAGAAAAAACAGGTTTTTAAATTAAAGTTTGGCCAGTTTGGAAATTAAATATATCTAAGTAGAGGGTAACTATTGTTAAATTCTTATTTAAAAAACAAAATTAAAATTTCTATTGAAAATTAAAAAGTTTTCTATTCTCTCTAAATTTTGCTAAAAAATTTAAGAAAAAACAATTAAAATTGATTTAATTAAACTTTTCGAATTTAGCGAATTAGAAACTACGAACATTTAATAAATTCAATTATTTCCTTTGTTGAAAAATTTATTCAAATCAAAATACGTTTATTTAATCTCTACATAAAAATATCGGAGCAGTTCAACTGAGTCCCGGCTTAATTGAGTCCCGGCCCTATAACTCAAGTTCGGCTTGATAATTTTTAATGTTTTTGGTACCATTTGATAGAGCATCAGATGGACTACAATATACCAAAAAATCAAAATTTTCTATTGATCGGTAGAAAAGTTATGATCTCTAAACTAACTTTTTCAAAAAAATCTGATTTTTCGGCACTTTATCGATCATAACTTTTTTACCAGTCGGTCAGGAATTTTGATTTTTTGGTATATTGTAGCCTATTTAATGCCCTATCCAATGATACCAAAAGCAAAAATAAAGTACCATCCCTTCATAAGTTATAGGGTCCGGGACTCAGTTGAGTCGGGACTCAATTGAGGTGTACCGTAAAAATATATACTAATTCTTAATAAGTGGTCCAAAGAAATCTACCCAATCGCCTCTTTATTGTAAAGCTACAGCTATTTAATTCTTAAGGCTGTGCAGTAGGCGATGGGTGTAATGGATAACACATTAGTCCGGTCTACTGAAGCCGATTAACCTTTTGCACTAGCTGAAGGAGAGAAAATAGCCCAGCTGCTTTACTTAATTTCCAATAGCGAAATTTACAACAATTTAAGGTCTAATACGAATGGACCGAAATTAAGAGAAGTTCGTTATATCGGGTGTCTTTTGAGAGAAAACTTTATTAGAACTTCAAAATAGGAAGAGAATTACGAAAGGTTACTAATCCGATGTTCACTATTAAAGATTAATTTAAAATATCTATTTTAAAAATTGTCTTAATAATTCCTATTTTAGACAATTAAAAGATCATGAAATTAAATTTTGTTTTTCTAATATTCTTATTTATTTTTTTGTTTTTGTCATATACAACTGAAGCACATTTTGTAAGTTAAATTAAATTTATTTTATTTAACTTCTTAAAGGGATGTAATTGTCAATATCCAAATAATCAGTATGTTCCTTGGTATTTATCTGGTAATGTTGAAAATAGATTGACATTTCTTGAAAGACAAACAAATCAAAAAATAAATATGCTTATAGCTAGAATTGAGGCCTTGGAGAGAGAGGTACTTGAAATTAGAGATCGGACCGTACCGTACTACGGCCGTATTTTTCGGTATTTATCGGTATTCCGTATCGGTAGTACGGTACGGAATACGGTACGGAATACGGTACGGAACAAAATTCCGATCTCTAATTGAAATAAACAAATATTTTAAATTAATGTTAGAAAAGAAGGGTTGTTTAGTTTTGAATCATACTAAAAAACTATATTTTTTTGGATACCTGAAGATATTCCTTAAATTGATAATCCTAGTTAGAAACAAAAAATGTAAGCTCGCCTAAAAATAAATTGTTAAATTTCGTTTGTTTGGTATCTATTTACTTTGTAAAAAATCTGAGTCTTACATATCATAGATAGGACAATTTAGAATCAAATAAATATATAATTCTACAAATTTTTTAATAAAGTTGGGACTGGTTCATAGAATTTCCATGCAAGAATGGAATAATTCTGGAGCAGGAAATATATACAAAATTTTCAATACTTCGAAAACATGGGAAGAAGCAAAGGTATTTTAAAATTTTGATAGAACGTCCTGTTTAGAAAAGTTATTCAAAAATCATATAACCCGGCCCAAGACGCCTGTCCATGTTAAAAGTCTCTCTCTAGGCCGGATTCCTCGGGCCGGATTCAGTGAGACGAGTTATCGAAATTTGACCGTCCCAGTTAATTACTGTAAAGCATATAGCTATTTAATTCCTAAGGCTGTGCAGTAGGCGGCGTGGTGTAATGGCTAACAAGTCCGGTCTACTGAAGATGCTGGTTCGCTCCCAGCCGCCGAATAACCTTTTGCACTGGCTAAAGGAGATAAATAGCTATAGCCCAGCTGCTTTAATTTGCTCTAAAATATTCAGAATACTTGTATGACTTTTGGCGCAAGATTGGCTTCAATAGATTCTGACTACAAAAATGCTTTTGTTCGAAGTGAGAACCTTTATTTGAAAATGAATGTCAATTTCCAATTAAAGATATGATTGAACGTAGTTTTGGGAAGGATGAAAGTGCGGAGGTTTGGATTGGTTTAAAAACTAGAGCAGAATTAACAAACAATCCAAATTCACATTTTACTAATTTTGGAGAGGAAGAAAAAATTGATGGATGTGCTGTTATGGGAATAAAAGGAAAATGGAAAATTCGTTCTTGTAGTAATTTGAAACCCTTTGTTTGTGAACAGATTTTAATGTGAAAAATAAAAATTATTACCAAAATAAAAATGTTTAAATGATTATTTAATCAAATATTTAAACAAGAAATTAAACACTCATTTTAAGGGCTTTTCTTTGGAAGAATGAGAGTTATATGAAAAAAAGGAGGAAGTTCCGGTTCCGGTCAAAATTTCGGTTCCGGCGAAACACTACTTAGAATCCTTCGGACACTATTTGTCGGATTCTAGGCTGTTCCAGTTTTCGTCGGTTTCGGCCCCAGATGATTCCGTAATCTTGATGCCCCCACAGTTGGTTCCTGGAGCTAATTCCCAAAACCGGGAAGGGTTACTGGAAAAAAGGTTATTAGACTGAAGGGTTACTGGAAACTAATTTGAGTCTGTGGTTTTTTAACATTCATTTAAACTAGATCAGCAACTCGGATTCTAGGCTGTTCCAGTTTTCGTCGGTTTCGGCCTTCTTAAAAACAATACTAAAAAATATCCAGCTAAAAAAACATTCTCAACATACCATTTATTTAATACCAGCAAAAAAATTAGAATAAACAGGAGGAACGCATAGAGAGAACTGGGAACAATAGATACATTTGTCATGAACACATTCAAACAAAATATATCGAGTTTTATACAATTATAAGGGCAAATATATATTTATTTTAGTAATCCTTTTATATATTCTTTTCTTCCTTAGATTTCATTCTCTTCTCCTGGAACATCGCTTCTCTTGACGAATATATTTTTGTCCAAATTGCCAAGCGTTTGATAGTCATCACCATCACCCACACCCTGTTGATTGTCTCGCTCGTCCTTCGGTTTCGGAGCCGCTAGAGGCGATGCCGGCGTTTCGTTTTTCGAATTTTTTACGAAGATGTTTCTGTCCAAATTGTCAAGCGTTTGATAGTCGGCTCCACCTCCAATTCCAGCATCGTGCTTTTCCTCCTTCAACACAGGCTGTTGACCGCCTGCTGGGGGTGTTGGACTGCCACCATCTTTAAAAAAAGGATTTTATTTAGAATTTTGATCCTTTCATTTTACCTTTACTCCCTCCTTTAATAAAGATGTTTTTGTCCAAATTGCCAAGCGTTTGGTAGTCGTCACCCGCGCCCATCCCTTTCTGGTCATGACTTTCATTCTTCAGTACAGGCTTTGTTTCCTCCTTTTTCTTTTTTGACTTTGTCTTTGACTCCTTCCCCTTCTCCTTGCTAGACTTTAGCTTGTTATCCTTGCTATTCTTTTGTACTGGCTTTTTGACAGTTTTTGGTTTGGGTTTTGACTTCGCATTGGCTTTGGGATCTTCTTGTTCTTCAGCTGGAATCTCTGGCTCCTCGACTTCAATTATTTGTTGTTGAATTATACGTCGCTAAAATGAAAATTTTTTAGTTAATGTATTTTGATTTAAAATCTAAAAAGAGTTGGCCACCTTGCGCTTCCTTCTACAGCAACAACAGCAATCAAGAAGAGACTGAACAGAGAGCAAAGAGAGAAGAAGGACAAACACAATCAAGTTCGCATTGCCAAACGACCAACTTAGCCATCCACCTTCGCTAGATAAGGACAACATGCCGGGCTCAGAAATTAGAACGCTTTTGTGAGATTTTAGAAGTGACATACTCCGGGTTGTACAATAAACGCTTTTATAGTAAATTTTTAATTACAAATTGCTGTACTTAAAAATGAAAAGGATAAATTGAGTGATCTTTTGTGGATGATCTTTTCATAATTTTCTTTGTTAAATGCCTCTGGCTATAAAATAATGAAAAAACAAAAATTAAATCAGCGCTATTTGGCATTTTACTGTATGGTAGATTTTGGCATAACGTTTAAATTTCCTTTCTATGTCTGTTTTGTAATAACTGCACTATTTATTCTTTTAAAGGATTTTTTTAATTTTTTGTTTTACAAATTACAATTTTAGATTTACAAATTTAGATTTATTTTGTTTTTTAAACTACAAAAATGGAAGAAGAAAATGGTTATGAAAATGGAAATGCTGAAAGACTTCAAATTAAGCAAGAAATTAAGGCTGAACTTTCCGAGGCTTTTATGGAAGAAAATGAAATTTTAGATCGTTCTAATGTCAAATATGAGATTGAGGAAAAACAAATTAAGGAAGATAGAGCTAAAGAAGAGAAGGTAAAAGAGACAAAAGATGAAAAAAGAGAAAAGCATCGTGATGGCAAAAAGGACAAGGATCGGGAAAAGGATAAGGATCGAAAAAAGAGAAGTAAACGATCATCTCGTGATAGAAGCCGCTCTCGAGAACGTGAAAGGAAACGATCGTATGTTTTTTAATTAAGATTTAGTTTTGGCCCTTCTGAAATTTTTATGTTTAAATTCAAATGGAGGATCGATTAAGCTATTAATTTTAACCCAGGGCTCCGATCGACAAAATGCCACTCAAAAGTATCAAAATCTTGATTAAAAAGTATGTATATAGGGAGAAAATTTGTAAATAAAAAGTAGTCTCAAAATTAAATTAGAAAATATTTATTCGTACTCAAATCTTTTATATTTCTCTCGTAAATGAATCTTTTCTAATAATTTCTTGTTTCAACTGAGCATTTTGTCAATTTTAATGGACCTTTTGTGGCGCCGAAGGCGCCAAAAAATCTATTTTCTGCGCCGCAGGCGAAAATTTTGAGAATTTTGGAGGTCCTTAAGCCAGATTTCTTCCATTTTTTGCGCCGCAGGCGAAAATTTTGAGAATTTTGGAGGTCCTTAAGCCAGATTTCTTCCATTTTTTGCGCCGCAGGCGAAAATTTTGAGAATTTTAGAAGCCGTAGGCCAGAAAATTCACTTTTTTGCCCGATCCCTTCCTTAATTTCATTTTCAATCAAAAAAAAGTATATACTTTCAAAAAAGTAGAAATTCAATTTCGTAAGTGTGGAGGTCGATTTAAAAGTAGACTACTTTTAAAAAAGTAGGAATCGGAGCCCTGTTTTAACCCCTTTTTATTAATATTATTTTTTGTTTTCAGAAGAGAGCGAAAAAGGACCAGATCACGTTCGCCACGCGATCGTGACAGGGACCGTGAACGTGATCGAGAACGTTACCGTCCTGAGCGTGAACGGACTCCTGAACGTGAAAGACGTCCACCGCTTAAATACAAATATTGGGATGTTCCACCTTCTGGCTATGAACATATGTCACCAAAGGAATATAAGGAACTTCAAGGTATTTTAAAAATGAAGATTTTTGGGTTAGTTAAAATTTCCCAAAGATTTCCTTTTAGTTTTGGCGTTGTCAATATGGTGTGTCAGCACACACAACGAATGGCGCAAACCCCAAACATGTTTCGGTCCCACAAGTTCAAAGGGCCGCGATCTTTTTTAAATTCTTTTTTCAGCATATTTTCTTTTTTTCAGCATTTTCAGCTTTTCTAGTTCCGATGAGATGACGTTTATCAATTAAAATATTTTTTAGGGTTTTTAGGTTGCAAAATAATCTCCAAGAGAAATTGGTCTTTTCTTCTCTTTTTTAGATTTTTTAGCAAAATACAAAAGTTGTTTGCGCGTTTCTAAGTTCAGCCATCTCGGCTTTTTTAAGTTTCTTTTGCTTTTTTTAGCGACAGGAGTGATTCCCCGACAAACTGTGCAGTCAGCAGTGCCGGTTGTTGGTCCATCGGTGACTTGCCAAGCTAGGCGTCTTTATGTGGGTAATATACCTTTTGGTTCAAATGAGGATACAATGCTCGACTTTTTCAACCAACAAGTTTGTTTGTTTTTAAAACTAGTCTCTTTTAGGGGCTATTTACTTTGGTCATTCTTGTGTCATTTGGCTGTTCTTTAGTATAACTACACCGAGATCGAAACTTGAAGTATATACCATTCGATTCGTCTCACCGACTGAGTTCAAATATGAAAGAATTTTCTGCGGGAGACGAAAACTCGCAAAGATACAGACCCCCGAAAATCAAAAAACCATAAGGGGGACCAAGCTGATTTTTGGGGTAAAAAATTCGACTATGCAAATTATACCTCATTCGAAAGCTCTCCTCGAGCTGAGTCGAATGACACCAAAATCAACGAAATCTGACTTGATTTGACAAAGTTATGATCTTTTATTTTAGCTCCTTACCTATGGCATCTGTGGAGATTTTTGCTGCTACGGAGGCCCCAAATACGTCCAGAGCAAGGGAGATAGGAATAGGTTTATGTTACTGACCCAGACCCAACGCCCGTAGACTCCCCCGCGAGGCGCGTGCCGCAAAACCCCGCGCGAAGCGCTGGGTTTTGCACAAGCGCCTCGCCGACGCTCCATAGGTTTATGTTTTTTGGTTTTTGTATCGTAACTTTTTCCAAACTTGTACAATCACGATGATTTTGGTGTCATTCGACTCAGCTTGAGGAGCTCTTTCGAATGAGCTACTAATTGCATGTTCGAATTTTTTGACCCCAAAAATTTTCAAATTTCGGGGGTCTGTAACTCGGCCATATGAAGTCGGATTTCGTTGATTTTGGTGTCATTCGACTCAGCTCGACTAGCTCTTTCGAATGAGGTATAATTTGCATATTCGAATTTTTTACCCCAAAATCGAGCTTACTCCCCCCTATGGTTTTTCGATTTTCGGGGGCCTGTATCTCTGCGAGTTTTCGTCTCCCGCAGAAAATTCTTGCATATTTGAACTCAGCTCGGCGAGACGAATCGAATGGTATATATTTTAAGTTCCGATCTCGGTGTAGCTATACTAAAGCGACCCCTGTCATTTAACGCTCTCCTGAGAGAGTCTTGAAGTATCCGGTCATATACATTCAGTTTGATTTATTCTATTAGGCCTCGACTTTAGCAGTATATAGGAAATGGTTTAGGCTCTGATTGTCTCTGCTAGTCTTGGTCTAGTCCCATCTTGACCTCTAAATTTTTTGTTTTTAAAAAAAATTTTGTAGATGCATTTGTGTGGCTTGGCTCAGGCCCCAGGAAATCCTGTAATTGCTTGTCAAATAAATTTGGACAAAAATTTTGCTTTCATTGAATTTCGTTCTATCGATGAAACAACTGCTGGAATGGCATTTGACGGTGTCAATTTTATGGGCCAACAGCTTAAAATCCGTCGTCCACGTGATTATGTAGCACCAGCAAATAATTATGAAATGTTGGGATCTTTACCAGGTTTTTTTTATTTAATTCAAAAATATTTTTAAATATTTTTTAGTCTCTGCCGTCGTCGTGGATAGCCCTTACAAATTATTTATTGGAGGTCTTCCAAATCATTTAACTTCTGACCAAGTAAAAGAATTGTTGAGTGCTTTTGGACAATTAAAAGCTTTTAATTTGGTTATGGATTCGGTTACAGGATTTTCTAAGGGTTATGCATTTTGTGAATATTTGGATAGCACACTGACTGATCAAGTATTTATTTTTGTTAAAATGAACTAATTAAATAAATTTTAGGCAATAGTTGGTCTAAATGGAATGCAATTGGGAGACAACCGTCTTTTAGTTCAACTTGCTTCGACTGGGTGTAAAACAGTTGTTCCTACTCCTGGAATTCCATCCAATCCAATAGCTTTGGCTGGAATTGATCTTTCAAAAGGAGCTGGTCCTCCAACCGAGGTTTTGTGTTTAATGAATTTGGTTGTTGAGGAAGAATTGCAAAAAGATGATGAATATGAAGGTTTTTCTTCAAAAAATTTTTGATAAATTTATTTGATTATTTTAAGAAATTTTGGAGGACATTCGAGATGAATGTAACAAATATGGAAATGTTATTAGCTTGGAAATCCCACGTCCAGGATATGAAGAACGTGGCGTTGGCAAGGTATATTTACTAATTAAATTTTTTAAAAGTGTTAATTTGGTGTGGTTATCCGTAGAGTGAGTGAGGGACTAAAATATTTAGATGATGAGATAAAAATCCTCAAGAGAGTATAAGTATATCTCGACATTTTTTGAAATTTTACTGAATAGGAGTATCCAAGTTTTCTTCTCTAAATGGGTTGGTACGGAGGATTAGGGTCATAAGTGAGATACAAATAAAATTCTCTTGTTTTTTAGAAACGTTAAAAATTTTGTTTTAAGGTCTTTGTTGAGTTCCAATCAAAAGAAGAATGTCAAAAGGCACAGGCAGCATTAACTGGACGCAAATTTTCCAATCGTGTTGTTGTGAGTTTATTTAAAATAAATATACAATTTTTATTTTTCATTTTTAGGTGACCAGCTACTACGATCCGGACCTTTATCACAGACGACAATTTTGAAGAGGATTTGGAATTTTAAAGTATATAACTTTTTCATTATACCTACCAATTCTAATGAATATACAAATTGCTATTTCGATTTAAATAATAAAAGTTTTTTGGTTATTACAATTTTTAAATTATTACAATTTAATGAACCGATACTCTCGAGTCGGGCTAACTCGCGGAACGGACAGTTCACGGAACGACCAAAACACGGAATAATTTAAAAATCTGAATTTCCTGAAAAATCTGAATATTTTTAAAAAATTCTGATTTCTGAGAATATTCCGATTTTTAAAATATTCCGTGTTTTGGTCATTCCGTGAGTTGGTCGTTCCGTGATTTGGAATTCCCCGTATTAGCCCCCACCCCAATACTCTAAAGTTTAGTCTTCTAGCTGAATTTTATCTTTTAAAAATGGTACAAAAATAATATTTTAATTTAAATTATTTGTTGATTCAATTTGTTCATTGTCAGCAGCTAGAGCTCTAGGTGGTTTTACTAAAAAAATTTTTAATATATACTCAATTAGTTGAATCTTACATTTTTCTCTTTGTCCAACAAAAGGTCCAATTACACAATTTTTCAACATAGATTTGTAGTTAACCCATCTGTGAAGCTCATTAAATAATTCTGTTGCATCTGAACCAGCGGCTCTCATTAACTGGGGAATTCCTCCAGGATGAAATTCCAAATATCTAGTCACATCGTAGACCTTAAAAAACTGAATTAGGCAAAATTTAAAAAAAGTTTAGGGGTTTTGTCCGAAAATTCCTTTAGCAATATTTTAAATTGATTAGGTTGCGAACCTAGAGACAGAAAGAATTTCTAAATATAGTAAGTACTTGATTATGGGTCCAAAAAAGTTAGAATAGTTCTCACGTTAAAATGACTAATATTCTACTGATTCTTAAAATTCAAAGAAATCTCTTCATTTTTAAATTAAATTAGAATTCCGAATGAATTTTATCACCCCAAAAAAAATAAAAAGTCGGCCCCAAAATATAGAATGACCTGAATACCGTGTCGAACAGAAGAATCCAGCAATCATGCTCTGAACAGTGCTTCGAAAGTTCAATGTGATCCACAGACGCAATTAGTGGATGTGATGTCATACGACCCGCATTGGAAAGCCTAAAAAACACAAAAATAAAAAAAAATAAAATTTATAAACCTTATCCAATCCAAAAGTCCTCTTCCAGGCTTTAAAGGCACCTTTAATCGTCCTTTTTCTAATTTGATAATGTTTGACTGAATAACAGATTTACAACAAAAATTGTATAAAAATTAATATTTACTTCTTTACTAGATCCAGGCTGACCACCAGTTACATTCAACAAATTTTTATCCATTCTAAAAAGAAATTGATTTCAGTCCAAGAAAATATTAATTTTTTATTTCAAGTAGTTGTTTAGAAATATTTTTTGGAAATAACCCAAGACTCAACAGAACTAAATGAAAATAAAATGTTTTAAAAGCTTTTTTATGACTACTCAAAAAATATAAAAATAAAACAAAATCGTTAATCTCTCTATGTGAATTTATTTAATCTAAATTAGTATCAAGTAATTAGTGTCCGGGTCCGGAAACCGTATTTTGAAGTTCTTCCCCTTGTCGGACAATATTTTCCAGATTAATCCGGTCCCGTTTTACTTCAGTAAAATAATTTCCAGACTTGGGCTGAATTTAGACAGATTCCGGACCGAATCTAAATTTTTTCAAGGGTTTTCAAAAATTTTTTAAAAATATTTTCTGTGATAAAAATCTTTTAACAATTAAAAATCACTCTAATTTACAATTAATAATCTGTCAATAAATAATAAAATACAAACAAAAATGAAAGACAATTTTAAAAAATGAAAGCATTAAATTAATATATGAGATTCTTTTAATTTGATTTTTTAAGAGAATAAAGAAAGTTTTTTTTCTTTTCATTCACAATTTAAGAATAAATTGAAGAACAGAAAAATCAGCATTCCAAATGTGTGCCAATAATTGTGAAATACTTGAATTAATACATTTCTCATTTTTTGATTCAATTTGTGGACAAAGGGATTTTTGTGAAGCAATTCCAAAACAAGGAATTCCTCCAAGTGTAGGCCCGTAACATGTGCGCGTTCTGAATTTTGGATAATAAAAAAAGATTTTTTTTAATTTTAATCTCAAATATTATAATCTAATTATCTTGCTTTTCTTTTAGTTTAATTTAATTTACCACAAAGTTCCTCCATCTGTTAGAATGGATTAATCTTTATCCAAATAAGCGTTTCTAAGGAATTCTTAGATTGATTAGCCAATATTTATCCCAATTCTGAGTAGAGATCGTTATCTCGAAAAATCTCAATAACCGAGATTTTTGTTCGATTCATGTCTCGGTCGATCTCTATTTTTTGAGAGGCCATCCATTACTAAAGGAGGTTAGCAAGACTGGGATAAAATGAATTTAGGAGATTTAATACTAATATGTATTTTTGTTGGGTTAATAAAGATTTTTAAATTTTTTTACACCTTGTGCGAATATTAAGTGTTCGTGCCAATTGTGCGTGTGCCAGTGCATTAATTAATGTTATGTTATTTTCTGCTGCTAATTCATCCTCAATTATGTCATCCCCCGTTTCTCCATATCTTCCGAAAAATTGTTGGATGGAATCATTCTTTTCCTCTATATCTAAATCATTTTTTGGGTCAAACCCAATACATCCACTCCATTCACAATTGGATGACCAATCACTCCATTCAGACCAACGGCCATTTATCGATGGCACTTTAGATTTATTTAATTTTTTGTGGAATTAATTAGGGAAATATTAAGTTTAATTTTAGTTTTAAGTAAATATCTGAGAGGAAGAGGAACACTCCTTAATTCAATTCAGGTTAAATAAACTTTAAAAATCTCTGCAACATTTTTGCTTCGATTTTAGGTGCTAATATGATTTGTTATTCTATTATAGTCACGCCTAAACATATTCTTCCCCTAACAATTTTAATTTCTTTTTAAATAATTTAATGTTAGAGTGCTAACTTTCACAAGCTCTCCCATTTCCACATTCCATACTTTGATGTGCTATACCCTCACAATAAAGTAACTTTTCATCCTCCAACAAAATACATTGCCTATTTCTTCTACGAAGAGCAAAACCACAACTTTCTGAACTGCAATTTGACCAGGCTGACCAAGAAGACCATTGTGGAATTAGTGAGGTGGATGAAAGTGAGTTGTTAAAAAGTGAGGTATTATTTAGTGCTGTGAGAATAAGAAATGTGCATAAAATTTATTTTACTCACATAGACCACAAATTGTAGGCTCAGAACATGCTTGTAACTCGAAATCACTGCCTGAACAATTTCTTCCACCATTCTTTGGTCTAGGATTTGAGCAATACCTTAAAAATAGAATATAGCGGTCGAGAAAATTTATAGAAAGTTAACTGGAAGGACATTCATTTATCGAAGAAAAGTGGCAAGTCTATTCTTACAGGAATGTTAAGGGTGACGAGATTTATTTGAAGTAAATAATCCCTTATTATTTCGACTTCCCCAATTACCTAGCTCTAGAACGCTGCCCATTAATGCAGGGATTAGAACATTGTGACCATTTACTCCAAGCACTCCAATTTCCATCAATTTGGGGACCCTGACATTTTGCTTTAGGAGGATCACAAGGAGTTTGGTCAAAAGAAAAGCCAACACAATAAGCACCTCTAAAAATTGAAATAAAATTTCAAAAGAATTTTCCAAAAATATATTCACCGGTTTGAAGGTAAGGGATTGGCACACATTCTGTTCCTAACACGATGACCTTTTTGGCCACAATCTTGCGAGCATTGAGACCATTCTGACCAAGAAGACCATCCTCCAACTATAGCAGCACACTGCATAGGGTCATCGTTATTTGAAAGTGTACATGGGCGTTGCTCTATTATTGAACCGGGACAGAAACCCTAAAAAGGAAATTGAAAAGTATTTAGAATATTCATTAGAAAGTTGCTCAGTTCTCTATAGAAAGTTAAATGACAGAAGCTCCCCTGTTTGGGAAAAGGAGAGACTTCTCTACTCTTAGAGAACGGAAACCTTAGTTTTGAGTAATTTTTATTTTATTAACCTTAAGTTGTGGGTCATGTATTCTACAGAAACGCCGCCTGTAGCTTGTTAAAGAGAAGCAAGAACAAGCAGACCAATCACTCCATTCTGACCAAATTGGATAGAGAATTTGCCTTTTTTGAAGGACTAAATCTTCCTCCTTAATACATTCAGGAGGTTTAGGTTCACAATCTCTTTCTTCACGTGAAACATCCTCGTCACAAAGAAATACTAAATTATATTTACATTTGCGTGTTCTACTTTGACGTCCATTATATCCACAACTGACAGAACAAGCACTCCATTCACCCCAGTCAGTCCAATGACGGTTTTCGAGAGGAGATGCTTAAAAATTCTTTTAGAAAAATACTTTTTTGAGAATTGATAACTATATTGAATACCTTACTATAATATTCACCCAATACTAGCTAGATAAACCTCATTTTAAGATAAGTTTTCTAAAATTTGGTTGTTCATTGGGTGTAGGGTTGCCGTTTTCGGTTCGAGCCGACGTTCGGTGCATTTTTTTCGAGCTTGGTTTTTTCGATTCGGTTTGTTTTCGAGCTGAAAAGCCTCGGCTCGCTCGATCTTTCGAGTTTCGGGTCGAGCGAGCTGGCAACCATAATTGGGTGACAACAATTTAAAATACACATTATAAGATACAATTTTTTCGGGACCAAAAGACTTGTCTCATAGTGAGATTCACCATATACTATACAAACTTTCATAGATGATCTAGGCTTCTAGTCTATTTAAAATCGTGTACCCAGAGCTATGTTAACCCACAAAACTTTTTCTCTTCTCCCTTACTCGTTTGAGAGAATCTTCTTTCAACTTTTTGATCATCATCTAGTGTCCCATTAATCAACCCTCCTTCACGAATACAGGAACGTTCACAAGTATCAAATTCTATTGGGGCACCTTTAAAAACAATGATGGAGAAGATATAAAATAATTTAGCAATAAATTACCATTACAAGCTTCATTCCCTAATTCCCTTTCACCCCAATCTTCATTTTCTTCAGTCTTTGCTACTTGAACAACACACTTTCTATGCCTTTTCCGTGTTTCGAAAACACTACAAGTTGAACAAAAAGTCCATGAAGACCAATTTGTCCACTATAAACGTTAAGTAGAAAATTAAATTTTTTATTGTTTTGCCTGAGGGCATGGTCCAAGAACACAGCGTTTACTCTCAGTTAGAGGCTCTTTATTGGGACAAATGCCGTTTAAACAGCGACGGTAGCGTTGTTGTAATCCTTGCCCACAAGAATGGGAACAGGCAGACCAAAGAGACCAATCACTCCAAACAGGAGCATTCAAAACACGAGAACAATCCTTTTTTGTTTTAAAATAATTATTTTTAGACATAATTGAAGAGGCGAAAAATAATCTATCTACCTGTGCATGACATGTTCTAGCTTGTTTTCCCCCTCCAGGACAAGGCTTGTCCCCACACATACGTTCTCTAAATTGAAAACCAATTCCACAACTAACAGAACATGGATGCCACTAAAAGAAGGTAAAGTTTTAGAGAATCAAAAAAATCCTTTTTTTACTTACTTTTCCCCATTGTCCATCAACAGAAGCTTCTCCTCCTTTAATTGGACAGTCTAAACTTGTAATGCTGTTTATGTCGCTAATACAAGTTTCGTTCTGAAAAGATTCGCCAGCACATCCCATTGAGGAATTTCCTTTATAATCTACATATAATATAACGTTAATTAATTCAATCTAGGGGAAAATAAGGGGAAAGAGGGGAACAAATCATTGACAGATAATACATACAAGCACTCAAAGTCTAATTGAATATTAAAATTATTTTCATTTAATCAGACACAAATCCTTTTAATAAAAATTTAAAAAAACACCTTCGACCGAACAATTTCTATGCCTTGTTCTTTGTCCTTGTTCTCCACATTTTTCAACTTTACAATCTCCCCACAGTCCCCACTCTTCCCAATGAGCACATTCTTTTTGTTTACACTTCTCTTCTTCGTTTAAAGGCTCTACACAATGGCCAGATTGACATTCGCGTGTTCTCCTTCGAATTCCGCTTTGTCCACATTCTGCAACCGAGCAGTTTGACCATTCTAAAAAAAGATTTAATAAATGAAATAAAAATAAAGATGGCCGTTAGTAGTTAATTATGGAACTGACAAATCTATTAGTTATCTCGTTCCTCTCTCATTACTATAAAAACCAAAAGGTTTACCACTATTAATCACAATCTCCAATCATCAACTGACGTCACTCGCTCGCTTATCCGGACTTTTGCCTGCAGGTACTCTGCTGCTGCTCGTTCTCTACAAAAACTCTTAAATTTATAGGAATGGTTCTTGTCGCAATTAAAGTCAGAAGGATGGATGTGGAACAGGACAAAGTGATCTCCATCGACGATCAGGCAAGTTAATTTCAATACTTTTCGACCAAAAAACATTCTTAGTTTTAGGCGACTGTTGCAATGATGCGGAGCGCAATCCAGGAGCAGATGGCCATTCCGAGCGGCGAACAAAGGCTCATTCTTCGAGGAAGGCTTCTGAACGACGACAGTCAGACAATCCAAGGCGCCGGCCTCAAAGATCACGATGTTCTACATGTGATACATCACGTGCCACAGCCTGTTGAAGCTTCGACAACAACACAACTAGATCGTCAACGACTTGCTGCAGCAAATAATGGATTCCAAGTGCGGTTCCACATGCAAATAATTCCGGATCTATCTGAGCAAGCTGAAGGGCAGCAACAGCAGCAAAGAAGAATTGAAGTACGGCAACAGGGAACACATTCCCAGAGAAGGGGAAATGGGCAGCGGCGAGAGGAGACTCCTCCACAGAGAGAAGGAAGTAGGCAACAGACAGGGGCTGAACAACAGACGCAGCCAGAAGTGATTGAACGTCAGGGAACTGCAAATACGAGTACTGAAATAATTTCTGAAGCATTGGCCGCGATGTTAGTTGGGACAATATTCCGTTCCCTGCGTAAGAAAACCTCAGAGAAAGATAATTTTTTAAATTTATTTATTTTCAGTAACAATCCTACAGCGCCTTAATGAGGAAGAAGAACCTTCCACAGCCAGAGAGATTGGAACGACGACTAGCGCTACTCAACTGGAAACCTCTGCTGGAACATCTAACGAATCGGTTGCCTCTTCAGGAACTTCTAATGGAACGGGAACTTCTACGATAACTTCTAACGAATCAGTAAACTCTGCGGGAAACTCCAACGCAACCGGGACCTCTGCGGGAACTTCTAATGTATCGGTTACTTCTGTGGGAACATCTAACGAATCGGTTGCTTCTAACAACAGAGAAGGAATTTAATCTGAAGTGCAAAAAAGAATGAAGCAAAGGATGATAAATGTGTAAACTCATAGATAAACATTTCTGTATATGTAATATTTGACCTAATCAAATTTATTGTATCATGTCCTTGTTGTATTATAAAATTTTCACTTTTCTTCTTGTCTTTAGGGATTTAGAGGTGTTTAGAGGGTTTATAGGCAAAAAATTTAAATTTTCCCACCTGACCAGTCGGAGTAAGATGGCTGAGGCTTACAAATAGGCGGAGAAGGGTTGCATGAACGGACTTCGAGTGATTTTCCTATACATTCCTTTAAATATTTTTATTAAAAATTATTGTCTAAAATTCGTCTTTTACCGTTTGTGTTGGGGATCGGCATTTTCTACTCCGTTCTTGAACACCGTTATTATTCTCAGAAAGTCTACATGTCAAAGAACAAATAGACCATTGTCCCCATTGTTCCCATTTAACTGATTCCCTTTTGCGTTCAACCGTTTTGTGTTCATTCGATGATAATCTAAGAAGTGATTCTTCATCAGGACAATCTTCAGCGCCTTGAACAAGTCCATGTCCATCACAATTTAACTACAAAAAATTTTTTTCTAAAAGTATTGTTTATTAAAAACTACTTGAAGGCAAACACCCCCAACACAGTGCTGGCCAGGACCGCAGGGAGAGCCATTTGGGAATTGGCCTTTATTTCGTATCAATTCAGAATCCCTAACATGACACCAGATTTTACATGGCTGTGTTGCATCTTAAAAATGAGGGAAAATTTTTTTTGTCTTAAAATGAGAGATTGAATGTTCCTCAAAAGGGACAATTCTGTCAAAAGGCAATGAAAACCTACGCAAAAAGCTAGTTCCGCTAAGTTGTCTGTCAGCTCTTATTTGGTCATGTGCTATAGCTGTACAAAGTCTGTCCCCATATTCCTGTCTAGTAAAGCCTTCACAAATTGTCGATTTGGCAATTCCTCCACAAACAATCCCTCTCACATTAGAGCCTGTACAAGGCTTTCCTCCATTGTTTGGACTACATTTTAGGAAGAATAAAATTTAATTTTAAAACAAAATTCCCTACGCCGGTGCTGTACAAGTTCTCATTTGACTAATTATTGCAATACTTCCAGTAATTTGACATTGAGTAATAGGGCACTGTTTTTCGGAAGATGTCCATTCTGACCAATTTCCATCAGTTACAACAGGATAGGCTCCCATTTCTGAATGCCACTCTCCACAATGACCAGCATGACACCACTGGGAATTTAAAAATAAGTTTTATCAAGTTTTATTCCCCCTAACTTTTTCATTTCCACACCAACTGCCTTCAAGTGCGGGGTGAGCAGTAGAAATAGTAGAACCACTATTTCCGCACCAAAGAATTCGGCAAATATCCTTTTAAAGGAAGGGACTTGATAATTAAAACAAATAATTTTTTAATACTTCAAATGAACGCCCATTAGGTATTTCGACTTGAAAGTCACGACCCCAAAAGTAGGAACATTGCTGATCTGCAGTAAAACGTTGACCAGGAAGACGGCCATCACGTAAATGATCATGACCTTTTTTAAAATATAAATGGAATGATTATTCTTCTTTCTTAAAATTAAAAATTTCCTAGACTAATTAATTTCAACACCTCGCACTTAACTCAAAATTTAACTGTAATGTGGCAATATGTCCGATTTTACTCTTAGTGGCGATTTGGCAAATTCTTCTTATTGACAAACTGTTAAATTTCACTCATAAATTCCCTTTTTTTCTCTCTTCTTTTCATTTTAATAAGAGAAAAAGAAATTGTTAGTCAGTACAGAAAGAGAGAAAAAAAGAACTGGCAGTTAAGTGATTTATTTTCTCTTTTCAATGTAGTGGTTGCTTCCCGTTAAAGTTATTGAAAAATTTATATATTTTTCTTTTCTCTTATTTTCATGTCTTTGGGACTGTACTTCTCAGGATCATTTCTGTAGTACGTATTCCTTTGCGGAGACGCAAACTGCTTCACAAAGCACCCTCGATGACGAGATTAGGCGTTGTCCCCTGAGCGTGAAGCTTGTTGGGACGTTGCCAAAATTTTGGATGCCCTGACGTTGAAGACCGTCAGCTGGCCCTTTTGGGTCGGCTATGGGGGCAACGCTCTCTGAGCGGGTGCAAACACAAAATTAAATCTACTGTTCTTATTTTATAAGTAGAAATGCATACTTGCGATAGATTCAGAAGAATCACGAAGACAATTTCCTCTGCCACTTTCACTTAAACAATTAATTATAAATATTCTATTTTTTATAAATTTTACTCCATTTGCAACAAAAACGCATTAAATTCGCGAACTGAACAACTAAAATTTTTTATTAAAGTATTTTTAAATGAATTTTTATTGCCTGCTCCAAGTTGTTTTTCCAGCGCCATTAACTGCTGACATTAGGCAGCAACTACGTCCACACTGATTTTGAACTCCGTCGTGTACCATACCCATACTAAATAAAAAATATTTTTGGAAGTTACATATATTTTTGCCAAAAATAATATTTGTGATTTTTTATTTGGCTAAAAACACTTATTTAGAAAATTTTTAAAAATCGAAAGTGACCTCGTCTATAAATAACCTTTGAGGCTGAAAAAATCGCATCGAAAATTGGGATTGTATGAGATATAAAAATTTACGGAGAAACACATACTTATGACCCATTTCATGTGCTAATACAAAAGAACGCCCCAAATGTAACCCTTCTACCAAAGAACAAGCTGAAAATAAATAAAAATTTATTTAAAAATCTCAAAATTTATTTACCAAATAATTCATCACACATTCTTCCAACAGGGGCAACCCCAGCAACACTTGATGTTGTATGATAAATATCATATCCTGTCAGTAAAACAGCATGATCCCAATGTTCGGGATGTGTTAAATCTGTCCCTGGATTGATTCTTGCTTGGTGACGACAAAAAGAATCCAGCTAGAAAATTGTTTAGTAAAACCTCTATATTGTGTACTTTTTTTTCTTATCGGCTAATTCATTAGATATCAGGTATAATATAGAGATGTTATGGAGGGTCAACAACAGAGGTGGGTCGGAACGGTCAGAGGTGTCGGAAATCGGAAGAGCCAGAAATCGGAACTGGCTCAAAAGTCGGAACTCGGAAATAAAATTTTTTCGGGAATTAGAAATGGGAAGGAAAAAACGTCTGGAATCGGAATTCTGACCCATGTCTGGTCCACAATAAGTTTCTGAAATTTATTTAAAAATAAGATCTACCAATGTTTGTGCTTGTCCGTTTTTATGAATTTCTGTTGCCAAAGGTGCCTAATTGAAAAATTTTCTTTGATTAATATGTACACATTTCTATGTAGATACATGAATAATTGAATTTAGGTGAATAAAGTGTATTAAATATTGTGAACTTTTTTTTGAATTATTTAGGTAATCTCCTCTCTCCAACCAATTGTTTTTCAGATTTTAAAAAACTAATTTTAAATTGTGGTATATTTTAGGTGAGGCCTTATTGTATCTAAATTAATAGAAAAAACAAACAAACAGGTTGTGTCTTCCACATTTCAAATCTAACAATAACAATATCCAAATTGGGGGAAAGGCTGGGTTGTTGATAAAGAACGTGAACCTTTTTTTAAATAAATTAAAAAAAATATTTAATTTTTAAATTTACATTATTAATTAAAGCTAAAGAAAAATCTGTTAAATGTTGTTCAGGTTCTGTTGTAAATTCTTTTTTAAAATGTTCAAAAAGCATTGAATCTAGGAAAAGGCCAATTTCCTTTAAAGGAATTTTTTGAAATTTTTTTAATTAAAAAAAGAAAAACCAAAGTAATTGGGTCGAGTTGAGGAAAAATAAAAAGAGAATCAAGTCTTGCAGCTACAGGTAATGTGTAATTGTTGATTGTTGTTTTAACTTTAAAATAATTGGGAAAATAAGAAAATAAAATATTTTAAGCAGAAGAAAATAAAGCAAAGCAATTTTTAAAAAAATTTTTGATCGAAAAATTTTTTGTTGAAAATTTCTCTTATTAGGAGGAAAGTATATTTTTGATTGATACATACATATCTCAAAAGTAAATATTTCTAAACATTTTAGTTTAGGGGTGGGTGGGAGATGGGAATAACCAAAAATGTGAATGGACTAATAGGGGTACAACCCAACGTACCGCGACGCCTGATATGGCTAGATTGAGCTCGTCGAGATGCATCGAACCATACCAAGGCGGTCCGGATTCGACTGTTTTGAACAAAGTTATAGCTTTGCGGTATGTTGGGCTCGCGAGACGTTGGCCTGTTCCTAACTAATAGCCATCAAATGTATATACGTATATGCTCGAATAATTACACTGGGTAATTATTGTTTTGTAAGGATGATTCACCTAAGTATTTAAAACGGTTAGGCGGGGGTTAAACGATTAAAAAGATAAAAGAAAAAGAATTAGTTATCGCCCCAGTAGCTCAGTGGTAGAGCTCCTATAAGCGGTAAGCTCTCGTTATAGGGGATAACTAAACGGAGGCTATTACAAGAGAGGGTAATTATTCGATTATAACTAAAAGGAAATATTTGGCAAAACAAAACTAGAAGCATTTCTTTCTATTTAACGAATATTTTTTAACAAATTTCCAGCACCTGTTTTAGTTAATTCAGAAAAATGAGGAAGAAAATAATTATTTTCTGGAAGCATTAGAAGATTATTTTTAGAAGAAGCTAAAGCAGTATTTTCAAAATTTGAAGAAGAAATAATGTCAGAAGAAGTTGGAGGAGAAGGGTCATCAGCAGCTTTAAATAATAACTCACTATTTTTTATATCAACATCACAAAATGATTCTTCTTCTTCTTTTATTATTGTTTGCTGTTGTTGTTCAGTTTCTTCTTCTTTTGCTTCTTTCTTTAAAAGAAAATTTGAAAAAAAATTAAAGAACGTTTTTTAAGCTTAAAACTTTTCGGCTTGAAATATAAAACTAAAAACCCTAAAATTTTTAGAGAGGATAGGAAAAGATTATTGAGATTAGGGTTGCCTAAATGGCCCGACTCGGACCGAAAGATCGAGTCGGGCCTAAGATATTTGGCCCGAAAGTAACTCGTACATGCCCGACTCGATAAAAACAAGCCCGAATAAAAATGCCTCGACCATCATTCGACTCGAAAACGGCAACCCTAATTGATATTGTCCGTATAAAATTTGAGAATTTAAGGGTTTGTCAGTATTAAATTATAATTAATTAAATGTTTCCCTATACTAAAAATATTATTAAATATTTTTTTCTCAAATTAACTAACCAAACTTCTTGTTTTCCTTTTCCAATTATTTTTAGTAAATTCTGTTTTAATTAATTTCTCTTTAAGAGAAAAAGATGGTTGTAAATGTTCATTAAAATTAATTAAAGCTGGATCTCTTTTGAAAATTAAATAATGAGGCTTTCCCTGAAAAAATGGAAGGAAGTTAATTTTAAATTATTAAAACAAAATTAATTTTAAAGATTTTCAAAGTATTTTTAAGAAATTTATTGGCTCTAACGATGGTTGTATTATTAATTAAAAATTTTTTCCCTATAAAAATATAATTTTCTCGCCTCATTTTGATTTTTCCTTTTAACTCGTTCTGGCAAAGTTTGTAAAACAAGAAAATTCTCTTCGTGGATTATAATCCCCATTAATCTATTACAATCAGAAATAGCAGCTTTTATATTTCCGTGAGATAAAACAATTCCGTGAAAATGGCAGTTAGTTTTTATATGTGAGGGGAATCCATATTGTTGTTTGGAATCAAAAACAGAAATCTGTTAGAAAATTTGAGAATTTTAATTTGAGTATTTTTGGGTATTAGTAAAGTAAATAGTAAAGTACTAAACTATTGGCACCTAGTACTAAAAAAACTATTAGCTGGCTCTACACTTCTCTAACAAATATTTCTAAAGTCTGAGATATCTCGGAGCTTACAAATTAGGATCCTAAAATTATCACGGTTTTCTTGACAGACAAAATTAATAGCTAATTAGACAAGAAGAAAAGATTATCTTGGGTAGACCCCTCCCTCCATCAATGGTTGGTCAACCAATTCTCAAAAAAATGTATCTTAAAAATGAGGAGTCTTTAATTTTAGGGATATCTAAGAAAATATAAAGCTATATTTCATTAAATAAAACAAAAAATCACTCAAATATTTTTTTAAAAATATCTACTAAATATTAATTGTCTAATAATAAATACATATTTTCAATTATTTTTTTTTTCAAATTTACTATTTACTTACCATATGGGGACTAATTAATTTATTAGGTATTAATTGAATTAAATAAGAAGAATTAAATGCTTTAAAGTGTAAATGCCTCAAATTATTATTTTTATTTTCAATTCTTTTAAAAAAATCGAGTAAATGGTAATCAGGCACATGCTCGTGTTTACTCACTCCAAAAGTTTGTTGCAATTCAGAAATACTCATTTCACGGTGAATTGCCTGAAAAACTTTTTAAATTATGCTTTATATTATTTGAGAGAGATTTAATACATATCTTTATTTAACTAAAAAAAGACTTTCGGAACTTTTGGACTTGTAAAATTGCCAAAAGAAAAATTGAAGGGATATTTTGCTTGAATAAAAAATTCCGGTTTTAATATTAATTTATCAAATAGAAAAATTCTAATTTTTCGGTATAAGGGTTCTAAAATAATTTATGAGACAAACCCCTAAACTTTTTTGAAAATCTATAGAAAAAAGATAGAAAAAATATTTTATAAAAAATGTGTTAATTTATGGGCAATCTCCCAAAAATTCTTAACATCCAAACAATCCATTTTGCTTCAATTTTATTTTTAAAATTTTCAAAATATACATTAAATATTTTCTTACATTTGTAAATAAAATTTGTAAAAATAAAGATAATTTCAAAAGAAAAAGTGAAAGGCGTTGTTGCTTCATTGCAATCACGCCAAACAATAAAAATAATTTTTGTTGGAATTAAATTTGTTGTAAATTAAATTAAAATTTAATCCGATCATCAATTGCATTTTTTCTAGAAAAAATATTTTTTTATCATTTTTCAATAGTGGATTTAATGTATTTATGGATTAAAAAAACTAGTTACATAATCATATACAGGATAGGGAATTTACGGGATTGCAAGCCGTTCACGGTTTAAAAACAAAAATTTCCAACAATTCTTAAATGTTAAACCTCCCTCCCCTTCCCCCTTCCCAAAGCGAGTGCCTGAGGTGTCCGTGAGACTTCGGGATGAAATTTGGTAGACAGGTAGCCCCCAGGCTACCCCAGGCACTCTGATTTGTTAGTATTTTCTCCCTCATTAAATTAGCCTTAATTATGTAATTAATTTTGTCTCTCTCCCTAAATATCTTCTCAATAATTTGTGAATTTTCAGTTAACTTCCATAAACAGTCAATGGAATTTAAATTTAAAATTTTAAATTTAAAAACCAAAAAAAAGATTACTCAACAATTTTTCTCTTAATTTTAATAATTCTTTTAATCATTCCCTTCTAATCTTTTAAATAGAAATAATCTTTAATATGATCAATGGACAAAAAAAGAAATGATTGCGTGGTTGTTAAAGCATTGTGTTTTTTGTTTTTTTGGTTTTTATCCGCCATCAAAAAAATTATTTTTTTAGAAAAAGGAACGCCCGTTATCGCGCAACCACAAAAGGGGGGGGGGAGAAAGATTATTTTAGCTTCTTTTTTTAGTTAAATAGCTAATGGTTCGATTAAAAAACCCCCAAAACCAGTTATTTAATATCTTTATTTAACCAAAAAATTATTTTTCTTTATCTTCCCAGGTTTGCGCAAGCAAAAGAAGATTTTTGTAGAAATTGGTGAAGATTTTTGGGGAAATAAATAGCCTTGGCAAGAAAAGGAAGTGTCATTTTTCATAGGAAAATAGAAAATTATTAAAAAATAATCAGGATTTTTTTAAAAGAAAAATAAAATAAATGAGAAATAAAATGGATATTTTGTCCCAAAGATTGGTGAAATTTCGAGAAAATTAAAGAAAATAAAAATTAAAAAAATTGGAGGACTGAGGAGAACTTTGAAAATATTGGAAAAAATGAGGTGACTAGGTCTTTGAGTGAATATTTTTTTGAATAGACACTGTTCGGTATAAACGACCTTCATTTTATTACCAGTCGCTTATATTGAGATTTCAATTTGTTAGTTAAGCTTATAAATTACGAGAAAAGGGAAAAATAAATAAAAGTTATCTAAAAATTATTTAGTTTAGATATCCAGAATTTATTTAGCTTGTTGATTCTGGGGTTCTTTTTTGGAGGCTAATTCCCCCTAAAAAATAAATCAATGTTAAAAGGATCTAAAAAAAGGATTTTTGTTTTAATGACATTTAAAAACTAAAAAAAATTTTTTTGATGAACATAAAAGAATTTAGAAGGAGGAGGGAGGGGAGGGGGATATTTTGTGAATATTTTGTGGAGACTGTTCAAAGATTGGACGGCGATGGACATTTCAAGTATAAATAGACACATACTTAAGCCGAAAATATAAGTGGATATATTTGGTTAAAAATTAAAAATAAATAGTAACAGGAATGAGAATAAATAAGAATTAATTCACGTTTTGTATAAAAATAAATCCAGGCCGAAAAGTGGAGAAAAAGAATAATGAAAAAAGTTGCTATTTTTAATGGAAGAATGAGGGGAGGGGGAAGGAGTAGATAACAAATAAAAAGAAATATTAGTAAATGGATATGTATTTAAATACAAAATTTAGAGAAGCTGAAAATAACGT